AAAAAAAAAAAAAAAAAAAAAAGTTGTTGCAACCTTTATCTCTTACCTCACTGCAGATTTTTTCCGGGGCTCAGAGGACAGTCGCCGAGCAACCACACACGGGGGAGAAGCCACAGCCCTGGGCATGGATTTAGGGGCCAGCAGTGGGAGGCTGGAGAGGCGCCGGCTGGCAGGTGTGGGCATGGCTGACCTCCGAGTCATACTCACAGGCGTCCCTACGCTGCTTAGGTTGTGTGTGGCTGGCCCCAAGGAGGGTCTGATGGGAGTGCTATGCACGATGACCCTAGCAAAGGCAAAGTCAGAATTATACACAGAGATAACTAAGAAAAACAAAACATAACCATTCAGCCAACATGCTCACACAGCATGGAGGCCTTTGGTTTCAACAAAGATTCAAGGCAGTGGCACCTGCTCAAGCTGCTCTCTGCCGACCCACTGTGAGGCCCGCATGGGCTCCAGGCCCCGCAGTGAGAAATGCCTACAGCTCTCTCCTCAGAGGTGCTTAAAGGACAGTCAGAAAGACGTGACGCACTTTATAGATGGTCCCATTACAACTCACTGTCTGGCAGGCTCGGGAGAGACCTGAAATAAGCATCTTTTGACGAGATCATAAACATTCCTGTGAGGAAGTCCAGCCTGCAGCAGCATCTGGCCAGGCAGCAAGGGGATAAGCTGGTCTCATCCCGCAGCTGTGGGCCCAGGGTGGAGGCTGCCTGAATCCTCTGAGCACAGGAGGTGAACCATAACTTCTGCCCAGTCCCCACGGCTCTCATACACTGGTGAGGCCTATGGCTCTGACGACCAACCCATCCCTCTGGTCTGAACGCCCCCCTCAAATTCATGTTGAGATCCTCAGCCCCACAGTGGTCTCAGGCACTGAGACCTTTGGGAGGTGATTAGGTCGTGAGGAAGCGCCCTCCCCCACACAAGGACAGAGAGAAGGCGCCGTCCATGAAACAAGCAGCAGCCCCCTCTGCCCAGACACACAATCTGCTGCTGACTTGATCTTGGACCTCTGGCCTTTAGAACTGTGAGAAATAAATGTCTGTTGTTTTAAGTTACCCAGTTTAGGCTGGGCACAGTGGCTCACACCTGTAATCCTAGCACTCTGAGAGGCTGAAGCAGGCAGACTGTTTGAGCTAAGGACTGAGCAAGAGCCAGACCCCATCTCTAAAAACTAACAGGGCATTATGGTGGGCTCCTATAGTCTCAGCTACTCAGGAGGCTGAGGCAGGAGGATCGCTTGAGTCCAAGAGTTTAAGGTTGCTGTGTGCTAGGCTGAAGCCATGGCACTCCAGCCTGGGCAACAGAGTGAGACTTTATCTCCATTAAAAAAAAAAAAAAAAAAAGCAAAACAAAAGTCACAAGTTTAATCATATTTTTGCATTAATAGCTGAAAAGGCCTAAAATATTTTAAAATAAAACAAACTAAGGACACACTGCTGACATGGAATGTGACACATGGGACTCGACATATTCATTTGTTCTATTTGGACCATTTTCATATTCTTCAAAAAGAGTCTGAAAACAAACTTTAATTAAATTTAATCACCCCCATGGAGCACTGAGAGGCAGGAGGGACGCTCTCAGCCAAGTCCCTGCTCTCTGCAGAGTTCCACAATCCCTGCCTATTTCCTTTCTAAGTCCTGGCAGCTCTACAATTCCAGTGAAAATAAATAAAAATACCAACGAATGCAAACCCAGGTGGAGTGAGGAAGCTGTGGCACGTGGGGTGAGGGGGGGAGCAGGTGACCGTCTGGCTGTGGGAGAGAGAAGATGGCTTCACATACATGCTCAGCACGTATGGGGCGTGGGGATCGCTGGATCTGACCCCATGAAGCGCGTCCCAAGAACACATGAGAGGAAATTAGAGCTCAGGGCTGCTGAAAGTCTTGTAGTGGCCCCAGGCCAGTCAAGGTGGTGCCAGCATAGCCCTTTCTGATGTCCCAGCTCAGGCTGTTACTGTGCCCACTGGCCCCAGCAAACTCCAGAGCAGGGCCCTGGGCTGGCCACATGCAGCACAAAGCCTACAGCCCTGCAGCTGAGAATAATCCTGGAGGTCTGAGCACCCCTGCAGTCTGACCCACCCTGCTCCACTATGGGTCCCTGCTGCCCCCACCCTGCTCTATGCAAGAGACATGGAGGTGCAGGAGCTCCAGGGCCGAGGAGCCTGAGTGCTGGGTCTCCTCTGCCATGCTGAGGAGCAGAACAGGGCGGGGCTGGGCCTGGGCCTTAGTGAGGGGCAGCAAGAACAGCAATAGAGGGATGGCAGTAGGGCACTGCCTGAACCAATTCTGTCCTGCCTGGGCAGCACATGCCATGTGCATGCTCATGCGCTCACTGCTTACCGCATCTGCAACACTGAGCCTGTGGCCCTCACTGTTTCCAGGTAAGGAAACAGGACAGAGCTGTGGGGAGCCTGTGCTGGATCACAGACCCGTGGGATGGGGGGAGCAGGATTCAGGGCCTGGTCTTGAACGACTGCAGCACATGGTGGTGGGCAACAAATCAGAGCCTCCTGGGAGCTTTTGGAAAACCCAGATGCTGGGTTCCACCCAGCCCAACCTCGTCAGAACCTGCAGGCAGCTGCAGCAGCACTGAGGGGCTCCTATTCCCACACGGCCCAGGTGACGGCCACCTAGCTGGGGGCTGAGTCGCCATCCTGCACACTGCAGAGGTCTCAGGACGGCTCCAGTCTGTAGTGGACATAAGGGGCCCACAAACCTCTACTCTGTTTGCACCCACAAGACTGGGCTGAGGCCACACATGGGCCAGGCGCTGGCCACTGCGGGCTTGACGCAGCGCTCAGGAAGTCAGCAGAGAGGTCAGCTGTCTTCACGGGAACAAGACAGGAAGCTGACCGAGGGCAATTACCTGCCAACCGACGTGCGTGGCTGTGGCCTTTGTGCTGGTAGGCACTTCGGCGTTGAACTGTCAGGGGACTCACCTAGGACCAGGAGAGGAAGCACACAGTCAGTCCAGGTGGATCTGCCTTTCAGGACCTTAACCAGACAGGCAGCTATCCTCCCGCCATCTCCCTTTCCTGGGTTGGGGTGTAGTTGGCACCACTAAGCACAGACTCAAGGTCAGTGAGTCACCACAGGGAAACCTGTCAGAGGCGGTGAGAGGGGCTCCACCCCCTACCTGGGACCAGGCCAGCAGATGCAGAAGAGAAAGCCCCTCACCCTCCCGTGAGGCCCCCGCAGAACAAGTGCAACTCCTGAGGCTCGTACTCAACAAATTCTGCTTATCGAGACACCATCTGCACACGAGGGACGCTGGCCACAGACACGACACGCGATGTCTGGCAAGTTCAGGAAAGCCTGTGGATGCCTCACTCTGCTGACCAGTGCCATTGCTGGAGGGAAACTGCTTGCACATGACTTGGGGCCACTTTACAGCTGGCAACTGCTTGAACTCCAGACAATGCCACTCGGTCAGCATGCAGGGCGTCTCCAGTGCCCCTCATCAGGGCCAGCACAGCCCCCTAGATGTCCAGTCCACCCCTGCCCTCACCACAGGGGCTCCACATAGGACAGGAGGCATGTCCTCTGGGAGCCTGGGCACTGCTACATGGACCTGGGCACAAAGCCTTCTCTTCAAGACCCCTACAGCACGGGGTCGGGGGCCTGGAGTGAGATCCTAACCCCCCAGGTGCTCCAGGAAGGCAGGCACCCCTCCCACCCTGAACAAACCTGTGCCTTTCCATCCTACCCTTAGGCTCCCATTTCAAGTCCCTGCCCCATTTTAAAGCCACATCTTCTCAAAAGATTTGCCTGCCTGCAATTGCCTGCCTGTTCCTCTTTCCTGTTCTCTTAAAATTGCCTCTCTCAAAATCATGCACAGGGTTTTTAAAAGTGAAGGGTAAACTCTTAAGGGACAAGACAAGTCTCCTGCCCCCCCTGCCCATGCTGCCACCGTGAGATGGTTTCCTGCAGTTTTCACCTTCTGGCCCTGAAGTCACACGCACAGGCCCCTCCTGCACACCTCACCCTCCGCCTGGTGCAGGAGCTGAGAAGCACTCATCTTTTCCCCACCTGCGACCAGGCTGGAGCCCCCACTGCTAAATGTCTCCCGTGCTCTCCCCCCTCCTTTTTAGCTTATTTCTCTCATTTTGGGGGGTAAGGGATCTATGAGCACATTGTCCTGTAACGTCCATCTTTGGGGCACACTCCACGTGGTCATGCCTCTCGGACACCAGCCCTGTGTGCATGGAGGCCTCCTCTGAGCCTGGCTCTGCCCACAGTGCTGCCTCCCTCATGGCGGCCGCCCCCAAGGCTTTCTCGGTTGTCTGAGGGAGCATATTCTTCAGCAGCTCCCCAAGGCAGCACGGGAGGGTAGTTATTTTCATCGAAGCTTACACATGAAGTATCTTTATTGCGCCCTCACGACTGACGGGGGGTTGGACAGAGCGCAGGCTCCTGGGCTGAGCCCGTTTCCTCCCAACACGTCACCAGTGGGGCCCTACTGCAGCTTCCTTCCAGCACCGCAAAGTCCTGAGTCGTTCTGAGTCTCGATCCTTTGTGTGACCCCGTGCAGCACAAATTTACAGTAAGTAACACTACCGTCACCAGGCTACTTTACAAGGAAAGTTGTTTGTCTTGGGAGTATTTTAAGAAAGGGCACCTGTGGGAATGCTAGTGCATTCAGCAGCACGTGTGCACCACCTGTCTCCCAGGGCTGTGTGCTCCCAGTAGTACAGCCACCGCCCAGGGCCTCCCCTTCAGCTAGTGCTGAGTTTATGGAGCCAGATTTTCTCTTCTTTTCTTTTCTTTTTTAACATGGGGTCTCGCTCTTGCTCAGGCTGGTTTCCAACTCCTGAGCTCAAGCAATCCACCCACCTTGGCCTCCTAGAGTGCTGGGATTACAGGCCTGCCTGAGCCACCTCACCCAGCTTATGTGGGGCCAGTTTTGACCCACACAGACTGACAGAAGGTGAGCCCTGGACAGCCCTGCACCTAGTGGTGCAAAGAAAGGAGGGACAGCCTGCTGAAGGTAAAGTGCACATTTTGGAGGCACCTGAGGAGCCGGGGAGGAGGGCACATTCTGGGAAGCCGAAGAAAAATCCAACAGGTCTTGGGACTAGAAGTCCCGCGGCATTGAGCACCCTGACAGCCAGAAGCCCAGCCACTGTGTGCAGATGTGACGCCATGCTCACACCTCTACATGGCCCAGGCCATGAGGCACGCCTATGGAGCTCCCATCTCCACAAATGCAGCTGTGCTGTGCCACTTGCATGTAAGTCTCCACCCATGATTCTTCTGAGCTTGGCTGCCTACTTGACATACCAGCTGCCCAAGCTTACCACGTCCAAAGTGGGGCCAGGGACTGCCCTCACCTGCCCCTCCAACCCTGCTGCCACTGTGAGAGGCAGAACCCAGTGCTCCTGCCAGAACCACAGGACCACTTGCAGCCTCCCCACACTCCATGTCAGCAGAGTGGAAAGCCCCTTACCACCCCCCTGCCTGCCATGGCCACCAGCCTCATCCCACGAGGGTCAGGTGCACAGCTCTCTCTGCTTCACCCTGGCCCAGAGTCTGTTCTTCCCTCAGAGGAGGGAACTTTGAAAGGGTCACATCACGGCTTGAAACCTCCTCTGCACTTGGCCTGCGTGCTAGCATCCGTCTGTGTGCTCCATGCCCTGGCCTCAGGCAGCCTCTTTGTCTTCATCTCTTTTCATGCTTCCCTCTTTTACTGACCCAGTTGCTGGTTTTTGTTCAACAACTGGTGAACAAAACTTTCCTCTCTTCTTTCCAGTGAGAAATTCCAGCAGGTGCAGAACAAAGATGACATATCTCAGTGTCCCACTTGGGGAGGGTGGTGATCAACAGGACAAAAAGGAAAGTGGCAGGGCCAACTCCTGAGTGTCCTCGAGAGGCAGGGGTTCACTCTCCTTCCCTTGGTCTATCTTACTGATGGCAGGTGTGAGAGCCGGAGCTGGTGCGACTAGAGCAGACCTCGAGGAGGATACACTAATCCAGCAAAGCCTCTAACACCCAGGAGGGCCTCCAGCTCTGGAATACCTACCTAGACTTTTATGTGAGAGGGAAAGAAAATGTCTACCCTGATCAAAAACAGTGTTCCTTTGGGCTTGTAGCAGGATCCAGTCCCAACCACATTCCTGCCACTCCAGCCTGCCAGAACTTATCACATGTTTTTCTGCTGCAGAACGTCTGCCCTTGCCGCTCAATGGCATTTCTCATGGCTGCTCCCTACCCTCTGCTCAGACCTCAGCTCGGTGGCACCCCCAGCCATCTCAGCCGAAGGGCCCACTCCCCCCAGACTGCTCCCCACACCCAGTCACACGGCCCCATCTTGTATTTGCTGCATTACACCATGACGGGAAAGCAGACGTATCTGATAACATTTCACTGATAACATTTCATGTCTGTTTCTTTTAAATGCAAACTCTGGGGTTGCAGGATCTCTGATTGTTACTTCCCTTGCCCCTGAGAGGGACATCACCTGGAAGACACTCAGGAGAACGGCTCATTCTGCTATGCAGGGACCCACAGTGAGGTATTCAGGGTTAGAGGCCACCTGTACTGGCCAGCAATGCTGAGAACAGCAAAATTTTCAAGCCACCTAGAAAGCAGATCTACTTGACAGAGGAGGCCAGACCAACGCCTTCACCCTGAGTCAACTCTGCACCATCTTGCGTACTGCACAAACTTGGTAAGTTTCTTTGTGCAACCTTTACTAAGCCCTGTCTTTTACCTCAGACCCATGCCAGGATCTCTACTGGGCAGCCAGGCAGGAACCAAGCAGGGCACAGCAGTCTCACTGACCGATGGAGACAGAGAATGCACTTCAGGAGGCTGCAGTGGTTGGAACCTGAGGTCAAAGGACCAGAAAGGAGGGAGCTACCTGGGGTGGAAGACCTCCAGAAATCTGAGAGGACTCTCTCCATCTGTGGCTGAACAACAAGCAGGGCACAGTGGTAGGGCAAGGCTCTAGCAGGTCAGGATAAGAGCCATGACAGGGGACAAGGAGCAGCACACAGGGCTGAGAACGACCCACCTTCCACCCAGCTGGACACAGGGCATTCAGGTGAGACCCCCACATGCCATGTGTTAGTGGTTGGGCTAAGCTACCACAATGGTCAAGGCTAGTCTCCCCTCTTTAAAGCTTAAAAAGCCTTGAAAAAATCAAAGTGATCTATAGTTTAACTGCCTGCCAAAACAAACTCAATTCCTTAAAGAAAGACAACAAATCCAGATATTCAAAAAATGTAAAACTGACAATATCCAGCTGCCGATAAAAGGTTATTTAAACACATGAGGAAACAGGAAGATGTCACCAAAACCAAAAAGGAAATAGCAATAGAAATAGATCTCAAGGCTTAGCGCCTGTGGCTCAAGTGGCTAAGGCGCCAGCCACATATACCTGAGCTGGCAGGTTCAAATCCAGCCCAGGCTCGCCAAACAATGACAGCTGCAACAACAACAACAAAATAGCCAGGCGTTGTGGCAGCTGCCTATAGTCCCAGCTACTTGGGAGGCAGAGGCAGGAGAATCACTTGAGCCCAGGAGTTGGAGATTGCTGTGAGCTGTGATACCACGGGACTCTACCCAGGGGACAGCTTGAGGCTCTGTCTCAAAAAAAAAAAAAGTAGCTCAAGAAACCCTAAGCAGGATTGACAGAAAGAAAGCCTCATCGAAATACACAACAATCAAACTGCTGAAAATAATTCTCAAAAGAGGAACCATAAAAGCCAAAGATACAGGTACAGAGGGAGACTTCCATGACCTCTGTCAAAACCAACAAGTGAAGAGACAGGAGGACACGCCTCTAAAGTGCGTCAGAGAGGAGAGACAGACACCACCATCCCCACCAGGAATGTTTTTAAACTTTAAACAGCATTTCTTCAATATTAAAAACATATTAAAAAGTATCTACTACTCACCAATAGAAAACTTGGGGATTTTAAATTGACCTGTAGGAGTAGGCATGACCTTCGTCTTGGCGTCTTGCCTTCTTATACTTCTAGTCTTATTCAGTTGAGAAGATTCTGACAAAATGGAAGTAGAGTCCAGGCCCCGACCTCCACCGTCTGGAGTCTGGGGTTGGGTGGGACAAGCTGTGGTGGGCATTGTGGGCTGCTCGGCTGCCGGCTCAACGTCCACGCTCTTGGCCGGCCCGGTGAGTGTACCTGCAGGCCCTGCCCGCAGAGACCGCTGCAGCGCCACAGGACCCGCTCGGCCTGACATGCTGCTGTTTGACACAGGCTGGGAACTGCTTGTAGGAATAATTGAAAATTCACTTGATTTAGCTGGAAGAAGATACACATAAAATTTGGGTATCACTTAAGCTCAAGTTATTTTCAAATTACAACACTATTAAACACGAATTATGGTAACTTTAGCAAATCTTCCTTACGAATATAACACAGGAGCAACACTGCATGCTCATCAAGCAGCAAATACCACCAAGCACGGGCAACTGTGGCTGCTCGCAGCTTAGCTGAGGGTGTCCTAAGGCACTAATTCTCAACACAGTTACCAAATGTACACAGCATATAAAAATTCAAACTTTCCTACATTTCCTTCATTAATTATATTGGCAACAGAAATCTACCCTAATTGAGCAGATGCATGCCCCACCTGTCTGGTCAGGCAGGTGGACAAGGAACAGGAAGAGAAGATGTAATCATTACTAGTTGATTCCTTTAACTTACAAGAAGGAGGTTGGGTTATATGAGTCATAGCACTATTTCAAATAAAATAGCAGGCCAGGTGCACCTAAAATCCCAGCACTTTGCAAGGCGGAGGCAGGAGGATTGCTTGAGACCAAGAGTTTGAAACCAGCCAGAGCAACATACCAAGACCCTATCTTGAAAAGAAATAGAAAAACTGGGCCAGGCACCGTGGCTGATGCCTGTAGTCCTAGCATTCTGGGAGGCTGCAGTGGGGGGATCACTTAAGCTCAGGAGCTTGAGACCAGCCTTAGCCAAAGTGAGGCCCCCTGTCTCTACTAAAAACAGAAGAATTAGCTGGGCATCGTGGCAGGCACCTGTAGTCCCAGCTACTGGGGAAGCTAAGGCAGAAGGATTGCTTGAGCCTAGCAGTTTGAGGTTGCTGTAAGCTAGCCTAATGACTCCAGCCTGGGCAACAAAGCAAGACTCTGTCTCAAAAAAAGGAGAAAAAAAAAAAAAAAGAATAGCAGATAAACTAGGGTGATACAGAGTTAGCTATCAACATATCCACTATGTAAGTCCATCTAGTAAGAGATTCTTAAAGAGAACCTTCAGGAGAGTGACTAACACCAAAGAGTGTATCCACATAGCACCTGACAGCTGTACAAGGCTCTTCCTCACACAAACTCCCGTCTGACTCAGTGGCCCCTGTGTCCAACAGAGGCCTGCACACATGCTGGAAGCTCCCCTTAGCTTGTCCCAATCTTCACCAGAGGTAGAAATGCAAAAACAGTGAACAAAAATGGTGCTGCTGTACGGAATCGATACAGCAGAGCACAGCTCATAACTAATGTGATAGTGGAGGGCGGCCATTTACCGAATGTGCACCATGAGCCAGGCACTGCTAGCGCACAAGGACACATACCATAGTAGCTACTGTCACCTGTTTGTAGAGGGGACACATACGTCTCTTAGCCAGAGTGTCAGAGTCAGGATTCCAAGTCAGATCCAAGAGTTCATACTTTACATGTTTTGTGAACAGAACCCACATCACACCGCCCTGGGCAACAGTAAAGTCTGCACGGCACACCCAGCCTGGACAGGGTTTGGCTCTAGAGCAGACTTGCCAGCAGCCAGCAGCCCCCTGGGGTTTCTCCTTCACCACCAGGGGGCAGCATTGGCTAGGTCAGGTTAAAACCTGAATTTGAACAGTTTGCCAGTGGAGACTTAATTAACATCCAGGAGCTACAGGGTTATAGGCCCTAAATTACCTGGAATAGTCGATTTTATTTATTAATTTTTTTTAATGATTGGGTCTTCCTATGTCACCCAGGTAAGAGTACAGTGGTGCAAAGGCCCTAAATTACCTGGAATAGTCGATTTTATTTATTAATTTTTTTTAACGATTGGGTCTTCCTATGTCACCCAAGTAAGAGTACAGTGGTGCAATCACAGCTCACAGCAACTTCAAACTCCTGGGCTCAAGTGATCCTCCTGCCTCAGCCTCCTAAGTAGCTGGGATTACAGGTGTTTGCCACCCTTGGCTAACCTTTTTAATTTTTTGTAGAGATGGGTGTCTTGCTATGTTGCCCAGGCTGGTTTTGAACTCCAGGCCTCATGTGATCCTACCTTGGCTTCCCCAAATCCTGGGATTACAGGCCTGAGCCACTGTCCAGCCAGGCCTGCTTTAAAACCTGTGTCTAATGGCATTAGCATGAGGCTGGTACAAGCATCTGTGTTTTCAGGCTCTGAGTACACATGTCCACTCTATGACTGTACCCCCAGACTAAAGCCACCTATTTGAATGTGCCCTCTTCCGGGGAGAGACTGATTCTGAGGGCAGGTGGCACAGTCTCTTCCCTGCCCAGCGTCCAGTCCAAACCACAGAGCCAGCCTTCCAGGATGTCCTGCTGAGCCTAAGCTGTTCTGAAAAATCAGCCTCCAAGGAGGGAATTGGGCAGCATTCTAGGCCTGGCTGGACATGGCTGTGGGCATGAGGTGCTGGCCACTCACCTTTGCCTCCTGCTGGAGATGCAGACAGGCTGGATGCCCCACTCAAAACAGACCCCAAGGAAGACTTCCTTGCAAGATTGCCAGCACAGCTGGGTGGTTTTAACAGGGTCTGCTTCAGCCCCAACTGAAACCAAATGTGAAAAAAACCAAATCAGCAAAGATTTCATTTCTACTCACTACTTACCGTGTTTCCCTGAAAGTAAGACCTACCCAAAAAATGAGCCCTAGCAGGATTTCTATGCATTTGTTAAATATAAGCCCTACCCCGAAAATAAGACCTAGTGATGGGACCGTGCATTTCAGCGTGGAGAGGAAGATATCCCTTAAAAATAAGCCCTAGTGTCTTCTGGAGAAAAAATAAATATAAGACAGTGTCTTATTTTCAGGGAAACACAGTATTTCTCCAGAAGCAGGAGTTTTATTTTTTAAAACTTTTAATAATTTATTATCTTAAATTTAAAGAAAAAGGCCAAGCAGTAATTCTCAAAGCCTTCACACCCTGAGTGGGTACCACATGGTGGCATGGGCTGAAATGCAAACTTTGGGGCCAACCCAAACTCAGAGGCAGCAGCTACAGGGCCCAGCTTTGGGCACGTTTAACAAAGAATGCCTGTGATTCTCACAGACCTCAGTGTGACTACCTATACCTATGCCAGAAAATAAATAATCAGAGGTGTAGATGGTAATCTCCATGCCTGTGAGGAACTGTAGTTTTCAAAATATCAACATCATATGTCATCTGCTCAAGGACCCCAGAAAAGCAGAGGCATCTCAGCTTCCAGACAAATTGACTCTTAGACTCACCCCACAGTTCCCAAGTGGCAGAGGCCAGCTCCTGCCATGCATTGCCAAGCTGGTATTCTTTGCACATATTTACCGAGTTGCCTCTCATGATTTTAATCAAAAGACAAATCACTGGTCTCCAGAGCTGCCACTTTATTCCCATTGATCACAAGTCACAGCAGCCCTAGTCAACTCACCTTGCTTGGAACAGGGAGTGATCGCTTGCCTTGGACCAAGTGGCTTCCACTGGCAGCACCCAGAGCAGGTCTGTCAGGAAGCACATCCCTGGGGCATTCCTTTCCACTTACGGTTTTTGTCCTGGAAGGACTAGCTGGTATCTCTTTCTTGGTCTGAAAATTTTTAATTTGAATTGTGAGAGCTGTCTAGTATTTAACAACATACAGAAATACTAAGGCCACGATTTAGAGCAAGCCCAGGCACCATCTATCTTCCCAAATGCCTCGGTGTTCCCCAATTCATCAACTCAATGGAAAGGAGCAGAGCACTTGCTCTACCAAGTCACTGTGGGCAAAAATGATGGTAGATTTTCTTCTCTCATTAAAAACAGTGTAAAATAATACCAAGACTGATAATCAAGAGGAGAGAGATTCTCTAAAGCTATTCCTCACCCAAGATCCTTATTTAAGGATAATGAGGAAACTGGTTCTAGTTACACAAATTTTTAAATACAGAACAGCAAAGACTCATTCATTAAGTGGTCATCCCTCTACTAGAGAGGCTGCCAACTGCAATAAATCTTCTAGGACCAAAAGCCATTTTCTCTGGCCAGCAGAGTCAAACAAAGAACAAATTCCTAACATATTTAGGGACAAGAATGTTCATGGAACTAATCTGTGCTTACATAAATCACCCCTTATAATAGGAGAGTTAATGAGGTCACAGCAATAAGCACTTGTAGTCACAGAGATGTGTCAGTAACTTTTCTCCTTTATGGTATTTTTAAGATTGAGAGATATACTTTACATAACCACTTTATTTCCTTTTTTTTAGAGACTGGATCTCACTGTGTTGCCCAAGGTAGATAGATTCAAACTCCTGAGCTGGAGTGATCCTCAACCTCCCTAGCCCCAGGTGAACTCTCAGCCACTGTGTAATGTGCCGGTTACTGTCATTTCATACAAATTCAGTCATACGATGTGACTTTGTGGCTGGCATCTTTCCGTGAAGCACAGTGTCTTCAAGGGTCATCCACCTTACAGCAGGTGTCAGCACTGCCTTTCTTTTTAATGCCAAAAAATATTCCATTGTCTGCACATACCATGTATATTCATTTTATTTAACCATCCCTCAGGAGATGGACAACTGGGTTGCTCCTACGTTTCGGCTATTACCAGTGATGCTGCTTCAAACCTCTGTGCATAGGTTTTTCTGCAGACATAGGTCTTCATCTCTCCCAGACAACACCAAGGAGCAGAGCGGCTGGGTCCTATGGTAGGTAACTCTGCATTTAACTTTTTGAGAAACTACCAAACTGTGTTCAACAATGGCTGCACCGTTTTATCTAAGGCTCCCATCCCTCCACATTCTCACCCAACACTTGTTATTTCCTGTTTCTTCTTCATAGACATCCTAGCAGTTGTTACGGTCAAGCAGATTATGACACGGATGAGGATGTGCCCTACAGTCACTCTAGAAGTGAATGACTTTTCCCAGAGAAACACACAGGGAGTGGTGGAGGATCCCAAGTGAGCCCCAGATGTAATTCAGCTGTGGGGACAAGGCCTCACTGACCGAAAACTAGCTATCTGGACCAAGAAATCAAGGGAGACACTCGGATGGGTCCAGAATAGCCAAAAATGCAGCATGGTCTCACTGCCCTGAGTCCACCTACTCTCATTCTAGAAACATCACTTTCAGGGATTTACACCCTAAATGGTCTCCAGAAACAGAACTGAGAAGGCATTTTTAACGGCTCTGCTCAAGCCACCCCCAAATTGGCCCCTTCTGACTTCTCCCACAGACTTTTCATTCTGATGCTTCTGAGTCCTCCGGGGCCCCCATACTTCCAAGTCTTTCCCCAGATGGTCTGGGCATAAACCCAGAGAACTAAGAAGCAAGGAGTGTCCAGCTCCCAAGCAAATGTTCTGGTCCAAGTTGTACCTACCTTCTCCACAGCCAAATGGACGTGTCTTCCTCTGATGGATGAAGCTCTGGGCGGCTGCAATTTGCTGGTAATTTTTCTCTGAGTCACTGCCTGAGTTGGAGGGTGAGCAGTCCTTGATTCTCCTGGCAAAGGCCGAGAAGGGTGCCGGGGTCCCTGCGTTTGGGCGAGGCCAGCCTGGGCAGGAGAGCTCAGTGGGACCAGGGACGAGTCTGGCAGTGGGGGTTCACTCCTAGGGGGCCATACCCCTGACAGAGGCGGCCCCATTATGGGGCTCTCTGAAAGGTAATATGTCTCCCTTTTAAGCGACTTAGGGCTTTTCTTCATTTCCTTTTCTTTCTCAAAGAGGTTTATTTTTGATTTTGATTCCTGTATAAACCATTCTGCATCTTGGCTGCAGGGGTCTTGGGGCGCGGCAGCTTGGGCCACTTTGTTTCTGCTGCTGCTTTCTATCTGCAGAGCCAGTAAGTGAGCTTCTTTATACACTTCCACAAACTTCTCCCCAGCGAGAGGGCTCCAAGGGAAGCGACTTTCGGGACGCTGACTGTTTAATTCTAGGCTGGCAGCAATACATCTTTCTTTATGTCCAATGGGTCCAAAAAAGACTTCATCATCTTCATTTGCACTATTAAAGAAAATTATTAATAATTAATAACACTGGCATTCAAATGAAAGACTACTGAATGTGGTAATGCTCAAGGCAAAGGAAGAAAACTCATTGGTTTACCTTGAAGAAGACAGTGAGAGATCAAAGTCAAATTTTTCATCAGCCAAAAGACGTATGTCTGGGGGGGAACAAAGTCTACTGTTAGTTTAGGGCTGAGGTAGATAAAGAGAAAAATATTACCAGTTTCTATAGCTATCAAAGCTGTTGTAAAATTTCACCTGCAAAAATGTAATCTCTCGTTATTTTAATTTAGTTATATTTTCATGGAGAGAACTAAATTATCTAATTCTTTCCATTGCCTTGTTAAAAATTGCATCAGTCATTTTGTGTCTGTTCAGCCACTCCAAAAGCATAAGTCCTTACTTTTAAGTTACAATCTGAAATGCATTCACTCAATCATAAGACCAGCTTATCAAGAAGTGGAAAGTCATTTTCAAGTATAGAACTTTTTTTTTTTTAATTTCTTATAGCATAACTATGTACACTGATGCAATCATGGGGTACAGTGTGCTGTTTTCATATACATTTTGAAATACTCTCATCAAACTGGTTAACATAACCTTCATGTCATTCTCTTAGTCATTGAGTTAAGACATTCATACTCTGCTTTTAGAAAGATTCACTTTTACCCCAAGTATAGAACATTTTCAAAAGACCACCTGCCTCAGCTCCCAGAGAATTAAATTCCCCTTACAAGCTTCAAAACACCTATTCAATTTTTCGACAATGAACTCAAGTATGATTTATTTTTTTTTTTTTTTTTGAGAAAGGGCCTCAAGCTGTCCCCCTGCGTAGAGTGCAGTGCCATCACAGCTCACAGCAACCTCCGACTCCTGGGCTCAGGCAATTCTCCCGCCTCCACCTCCCAAGTAGCTGGGACAACAGGCGCCAGCCACAACGCCCAGCTATTTTTTGGTTGCAGCCCTCATAGTTGTTTGGCCTCCCCTGGGCTGGATTTGAACCCACCAGCTCAGGTGTATGTGGCTGGAACCTTAGCCCCTTGAGCCACAGGCACTGAGCCTCGAGTATGATTTAAATGCCCTAACTGTGGTAGTGACTCACTAAGTATTTGCTTCTGGGGAATCCTCCTGAAGGCCCAGATAAAAGTGTACTCTGTGCCCCAGCCGTATTTCCATCAGCCCTGTCTGTTTATTAGCCCAACTTGCTAGCAGACCACAGGCTCTGGGTTAGTGGGTCTCTCTGCTGGGGCAACTGCTCCCTCCTCAAGCATCACAGCATCTGTGCACCATGGCAGTTTTACCTCCACATTCTTTCCTTTGTCTAACTGTGGTGCTGGGCGCCGGCCCCATATACTGAGGGTGGCGAGTTCGAACCCAACCCCGACCAGACTGCAACAAAAAATAGCCAAACATTGTAGCGAGTGCCTGTAGTCCCAGGTATTTGGGAGGCTGAGGCAAGAGAATTGCCTAAGCCCAGGAGTTGGAGGTTGAAGGAGTTGGAGGTGCTTAGAGATGTCACTGCATGTGCCTGGCTTGAATTGAATTGTTTCTGTAGTTTCCAGCCTATGAGTTAATTTACATGTAAGTTTGTGCTGTTCATTAGTATTTCTGAGGCTTTTTTCCTTCTGGGTATGTGATAGAATTGTATGTCCTACCTTCTTGAAGTTAGGCAATATGAAAAGTGCTCAGTGACTGGTGAAAGCAGCCTGAATGGAGTGGTGAGGATAGAAGCCAGAACCAGAGGGGCTAAGGAAGGAGGAGAAATAGCAGAACAAACTAGAATGTCCTCAAGTTTTGCATGTCAATGATGGGCATAATCAAGGGGCATGTGTAGAGCAAGGGTGTGATGTAAGAGGGTGAGGGAGGTGGGGAAGCCCTCACAGGAGCTGGGGGTGCAGCAGCATTCATGTGGAAGGGACATATCTGCAAGGGAGGGTACGCCAGGACAGTGGAGCACGTACAGAGGCAGGTACCTTTGTAGATGCAAAGCGGCAGCAGTGATGGATGTGCAAAGTCTCCAGGACCATATCTGCAAATGGAGGTGATAAGGATGCTTGGGTACCCAGTCTACTGCCCCACATGGGTGTAGGGAGGACCAAAAGACAAAAAGATGTCAAAATGCTTTAAGAGAAAAAGAGTATATGGTACGGTCTTTAATTCATTTCGTGAAGCTGTCCTCTCACTGTGATACCCCAACCAGGCAAGGACCAAATAAGAAGGGAAGTTACAGGCCAGGCTCACTCACTAACATGGTCCCAAAGATCCCAAAGACAAGTCTTAGTTTTCTGTTTACAGAAACCAGCAACAAACAAAAAGAAAACAACCAATTCAACAAACATTTGAGTGCCCATTAAAAGTCAGTCAGGCACAGTTCTCGGCACTATAAACTAGTAAGAATCCTTGCTGTGATGGAATTTAAAAACCAAACAGTAAAGACAAGTACCCCGTGTCTCACTGGTGCAGAGCACAAGATGAGCCCCAAAGGAGTCCATAAAGAAATCCTCAGGGAACCATCGCATCAATGTCCATCTAGCTGAGCTCCTCCAAGGAGAGCGCTGTACCCACCTTCCTTTCCAGGAGCATCCATCTCCGCTTCTCCCGCCCGGCTGGCTGAAGTCACAGTTCTGCCGCCGCCTCCTTCCACGCACGGAGGGAGCTGTCGGGAAGTCACTGCAGGGAGGAAGGGGCCCACAGGTGAGCAGGTGCCAAGGCTCCTTCACCCCGTGGCTCAGCAGCGGGAGCCGCTGCGACTCAGCAGGGGCCGAGAGCTGAAGGCCTTGGCCCAGTCAGGGAGAGCGAAAGGCGGCGCGGGGACCACCTTGAAAGGATCGTGTCCTTGAGGGTCCCAGAGACCTCAGCACCGCCAGGCCGGGAGCTGCGGCCGGCAGGTCAAACCCAAAGGGACAGCGGACTCCCGGCTCTCGGGCCAGAGTGCCCGGCACAGCGACGGCCCCAGCGAAAGCCCAGGCCCGGCTCTGGGCAGCGCGCGGCCACCCCGCCACCCTGCCCCGGCCCCGAACCCCGTACCGGCCCGGAACCCCGTCCCGGAGCGGCCGACGATGACACCCGAAGCGGCTTGACCGAGGATTTAAATGTGGCGCGGGGCGCGCGGGCTGCCCATTGGTCGGTTTGAACAGAGCTCCGCGGGACTACCGGGCGTGGTGCATCCTGGGGGCTGTAGTCCGAATGCCTGGAAGTGGCGCCCAGTGCGCACGCGCACTGCTCCCAGCGCAGCGGATTGGCTCCGCACGGACGCCGGGGCGCCCATCCGGAAGTCTGCCCGCTGCCCTAGGGGCGTGCTGGGCGCGCGTGGTGTTTCTACTGCTTCAGTGGCTGGCATGGAGGTGTGAAAACTAGACGTAATAGGTACATCCGCCTGCTCCGTAAAACAGTGCGGGTCGGTTACTTTGAATGCAGCAGCACAAAGCACCGCGAGCACTAGGCCACCCAGAGACCACGAGAGAGCAGCATCGCCAGAGCTGCGCGGCCGGTCGCCCTAAACGGGCTTCCCCAAGGAAGGGCTGAGGATTCCCAAAGGGTGTGGCAGACATCTGTCCTGAGTTTCCTGGGCAGTCTGGGGAGCTGGCTTGGAGAGGTGAACCTAGAGGCAGAGGCCAGGAGCCAAGTGATGAATCCTGCATTGGGGAGTGCACACGTCTGGGAAGCAGATGGGACATACCTGACCTGAGTGACAGGGAGGGCCGAGCACAGATAGGCAAGTCTGTCTGGCAGCTACGTAGTAACCTCACCCGAGGCTTTGCCTCTGAGCCAGCTGTCAATAATACCCACCTCAGGAACTTAAGGCTCAAAGAAGGGGCACCACCAGGGCAAAGTGTTCCTAAGTAGTAGCTCTGATTATCCAGGATAGATGGAGGAAGATCCAGAGAGGTGTCTCCGGTGACTCACAAGGTGTGTCCTAGGAAGGATAGAACTCTGGGAAGAGAGCACCATTTTCAGAGATGATGATGAACTATTTATTTGGAGCAGGTTGGATGGAGAGCAGCCACCCAAGAACAGTGCAGAAGCCTTCCAGGCTGGCGGCTGGGGCCACTTCTGGCCTCCCACGTCCCTGGTTTGGCACCATCCACACTAATCACCGTGTTGCTATGGTCCTTCACTTCTGACTCCAAGTTCAGCTCCCATGAGATTCAGCTCCTAATAGGCATACCAGTTCTCCCTCACCACTTTCCCCAGTTTCACCCAGCCCACCAGGCAGGGGCTGAAAGAGGTGGGTAAGGTGGGGTGGTCAAATAGCTTGGGGAGAGATTGCCCACTGCATCTTCCTCCCTTGGCTTGTCCTGGAGATGGGTCCCCAACACCCACTCCTGATGTTCTTCTCCCTATATTGTGTCAGCACATGGTAGGCGTTCAGTGATTAATAACTTGGCACTGTTACTGTAAACTGTCTTCATTCCCTCTCTCTCTTCTCTTGGCTTCCTCCTCTTTCATCACTGGCCTACCTATTACAGATTCATTTCTTCCTTCCCCCAGTAAAGTTCTACTTCATTTACTTACGCATTCTTTACCAAGGGCTGTGGGGCACAGAGAGGTATCCTCACCAGCTTGCTGTGGGGACTGGGGTTAGAAGGCTTGGAGGGTTCTAACCTTGGCAGGGTTCCCTCTTCCCTGGCCAACTCTGTCTTACTTGGAACAAAAAGAGGGGAGAGAGGTCCCCCTTGGGATGTGTCCCTACCTCCTGTGTATACATGGCACCTCTCTTGAAATCCTGTTGTAATTATCCATTTTCTTGACTGGCTACCCACCCACCCCAAGTTCATGGAGAAGCCCATCTCTACAGAAGCCAGCCCCAGGCCTGGAGCATAGCTCCTGAAAGGCACCCATAAGAACTAGTCAAAGGAACCATTTATTATTTTTTCATTTATATTTTTAAATTTATTTTTTAATTGACAAGTGATAATTATAGTTATGGCGTACAATGTGATGTTTTGATTTGCATACACATTGTAGAAAGATTATGTTAAGGTAATTAAAATATCCATAACCTCACAAACTTATTTTAAAGTTAAAATATATATTTTTTTAAATTTCAGAATGATAGAGATACACGTTTTGTTTGTTTACTTTGTTTTTATAGGGAACTGATTAATCCCAGGAATTTGCTTGGACTTGAGCAAACTTGGGGACCCAATAAATTTGGAAGCTTCCTCTCTCTCCCAGGAGACCTGTCCTCTCCCTGCCCCAGTGAATCTCTAGCTAATTTCTTTCTTCTTTTTTTTTTTTTTTTTGAGACAGAATCTCAAACTATCGCCCTGGGTAGAGTGCTATGGTGTCACAGATGACAGCAACCTCAAACTCTTGGCCTTAAGGCAATTCTCTTGCTTCAGCCTCCCAAGTAGCTGGGACTACAGGCGCCTGCCACAACACCCGGCTATTTTTTTTGTTGCAGTTGTGGTCATTGTTTTAGCAGGCCAAGCCAGGGTCCAACCCACCAGCCTTGGTGTATGTGGTCGGGGCCTTACCCACTGAGCTACGGGTGCCGCCCCTATTTAATTTCTGATGGAAAGAAACTTGCAAACACCTTTGCACCAGGACCTCCCCTCACAGGAAGGCTGACAGCAGCTGCAAGAGTCAGCACATCCAGAAGGGACCTCAGGCAGGTTAACCGTGGGAAGGAGGAGATAGAGGCAGCATTCGTAAGACTAGCTCAAATGTTGGTACAACCACATGTCATGGTGCTTTAGTTTTTGCCACAGCAGAGCGTCCCTGAGCTCCATCCTCACACCCTAGAAACGTGCCATTTATGTGCTTAAAATCATAGTTGACCAAAGAATGCACCTGAGGCCTCGCATGGTGTGCAGTTTAAACAGAGAAAGAAGCCCAAAGCGGCACCACCAGAGCCCCACAGGGAGGCTTGAAGACCCCCCTCAGGGACAGAAGGAGCAGCTCCACAAGCTTGTTCATCTATAAGGAGGGCAGTGGGGGCAGTGGGCCGAGGCCAAAGACAGTAAGAACCCAGGCAAGTCACCACCCGCTGTGCACCCCTCCTCAGTACCCTCATCTGAAAGAGGGGACAACAGAACCTGTCTATAAGGAGAATTAAATGTAGGGGAGGCCGCCGCTAGGGCTAGGTCTGCCCCACCCCTGCCCTGCATTCCAACCTTTGAACACTAGGAAGCATCAGCGTTTCCCTGGGGAAACAGTTTGCAGGGTAAGTGGAAAGAACAGCACTGCCACTGGCTCTGACTGCTTAAAATGCACGTTGGCCTCCAACGAGGATCAAAAGATCCTGAATCATATTCTATTAAAATGAATTTGTGCACCCGTCTTCCTGTAAAACTGCTGGTTTTCAGGGCTTTCTGCTTACAGCTGGAGATCTCTATCAGCCTCCCACACAGGCTCTGATTGGAGCAAGGGAGGCACCTCCAAGGCTCACTGCATGAGGTGGACAGCAGCTGCCTTGCGCATGAGCCGTTCAGTCAGGGGCGAGTGAGGCTTCAAGGCATCTCTCTCCATCAGAAGGCTCCTAAGGAAGCAGACAGAGGTTCTGTTGCAGAATCTTCTTAAAGAACGTGGGGCCTGGTGGTCCTTCAGGCCCAAGACAAGACACAGGTAGCTTGGGCTGTAGCACGGTGGGATTGGGGGTGGGGAGAGACAGGAAGAGCCAAAACCTGAGTGGGAGGCCAGGCCTGGGCAGGGGAAGGAAGAAAGCTAAGCTCTCCGGGGCAGCTTTTTTTTTTTTTGGCAGAGATGGCAGGAGGGGACACCCAGATTAGCAAGCACTTTGACTCTATCTTAAAGAACAAAACTAGAAACCCTGTGATGCCAAGAGACAGGAATCCCAGGGCGCCTTTTCTGCCTCAGGGAAAGCTGTGGCTTGACTACTTAGACCTTACCCTATCACCCTAGTGCAGTGCTGGGGACAAGAGGGATGGGGGAACACGGGGGTAGGCAGGAAGCCATACCCAAGACTGGTCTAGGACAAGCAAGTGGCAGAGCCGAAGGTGTGGGGAAGAAACCAGCGTGAAGAAAGCAAGCAAGGCAGTTAGAGGTGCAGACCCTGCTGTGGACGGAATGTCCATGTCCTGCTCATGTTGAAGCCCAGATCCCAGGGTGATGGCATCGGGAGGTGGGGCCTCTGGGAGGTGAATGGTCATGAGGGTGGGGCCCTCATGAATGAGATTAGTGGCTTTATAGGAAGAAACACAGAGAAATAGCTCTCAGAGGAAAAGTCCTGAGAAAGTGGCTGTCTGTAAGTGAGGCAGAAACCTAACCAGACCCTAAATCCTGTGGGCTGGGCCTGGGGTGGGAGCTGGCTAGTTCCCTTTGGTCAAGTTGAGCATGTTGACAAAGGACAACAAATTCCCCCACAGTCTCGTCTCTTCACAACCTCAAAAGCAGAGACCACCTCAGTGGAGGGAGCTGGGAGCCTCCAGGAATCCTGGAGGCCCCTAGGGAGACCCAGTGTGGGAGGCAGTTTGCTGGGAAGGGGGCAACAAGCTCACCGGGCCACATTCTTATGGACGCTGGAGGCACAGTTTAAGGCCGCGTGAATCAATAACTGGTTGAAGACATCTCTCTGAAATGTCAGAGGAGCAAGTTAGGCTCCTGTAATGTGGGCAGAGGGATGGGAGCCCCCACCCATGTGGGGTGGTGGGGCTGGCTGGCCTGCCCTTCTACTGGGGAGGGACCATGAGAGAGATGGACAGTGCCACATCATGGGCAACAACACCCTGGGAGAGACTTGGGACTGCTGGGCACACAGGCTCCCTGACCTGGGACCCCTGAGCTCTGACTGATCACTATGCTTGGGGTGGCCGCCTCACCTGGGCATTGCTGCCTCCAATCTGGACGATCCGGTAGCGGATGGGCAGCAGCAGTTCCACCACACGGTCAAAGTTCCCATCCTCGGCCTCCACCAAGGCCTGGCAGAGGGGCAGCCCTACATCTCGAGCCAGAAAATGCTGACAGTTCTCTCCTGGGGACCTGCCAACCAGAGAAAGTGTCCTCAGCAGCCTGCCCCATCACAGCATATCTGGGGCACAGGTGGTTTACTGCTCAGCAGGGGTGATGTGACAGAGAGGCAGTCCAGTGAGTGGGGAAAACAGGGCTCCAACTCAGATCCGGGGAGGCTGGCCAATTACCAGCCACCTGTCCCTGAGAAGGTCCCTCATTTTCTGGCCTCAGTTGGGTCAGCTGTAAAGTGGGCATAACAGCAATGACTTCCCAGAACTGTCAGGATTGTAGACAATAAGCCTGACCCTGAGAGCCAAGGCCAGCAATGCCACCAGAAGGGAATGGCTGTGACAGCCCAGGTGTCCCGGCCAGCCCTCACCAGTCCTCAGCAGGCACTATTCCTGATTTACAGATGAAGAAACTGAGGCTCAGAGCCGAGAACTGCCTTGTCCAGGATCTGTCTGTCAACTGTAGGTGTCTCTGGTTCCAGGATCCCCTTGTGTCCCCCCAGGTGCCTGGCAGGTTGTCCTATGACCCTGAGGCTCCTATACCCACTCTGGAGATGGAGAGGCAGCTCTGTGTCCTGGAGGAACCTACTATAGCCCTGTGGGCCACGGTGAGCCACATCCCTACAGGGCCCACACCTGAGAGGAGCCATCCAGGGGCACCCCCAAAGCTGCTTTCACAGGTGGGGCCTCCACCCCAAGCCCAGGCACTGAACAGGCCTCCGCACAGCCCTGGCACCCTCACCCTCAGCCTGACAAGGGCTCCCCGCATACTCGCTGGCAGCCCACAGGGTGGTCAACAGCTCCTGTGTGGTCTGGGGATCCCGTGCACCCAGGGATGCCATCAGAAAGTGCACATCATTGAACAGCAGGATGTGGTCTCGACTATGCTTCCGGGTCACGGTCAGGATATCCTGCCACCGCTGGCCCACAGACACCCCTGAGAACACAAGGAAGGAACACAGACCCTAGCATGAGTCTGTGGGGCATGTCCTGCCCATGAGCCGCCTGTCCTGTTTGGCCCAAGAGGCCCCAAGACTGGCTCTGGGGCAGAGGTGGGTGGTGAGCAGAGTTGGTGCCACAGCTTGTGGACACAGGTTTGCGTTAACTTTGTTTAATTATAAAAGCAATAGATGCATAAGGTACAAAGCAAATTTTGAAAAAAACTATTGAAGGTTATTAAACGCAGTCTTAGGCTTTCTGACAAACCCCAAATGCAGTTTTTTTCTGTTTTGTTTTTGTTTTTTGAGAGAGTCTCAAGCTGTTGCCCTGGGTAGAGTACCGTGGCATCACAGCTCACAGCAACCTCAAACTCTTGGGCTTAAGCAATTCTTTTGCCTTAGCCTCCCAAGTTGGGACTACAGGCACCCGCCACAATGCCCAGCTATTGTTGTTGTTGTTATTGTTGTTTTAGCTGGCCTGGGCTAGGTTCACATCCTCCAGCTTCAGTGTATATAGCCAGCGCCCTACCCACTGAGCGACGGGCACCACCCCCCAAATGCACTTTTTAAATTCTTCCCATGGTAGCCTCAAGTCGAGCACCTGGTACATCACAGGCACCAGGTCCATCTGTTCAGTGAGCAGCTGCATCCCTCTCCCTTATGTCTGACAGTGCCACACCCGCCCCACTTTTCCCACCAGGCCACTGACTCTGCCACTACCGGATCCTTCTTTCTCCACAACCATCAGTGCTGCCCTTAACCCCTATTTCTCACCCAATAAGCCACACACAGTCCAGTGTTCCCACCCTGCACAGTGAGGAGACTGTGGCTGCTTCTTCCCCATCTGCCCTCAGCAGCCCCCTTGCCTCGAACCCGTCCCTTCCTTAGCTTCTGCTCACACCTGCCTTGGACTCCACGGTTCCAGGTGGTTTTCAAGCTCTCTGCCTCTACAGGGAAAGGATTAACAGGGCCTCAGGGATAATGGACTCTACCTTCCCCCAGGGCCCATGAGAGACACAAGTCTCCCATCAGCAGGGTTCTATTTCCAGGGTTAGAAAATCCCCCGCCTCCTCCTGGGAACCCCAGCCTCCTCCTGGACCTCCACACAGGTCCCTAACCTGCTTGCCAAACTTTCAGCCTCCTTGCTTCTCTCTGCAGCTCCAGCCTCAGCCTGCCCTGCCCACTGGTGGGCTTCTTGGCTCCTGCTACCTCCCAGCCGCCTCCTGCCCCATTTGAGCACATAGAGTGTGTCCTCCGGGTACTAATCCTCAAACGGGGCTGACACGAGTCCTGGTGACTTTGGACAGGCCGTCTTCTCCACATGTAACATCCTTCCTCACCTCTGCCTGGCAAACCCTACACATCCTTCTGTGGTTCACATTTCACCTCCATTAGGAAGCATTCCTGGAACCTTCCAGAAACAGCTTGCTGTGTCCTCCCTCGGATCCCCAAACTGCCCTGCCCAGGTCTGTATCCCACACTGCACTTCTGACCCAGCTGGCTGGAACCCTCCACAGCCCCAGAACTGTAGCTGCCCCATCCAGCCTCCCTGCACAGCACAGCCAGGTTGAGAAACTGTCTGCAATGCCAGGGAGTTGAGAAACACTCAGCTCCTGTGTTTTAGGAAAGGGTATGGCATCCAGACAGGTGGCCAGGTGCCATCTGCGCCCCAAAGGCCTGATGGGCAGGCCGTGGGAACAGCAGTGCCACACTGGGTGCAGAGTCAGAGGTCTCCACACTGAGGAGTGGTGGGAACTGGGAGAAAGGGCAGTGGGGCTGGCTGGGAGCATCACAGTACCCAAGATGGCAGCCAGACAGCTGTCCAAGGCCTGCAGAGGCCCAGGAGGAGCTCTCCCATGTGCTCTTGTCCAGCGCTGTGCTGGCCCAGAGCAACCTCCCCGTCCAGTGTGGCAGGAAGGAGACAGGCCCGGTGGGGGGGCAGAGAGGGGGCTACCTTCCATCTGGAGGCGATAGAGCATGGAACAGGCATCCACCACGTCCAGCATCGCACCACTGGCTCGCAGGCTGGGGAGGATCTGGAAGACAAGGGCCGCCCAAGGCCAAGCTCAGCAGTGGACCTGCACAGAGCAACCCCCAGCAAACAGAGCCACCACCATCGTCCCCACACCCCGACTATCAGGACTGTCACCCTTGCCCTGGGCTCAGCCTGCAGCAAGCCCCGGAAAGGGCACCAGGGGACTGAAGACAGACCCCACTGCCCTGCACTCCCACCCTAGATCCTGCTGGCAGACTTGCCTGGCCCATTCACGCTTCCAGATTCAGTTTTGTTCAGCGGGTTACACGGGTCACACAGTGCTGTCACCCTTCCTATCTCAACTACGATACCTCAGTGCTAAGAGGACTACGTCAAGGGAACTTTACTGTGTGTTTCTCTTACTTGGTGTTTACATCCCCCAAATCACAAGCATTTCTGTGGTCCCAGGTTTTATCATTAAGTCCTCACTTGGGTGCTAGGAGCTGAGTCAGGCTTTTTTCCTCTTGAAAGTACACATAGGGGCTGTAACCCTAGCACTTTGGGAGGCGGAGGCAGGAGGACTGCTTGAGATTAGGAGTTCAAGACCAGCCTGGGCATTAGCAAGACACCGTCTCTACAAATAATTATGATAGAAAATTAGCCAGGCATTGTGGCAGGCACCTTTAGTCCTAGCTACTTGGGAGGCTAAGACAAGAGGATCTCGGAACCCAGGAGTTGGACGCTGCAGTGAGCTTTGATGACACCACTGCACTCCAGCCTGGGTGACAGAGTAAAATGCCGTCTCAAAAACAAAACAAAACAAAAGAATATGCAGGAGCTGGGGACCTAGTGTTTAACAGGCACGGAGACACTTTATTTTGTTATGTGTACTTTTGTTATGTGTATTTTGTTATGTATAGTCAACCAAAATAAGAAAAATTCCTTCTACAGAGAACTCAAATTAAGCAAAAAAAAAAAGAAAAAGAAATTCCTATGGGTAGATCAATCACCTTGCCAAAGAGTGGCCATCTAAAAGGACTGGAGAGAAGTCTGCCATTGCACAGGTGATCCCCCGAGATGTGTACACCTATCAGCACCTGCCAGGTGAACAGAGTCACTGGGATGTCCCCGCTGAATGCCAGGCCACAGCAATGCTTAAAGAACCCCAGGAGGTCAAACACAAGCAAGAAATATATGCTTGCTCCCCCTGTCTTTTCTGCCTGGGGTCATCCTGATGAACCTGAAGATCTATTCATGACTATAAGGCCGTCCATGAGAGAAAAACACAATTAAATTCACGGAGAGTGGGATGGAGGGGGTGTGGGAAGCTCCCGCTTAACGGGCACAGTGCAGGGTATGTGGCACACCTCCTGGGAGAAGAGCTCAACTACAACTCGGACTTTACCTTACAAATGCAAACAATATAACCTAATCATCTGCACCCTTATATTAATCTGAAATTTAAAAAAGGACTACAAGGCAAACTGCTCCAGAGAACAAACAGGTTCCACAGGGACTTACATGGCTGTCATAAATGGTCAGCACGGCCTCGTACTCGCCCTGGAAATAAAGTCCCCGTGATTACCATCTGGAGAAAGCAAAATGTAATACAGAGAAATGACCCGAAAAATGGTCAGGCCAAGCCCCCTGAGTACGCAGGACATGGGCGCAGGATGGGGGCAGGCGAACCCACTTCACCAGGCCTCTGTGCTCCCAGCAGAAAGACAGTGGAGGCCTGCTGATGCCCAGGGGACAGTCTCTGAGATAGCGTTATTCTTTCTATTAAAAGAGTTAATGTGAGTATTGCTTATATTAATTGCTATAAGTGTTTTAATGCATTTCCTTCTAGTTGGGTTTTTTTTTTTTTGGAGACAGAGTCTCACTCTGTCCCCCTCAGTGAGTGCTGTGGCATCACAGCTCACAGCAACCTCAAACTCTTAGGCTTAAGCGATTCTCTTACCTCAGCCTCCCAAGTAGCTGGACTACAGGTGCCCACCACAATGCCTGGCTACTTTTTTTTTTTGTAGTTGCCGTTGTTGTTTGGCCGCCCAGGCTGGGTTTGAACCCACCAGCCCTGGTATATGTGGCTGGCGCCCCAGCCAATGACCTACAGGCGCCGAGCCTTTTTTTCTTCATATATTTTCTCTACTCTACATTCAGCCAGGTTCACTGCTTTCTTGTAGACATTGTAAAGCCACATTCTTATGTCATGACAGGGTCCTATCTGAGGAACTATCTCTTCCTGGACATTTATGGACCTTCCAGTTTTTCTCTGTGGTAAAGAACACAGCAAGAAGCCGGGTGCAGTGGCTCACACCTGTAATCGTAACACTATGGGAGGCCCGGGGTGGGGGGGGAGGATCCCTTAAGCTCAGGAATTTGAGACCAGTCTGAGCAAGAGCAAGACCCTGTCCCTTAAAAACAGAAAAATTAGTGGGCGTTGTGCAGGTGCCTATAGTCCTAGCTACTTAGGAGGCTGAGGCAGGAGGATGGCTTGAGCCCAAGAGTTTGAGGTTGCTTTGAGCTATGATGCCACAGCATACCCAGGGTGATAGAGTGAGACTCTGTCTCCAAAAAATTAATTAATTAATTAAATTAAACAATAAAAGAACACTGCAAGAGACACGCTCATAAATAGAATCACTGGGTACAGGGCACGTCCCAACCAGCTCTCTATGGATCCTGCCAGAGGCTCTTGCGCCTTACGTGTGTGTGGGGGGGGGTGAGGGTGGAGGGGTGGTGGTGAGCCTTGGCCGTCTGCTCTAGCAGGAGAGAGGCACTCAGTCCAAAAGATGCCCACAAATCATGCACAATAGATGTGATTTCCAAGTCCTGACAATAAAAAGCTGCGCAAGTAGCTCAAGCCTGGAAGACGCTTTGAACACGCCCGCATGGCATTGCGAGGGGCACCCTCTCACGTGCACACACGAGACACTGCTGCGTGGGACGTGAGCAAAGAACTGGAGCCAGAAAAACAGACGGGGGAAGCTGGAGCAGCCAGAGGGTCACCTTACCTTTTCAATCAGATATAACGCCCAGTGCCAATAATTATGGCAAGCGAGCATGTCGGAGTCCTGAGGAAGAACAAGAGAATTAAAGGAAGGTCCGGCAGGTCCTGGGGAGAACACACAAGTGTTATTTCGCAGTGACACAGAATTTATCACCTGGCCTGTGCTGGCAGCCCCACGCCCTTTCATCTCCAACAGAGTGGCCCCTGCTATGTCTGAATTTACCCAGGAGGAAACTGAGGCAGAGGGAGGCAGATAACTTGCTCAGCTAAGCTAGAGGGCAATGGTGCCAGGGCCAACACAGAGGGAGTTACTCAGCAACTCCAGCCTCATCTTCCTCCTGCATGAGCTGGGAAAGGGCCGACTGAGGACGTCACGAGACCCACGGAGCACCCAGCAGCTCAGGGCACTTGGACCAGCACCCGCAGGCACTGACAAAGCCCACAGAGTACGGGGAGCAGGGCTGGGATGGGAATGGTTTCATCACCCACTCAGTGTGAGGCAGCCTGTGCTCAGAGCTGGCTGCTGCTGGGATATTCCACGCTTGGGAAACTAGGGTCCCTGGGCCAGGGTGCAGGTCTGGACAGGGACTAGAGTCTGGCTGAGCCCCACACTCAGCAGCCAAATATCTGAGGCAGGAGCAGGAGGAAGGAGATAGGAAGCCCTTGGCCATGTCGTCCATACCCAGGGCCATCCAGCCGGGCAGAGGCTGCCAGGTGGCACCCAGGGGACAGATGAAGACATCAGAGGACAACAGCTGGTTCTGAAATGAAGACAACCTCAGCCACCCACAACGGGCACTCATCTGGGGCCACGGGCTCCATACTGTGACAACAGATGAGGAAACTGAGGCTCCCAGAGATCAAGTTCTTGCCCCAGGGTAGAGCCACGCCTCAGGCACAGGGGTCTCAGGCCCCACAGAATCAGAGTTCCAGGGAGGAGTGTGATGCCTGCCAGCGCCACGTCCAGCCAGGCCTCCTGGCCTTGGTCCTACCTGGGCAAGCTCTTGCCTGTCAGCTAGAGGGCACAGCCACACCAGCACCCCCAAGCCCAGACCTAGTGTTCCTTCCTGCAAGAACAAACAGCATCTGGTTGGGGGCCAAGGGCAGAGCCACCCCTCTGCCTGGGGGTTGCTGGTATCCTCAGGGCCTTTCCAGTCTCACACAGCTGTGCCTGGGATCTCATGCTCTCAAACACCTGCTTTACCTAAGACTTCTCCTGGAGAGTGGTAATCTGTCTCTGGAAGGGAGCTGCCTGGAAAGGCGCCAGTGCTGTGGGCCCCTCGGCTCCTGGTCTCTCCGTAGCTTATACACTCACATAGCTAGGCATCTACCGGTGGTGCCAGGCCTTGGGAGACCCTTGCCACCTCAGCCATCAGTGCCCTGAGGAGCCCACCACTGCACGGAGAAGGGCAGGGCAGCCACCCCCTGGACAGGTACCAGGCTGTGTGCCAGAGGCCAGCCCAGGAAGACAGGCCTGCACAGAGGAAGAGGATCCCCACAGGGATATGGGAGGGAGGGAAAGGTCCCAGGAGTGGGAAGAATGAGGCCACAGTGTGGTCAGACCTCAGGAAAGGACCTGGCAGGGTGCTAGGGGTCCAGATGGCCCCAGGACCCCTCCCCAACAGGGCCCTGACCATGTGCCACCGCTGCAAGCCATCACTGTGGCAGCACTCCCATAGCCCCCCTCCCAGCTGCCTGTGCTACACTGAGGCCATGCCATGGCTGCCTGCTGAGCCAGCAACAGAAGAGGTGGCTTGGGGCCTCGCAGGCCTCCTCCTCGCTAGGTCGAGTCTCTCCAGCAATTTTCCTGTCCCTTCCTTTCACAGCCAAATACCTCAGGCCAGACCAACCCTAGAACTGCCTGTAAGACTCTGAGAGGTTGGGGAACCCTGGCACGACAGAAAAGCCTCCAAGATGAACCCAAGTTCTCCAAGAACCAAACCACACCTGTAACTCTTGTCCACACGGACTCAGTGGGACTCAAGGTTACACATGGACTTTTCCAGGGAGCTGACCCATGGGCAAGAGTCATACCTTCCAGTGGTTCTCTGAGCGCTGCATAAACTCCACTCCATCCTTGATCTCTGCCTTCATCTCATGGACGTGGGCGATGGTGTGCACGGACCACGCATCCGTGGGGTTAACAGACAAGGCCTATGCAGGGTGGGGGTGGAGAAGGGCCAGAAGTTAGTCACACAGCCTGGGCCGGCCATGCCTGTCTGAGGGACAGGAGGGCCCTGAACTGATGGAAGCGCAGCAAGCATGGGGACAGGACTCTAAACATTACCATCCCAATGACCAGAGCCGCTCCCAGGTGCCCAGGGCACACCAGGTAGGGACACCAACCACAGGATGCTACCATGGAGGGTCTCACCGCCCTCTTCACAGATAAGGAAACTGAGGCTCAGGGAGGCTAGGTGACACTTGCCCGGGGTCGCACAGCTGGATGGCAAAGCCAGGGCTTGTCCCCTGAGCCCACAGCCTGCTGTGTACAGCTGAGTGACGTACAGCTGAGTGACATACAGCACGTCATCCAAACTCTCTGGGCCTCAGTTTCCCCTTGGTGCTGGGGCCACTGATGCTGCCTCTCTCTTCGAGAAGTGGTTGCTGTCCACAGGAACACAGCGTGGACTGCCAAGGACTCCAGCGGGCTGACGCTGCCTCTTCCCCCGCCACATAGGCCATGACTACACATGCAGCTTTCCATGCTCACAAACAGCTGGCTCTGACACCACGGCTGTTAATGACAATAGCTGCTCACTGACCCTTGAGTGTGACAGTGACCAGTGAGGCCGGCAGGACCCATGGGATGACTCTCATATCCTAGCAGTTTCATTCTCTTTATTTTTTCAGCTCATGTTTCCTAAGCGCCCACCAAGTGTCAAGCACTGAGTAGTACACTGAGGCTCACAGAGGTCCCCCAGGCTGGTCCAGGTCCCCACACACCAAATCATGGATTCCCCTCAGCCCTGCTGTCTCAGTCTCCCCACACCCTTCATGGGAGTTCAGCACCCCAAGTACCTCTGCCCTGGCCTAGCACCTACTGCAAGGTTGTGGCTGCAGGTGGTCCCTGCAGTCCTGCTCTCTGCAGGCCCTGCCCACTCCACACGGAGGCACAGAGGGATAGAAGGTATGTCTGTAGGGAGCCATGGGTACCCCCGGGCAGGGCCCCTGAGCATAGGACACAGGACACAGAGGCACAGTCTGAGTAGACTGGGCACTGGGGCACTTCTCAGGGCCCTGCTAAGTGTGTTGCTTTCACAGCTAGCAGTAGCAGATGTGAAGGGCTGCCACTGTCACATCTCTGAGGGGCTGATCAGGCTCCTCTTCTTGGGAGGCCTCCCAGGCTTCCCTGGGAAAATGCAAACTGGTTTTCCGTAGCTATTGGCCCCTGCCTGTCCTGCTCCAGCCCTGGCTCCTGACTTCCTGGCCCACCTGCTACACTGTGAGCCTCAGCCCATAAAGCCACTTGGCATTCCAGGTACCCAAGCTCTGTGGCAGGACTTTGCCTGCTGTTGCCCAGCTAGTGGTCCAGGGGTAATCCTGCCCCTCACCAGCAGACACATGGCCCATAAGTTGTCCCCCTGACACCACCATAGTCTGGTCTTCTTGCCCTTCTCTGTGGGGAGCTGGTGTTGGGGTCAGAGAGTGGGTGGTGCAGAAGGGGACACAGCAGGAGAAAAGGGCATAACAGGGGCGTGAGAGACCGCCAATGCTTCTCGGTCCTTATGAGGCATGAGCCTGCATGTCTGGCCTCCCTCTGGGGCACCTGCCATGTACGGCTCACCACAACTGTCCTTGTCCAGAGCTGTACCAACCATTCTGCCAGCCTTCAGATCCCAGATGGATGCCCTCTAATAGGGGGCCTGGCAGCAGCTGACCTCTGGACGGCAGTGCCTGTCATCCAGGCTGTGGAGCCAAGATCACCAAGAAGCCCTGGCTTCTGACTCACAAGGAGCAAGAAGGTCCCCCCAAGCCTTGACTCAGAGCTAATGCTAAGAAGTACTCACTCCTGAGGCTCACATCTGGGCTCCGGTGCTGTAACCAGAGCAGTGTTTAGGGTGTCTATGGGCCCCATGGGCTTTCTCCTGGAGAGGGTGAGCTGCAGGCTGACTAAGGCAACTTCTGGGGCCAAGAGCCCCGGCTGGGATGCTGAGAGGCTGAGGTCTAGCCCAGGCAGCTTAAAGGACACCCACTGATCAGGAGGCAGGGTGAAATCTGGCTCTGCCATCTCTGAACTGTGTGGCTATAGGAGAGCTCCCCTTTTGGCCTCTGAATCCCTTATCCAGGCAACAAAGAGTCTAATGTCTCATGGGCAGTGACATGTGGACACAAGCAAGCCCAGCACAGGAGCATTATTTACCCCTGTGTGTGTGTGACAGCCCCTCCCTGGGCCTCAGTTTCCATCCTGCAACAAGAGGAGGAGGGGAGCGACTCCCAGAGATGCTGACAGCTCAGGCCCTGACAGCCACAGCCACCACTTGGCCCTGGGCCCAGCATGCCCACCAGGCATCATAATTGGTGGTCGTTGCTCAAATCATCAAAGCGCAGGTGCTGTTAGAGAGACTAGAAGTGTGAAGTTCAAGGAGGATGAACCGCTGTATACATGTGGGTATGTTTCCCATCAATGTCCCCAACCCAACAGAGCTGGGGGAAGGCCAAAGCCACCACTCCAGGCAGCACAGAAGGCGTGAGGTGACCTGAGCTTCACTGTCCTTGTCTGCAGACGCAGAATCATGAGGACCCAGGAGGCACGGGTGAGTGACAGACACGTGGTCAGCCCCATGCAGGAGGCAGTTGGCCATGCCAACAGGAGCTCTTCCCAGCATCTCTGAGGAAATGAGGCCCAGGAAGGAGGGGGGCTCACCAGGGTCCCTGAAGGGTCAGGTGCCTCAGGAAACGTCCACTTACCTCTTTGGCGAGTTTTTCTGCCTGATCGTAGAAGTTGGTTTCCATCAATCCAAAAGAGTAGATGCCTTTCACGTAGCTAAAATTGAGAAAAATACCTCAAAATACAAAAAGATGAATTGTGTCCCTCCAAGAGCCATACTAAAGTCCCAATTCTCTGCAGCTGCAAATGTGACCTTTTTTGCTTTTTTGTTGTTGTTGTTGTTTTTCCTTAAGACAGAGTCTCGGCTCGGTGCCTGCGGCTCAGGCGGCTAGGGCGCCAGCCACATATACCTAAGGTGGCAGGTTCGAATTCCCAGCCCGAGCCCGCCAAACAACAATGATGGCTGCAACCAAAAAATGGCCAGGCGTTGTGGCGGGCGCCTGTAGTCCCAGCTACTTGGGAGGCTGAGGCAGGAGACTCGGTTGAGCCCAGGAGTTAGAGGTTGCTGTGAGCGTGATGGCGTCAGTACTCTACCCAGGGCAACAGCTTGAAACTCTTATCTCAAAAAAAAAAGACAGAGTCTCACTCTGTTGCCCTGGGTAGAGTGCCATGGCGTTACAGCTCACAGCAACCTCAAACTTCTGGGTTTGAGCAATCCTCCTGCCTCAGCCTCCCAAGTAGCTGGGACTACAGGCACCTGCCATGACACCAGCTAGTTTTTCTATTTTTAGTAGCGATGGGGGTCTCAGTCTTGCTCCAGCTGGTCTTGAACTCCTGAGCTCAGGTGATCCCTCCGCCTCTGCCTCTCAGAGTGCTGGGATTACAGGCACGAGCCACCACACCTGGTCAGTGTGACCTTTTTTGGAAATAGGGTCTTCACAGATGTTATCAAGCTGACGTTGATTACACACCGGATTAGGACGAGCCAATCCAACAACAATGCCCTTGTGATAGGTCACGTGAAGATGTGGAGACACAGAGGCCGGGGGAAGACAGTGGCTGAAGGCGCACAGCATCAAGGAACACTGGCCACACCAGACCCTGGAAGGGGCAAGAAGGACCCTCCTGCAGAGCATCGGAGGGAGCCAGCCCTGCTGATTCCCTGAATCAAACTTCCGGCTTCCAGAACTGTAAGTGAATGCGTGTCTGCTACTCAAAGCCACTCAGTTTGTGGCACTTTGTCATAGCAGCCGCAGGAGACAGATACACACTCTCTAACCCTGTGACAGGCTATTTCTCAGCATCTCAAAGCTTCCAATTTGCAAGTGGCAAAGTGAACTTCACCATCACACACTAGTTCCCAAACCCAGCGCTGATAGCAGGCCCACTCCTCAAGTAGCATCCCACCTCCTAAGGATCAACACAGCGTCTTTGCTGAGGATGATAAGGGTCGTCTCCCTCCTGACTGCCTGGTGACACCCACCAGAGGCATGGCCCAGGACCACCTCTCTGGAAGCCTTCATGACCCGAGAGCTGGCAGTGGCTCCCTTGCTCCCACAGCACTGAGCATGGCCCTCAGCCCAGCCTGGAGTGCCCAGTGGATGGCCAGACCCCTCCCCAGGCCCAGAGCTCCTGCAGGCCAGCCCTGTCCATCCAACTCACTCTCAGCCAAGGGCTAGCCCAGGATGGGCTATGTAAATTCATCTTCCATGCTCATCTGTAATGACTGGCACCGGAGTATCCTACCTGGACTCGAGTGAAAGAGGTGTTCTTTCTTGTAATGTTTTGGGGTTAAAGTAAAAACAAGATAGAACGTGGTGTTTCTTTCTTTCTTTTTTTGAGACAGAGTCTCACTTTATTGCCCTTGGTAGAGTGCCATGGCGTCACAGCTCACAGCAACCTCTAGCTCTTGGGTTTAGGCGGTTCTCTTGCCTCAGTCTCCCGCGTATCTGGGACTCCAGGCCCCCGCCACAATGCCCAGCTATTTTTTTGTTGCAGTTTGGCAGGGGCCAGGTTTGAACCCACCACCCTTGGTATATGGGGCCAGCGCCCTACTCACTGAGCCATAGGCGCTGCCCTCCCCCCTTTTTTTTTGAGACAGAGTCTCACTTTGTCATCCTGGTAGAGTGTCAGTGGTATTATAGCTCACAGCAACCTCATACTCCTGAGCTCAAGTGATCCACCTGCCTTGGCCTCCCAGAGTGCTCGGATTCCAGGTGTGAGCCACTGCACTCAACAAGAACACAGCGTGTCTATTTGAGATTCAGATATTATCTTTATTACTGTTGTTCATTGAAGCAGTGTTCTAGAGCAGTGGCTTCCAGATTTATCCTTTTTAAAAAGCATTTACTAAGTGCTTACTGGGGTCCTTTAACCCTCAACATTTATTGAATGCTCACTGTGTGTAAGGTACTATTAGGCTCTTATGATAATTAATTTTATGCAACAATTTAGCTGGGCCATCATACCCTGTTGATTGGTCAAACACTAGTCTAGGTGTTGCTGCAGAGGTAACTTTTTAGGGAAATTTACATTTAAATCAGTAGACTTTGAGTAAAGCAGATGACCTCCATGACCTCCATGTGTGGGTGGGCCTCATCTAATCAGGTGAAAGCTTTAAGAGAAAAGACTGACGTCCCCAGAAGAAGGACTTCTGCCTGAGGCTGTTCTCAGACCCAGGACTGTACCACTGACTGCTGCAGATATTCCCAGCCTGCCACCCTGCCCTCCAGACTTTGAACTTGCCAACTCCAACAATCACAATTCCTTAAAATAAATCAATTAACAATTCCTTAAAATAAATCTCTCCATCTCTCTCTCTTTCGGAGAGACACACACACCACTGCTTGTTTCTTAGAAAGCCCCAACTACTGCAGCTCTGCAATCTAGAAGACATCTGACCTCACAACTAGTCTGTGATTAAGACACAGCGGAGTCCATCACACGGGTGGTCACTGGGGCTATGCAGAGACATTCAGGCTTCCCTCACTTCCCAAGCACAGGGTAGAACTGCACTTCCTGGTCTCCTGTGGGGAGTCAGGTCATGTGGTCAAGTCTGGCCAAAAACCTGGGAGTGGCAGGTTATTCTTTTCACTCTGAGCCCTTAATTGCCATTGTGAGCCCCTCAGAAGAGCTCACTTTTCCCTCTGAGCAGTGGGTGCCTCCAGAGGGCAGTTGCTTCATCAGCCTGGAGGGGGACAGGACATGGGTGCAGATCCCTCAGCCCTCCTAAGATGGACGTGTAGGGTGGGTGGGAAATAAGCCTTCACTGTAATAGCTTTGGAGATCTAGGGAATGTTTGTTACTGCAACAATCCCACCCCAACTAACACTCAATGGTATTACGTCATCCACAGGTGGATGAAGACACAATGAGGAGAATGAAGCCTTTGAACTTTAAGGAACCAGGAGAACAGCAACAGTTCTTTTGGTCTGTTGCCAAAAGGACTGCCATATTTTTAGGGCAGGAGAGAGAGATTAAGAAATAGAAATTATGTGATTTCCAACTGGCACATACCTGCTAAGAGGGATCTCGGGTGTCCAGAAGGGGTAAATTCGAGCCACAGAATCTCGCATCTGTTCCTGGTAGCCCAAGTAAAAGTAGGTATCGTGGGAAAATTTCAGGGCCAACATGTCTGTTGGGTGGTCCCGGAGAATCTGTTCCCATAGTTCACAGGCTTTCGGGAAGTTCCTGGAAGCCAGGAGAGATTTGTCAGCAACACCGAACAGACGTCCACCCCCGTAAATGGCATCATTTCTCCCTCACGTCATGGTCTACACTGAACTGGTTTAAATAAGAAAATCAGTGTCTATGTTAGGTTATAGCTCAGAAAATTGAAAACAGTGAGAAATGTCACTCTGTAGTCCAGGTTTAAAAATACTGGTTTAAAAAATTCCACTGGAGTCTGTGAGCCCGCAGCAGGAAGTCTCCGGCTGGAATTCATACCTGGGCTGCCTTTCCAGGAAGACCTGGGCAGGACTTTGTCAATTCAGGGTTTGGAACCCCTGAGCCCTCAGGGGCATCTCACCTGCCTGAGTAGGCACAAGGGCTGTCCTGGAGAGCACAGGGACCACCAAGGACCCAAAGCAGGGGCGGTCTGAGGCAGCGTGAGGCAAGTGGCATGTAGGGGAATGTTCCATTCTCTCTTCCGGCTATTTCTGTAATGTGGCCCTATTATTCTCATAGTGAAATAATATGCAATTTATTGAATGAAACAAAATAAGTTTCTTTGAACACCAAGCTGGGGACTCTAACCAACTACTTCCTCATACAGCATTCAACTGCAATTTCCAATCAGGTCATCTCACCAGGTAGGGCCAGAGCCACTCCTGGGCCACCCCCTCCTCAAGGGCACTGGGAAAGGGGGACCCTGACATTCCCAAGCACGGCCTCAGAGGGCCAGCCCCTAGCCCGGGGGGCCTCACCCCTTGGCAAACATCTCTACTGCAGACACGTGCAGCTGCTCTCGCCGCGTTAGCGGCTGGGTTGTTGAAATCTTCACCATGGTCTTCACATCCAGGTCCAGCTCTTTGTCCAGCCTCACAGAGCTTCCGGTGCCAATCAGCATGAGGCCATTAGAGAGGACATGGCCCATCGCTGGCAAAGGTTGGAAGACAGCAGGTGGTTCAGACAGAGGGAGTGGCTCCAGTGCACTGTCTGCAGCTCATCAGTTAGCCTGTCACCACAACCACACACAGCCTCTGGAGGGACACTCAAGGGCTGCTGCTCAGGGCGCTGTCTGCAGCGGCCCCAGAGCACAAAGCCATGATCCTGTCTGGTCTACTCTTGCACGTGGAGAATTGGTGAGGAGATGTGCGTATGGTCCTTGAAGCAATCTTGCTGGCTAGTATGCAGACCCCAGGGTCCTACCTGGGCTTCCTATCCCCAAACTGGAGAGAGACAGGGTGTATGTAGGTGTTTAAAACTCAGTCACAGTCCAGGCCTGCAACCTGCGGCCTAATCATAGGGGTAAGACCACCCATGTGGGCCCTGCTTCTGACCTAGGGCTTGAGGTCAGTCAGAGTGCCTGAGCCAACCCTGGCTACTCTTTCCCTTGGTTGGGCTCAGCTTGCCGGGTTCTTCCCAGTTCCTGCCCCATCCTGTTCTTGCCAGAGTAGCTTGAGCTCCCTGCCTTCAGTATGGCTGCAGCAGGACGGGAAGGGGGGACCCTGCAGCCCTGATGAAAGGACTGTCCTCCTGTCAGTCCTTCTCTGAGACCTGGAACCTTGACCCATAGTGAGGCCACCCACCCACCCTGAGCTCCAGAATGCACTGTGCTGACCTCCCCATGCCTGCCACACGCAGAGCTTGCCCAGATGCCACACCATTTATCAGTCCTCACCCCATCCCAGCCACTTACCTGTCCCCTGATCAAGGCTGCAGTAGCCATCTCTTGTGATCCCAGGGTCTGGGCTTTGGATATATACAGGCTCGTCTAATCAGTCCCTCAACTACCATCAAGGTGGCTTTGGGAATGTGTCTTACTGTCCCTGAACTACAGTTTCCTCATCTGAAAAATGGAATCATTGTCTTCCTTGCAGAACTGATAGCAATTACAGAAAAAATTGAAAAATGCCTTCGATTAGAACCTGGCATCTGTATGGGAGCAGCTGTTAACTGAGTCCCTGTATCCAGGGGATGAGACAGGCTGGAACCATGACACTGGGCTCCTCCCTCAGGGAAAATGTTACTCACCAAAGGTTGGATCTGCAGCTTTGAGCTTTGCCAGGCAGCCCTCAATTCCCCCGAGACTCTTGTCATTGGTCCATTTTACATACTGAAATAGAAAAGGCAAAACAGGCTCAGTGCCTGTGGCTCAAGCGGCTAAGGCGCCAGCCACATACACCTGACCTGGCGGGTTCGAATCTGGCCTGGGCCCGCCTAACAACAATGACGGCTGCAACCAAAAAACAGCCAGGCATGGTGGCAGGCGCCTGTAATCCCAGCTACTTGGGAGGCTGAGGCAGGAGACTCGGTTGAGCCCAGGAGTTGGAGGTTGCTGTGAGCTGTGACGCCAAAGCATTCTACCTAGGATGACAGCTTGAGGCTCTGTCTCAGAAAGAAAAAAAAAAAGAAAAGAAAAGGCAAAACAAAGCTGTCCTTGTGGAGTCCTTGGATCATATTAATGAAGGCACGTATCTAAATCCAGGCCGTTTTTTTTCTTTCTAGAACATTGTTTTCTGGACTCCAACCTGAAGGAAGCACAACATGGTTCACCTCACAGGCAGGGATTAAATACATAGGCCCACTTTGTAGGGCTGGTGATGTTACCATTTCCAAAAAAAGAAACATCAGAAGGAAGGCTCTTCCTGGCAAGTGACCTTCCCCCTGCCAGCTTCTTCAGCCCTAACAGGGCACTTGAAGTTGGGCACCACAATAGGAACACTTCAAATTCTTACTCATGCCTTTTAAAAATAACCACAGCAAAAATTCATGGTAGAGTGTGAGAAAAGGGCACAAAAACTGGACAAAAACACTTAATGTAATCTTTTCTCATCATTATTTTTGACAATTTGATATATTGGTTTCTAGTCTTTTTAAAAAATACCTCCTTTTAGTCTCAGCACCTGTAGCTCAGCGGCTAGGATGCCAGCCACATACACCAGAGCTGGCAGGTTTGTCCAGCCTGGGCCTGCCAAACAACAATGACAACTACAACCAAAAAATAGCTGGGTGCTGGACAGCACCTATGGCTCAAAGGAGTAGGGTGCTGGCCCCATATACTGGAGGTGGCAGGTACAAACCCAGCCCCGGCCAAAAAAAGGAAAGAAAAATAGCTGGGTGTTGTGACAGGCGCCTGTAGTCCCAGCTACTTGGGAGGCTGATGCAAGAGAATCACTTAAGCCCAAGAGTTTGAGGTTGCTGTGAGCTATGACGCCACAGTACTCTATCCAGGGTGACAGCTTGAGACTCTGCCTCCAAAGAAAAAGACAAATCTCCTTTTAAAAAATCCTAACACTATAATAATGCATTGGATTTTAAAATGTGTAGTTTCAGGGTGGTGCCTGTGGCTCAGTGGGTAGGGCGCTGGCCCCATATACTCAGGGTTCAAACCCAGCCCCGGCCAAACTGCAACAAAAAATAGCCGGCCGTTGTGGTGGGTACCTGTAGTCCCAGCTACTCAGGAGGCTGAGGCAAAAGAATTGCCTAAGCCCAGGAGTTGGAGTTTGCTATGAGCTGTGATGCCACAGCACTCTACCAAGGGCGATAAAGGGAGACTCTGTCTCTAAAACAAAAATAAAATAAAATGTGTACTTTCAGTTGTCTAACCTACATGCATTTTAACAAGAATCAGGGGAGCTGGCACAGAAATTCACAAAAAACCCAAGTTCAAATGCAGGACAGCATAGACACCAATATGTGTGCACAGGACAGAAAACCCACAGCTGGGAGGATGAGACCTGCTGAGTTAGGGAACTCAGCCTGTAACAAATAGAGAACTCTACAGAGGCCAGTGATGTCCAGGAGGGGCCAGTGGGCCAACATTAAACACAATAGACAAAGAGCTCAAGTGCACACTGTGGAGTCCCTGGCAAGGAGAGACTGGGAACAGAAGCACTGGTGGCACAGCTAATGGAGTGTCTGTAGGGAGCCAGCTCCCGAACAACCGTGAGTGTCCCCAGTGCTTGGTAGTGATGAGGGAATGAAGAAAATGAAGACAATAGAAATAGAGTAGAATTTATAGCGTGGGCTGGGGGGCTGACGGCCTTTATTCAAGAGATAGTCACAGTTCCCAACTCCAGATGGACTCAGTTTTTATAACTTCTCTTGATCAGCAAATGGGTGTTTGCAACAACAATATACATCATCCCTGCAGTGTCTCATGCCCTAATTCCCCATTACCTGTCCGATTACGCTTTAGCTATTTTCATTACTTTACTTCTTTAAAAGATTTATCAATCACTAACAGGATTACAGAAAACAAAAGAAAAAGGGAACATGGACTTTGGAGCTAACTGCAGCCCAGTTAATCCTCTGTGTTCCTGTAGGGTGGATTAGCTGACGCCCGAATCATAACAGGAGCTGGGGAGAAAAAAGCTGAATCCTCTTATCTCACACCCACAAGAACTAGTTTTTCTTGCTCAATGAGTCAGCTGCACGTGCTGTCCTAGTTAATCTTAAAATGGCTTCCCAAGTCCTTTCAGGCCCCAGTCAGGCCCTTGTGGACCTTTTTCCTGAAGTCCTTTGGTGTTCACGCTAAGCTGTCTCGTGAAACCCCCAGTATAGTTACGTTCTTTGTGGAGGTGCATGTCCTCACCTATTAGTCTGCATACCTGACCCTGATCACAAAACTTTGTGATCATTGAATTATTACAACAATCTAACTCTACTCCCATAATCCTAACTTCCCTAATGTTCACCTACTAGTATCATGTTTCCTGTTCAGCTTGTTGCTTCTAGGATCTTCCTTGGTCCTCACCAACCTTCCTTGGTTACGCAGACGGAGTCCATATGTAGCAGTCTCACTGCTCCTGATAAAGCCCAGCTTTAGTTTTCCATTGGTGTATTTAGAACTTGGTGCATCCTGGTTCTCTAACTCACTAGCAAACCTTAAACTCAAATTGGTTCAATTGTCTGGGTCTCAGTTTCTCCACCTGTCAAACAAACTAGGTGGACCTTACTTCTGAGAGCCCTACTGGTTCTGAAACTATATATGCCTTCATTGATACAGAAATGACTGACGATATGCCAGAGGTCTTGAACAGCAAGACCAAGGGTGAGAGCGGCATGGTCACAGATTAGCCCAAGGCAAGATCCCATGCCCTAAGAGGCAGAGCCCCACATCAAAGCCTCAGCAGGCCATAGAGGAACCCCCATGGAGGCTCACCACAAAACCACCCCCCTCAATGGGCCCCAGCTCTCTCCCCACCACTCTGGGACCTGGGGAAGGAGGGCAAGTCAGCGACCCTCTCGCCCACACTGTGGCCAAAAGAGGTGGTTTCACATGTTCCCATGTCCTCAGTACAAAGTATATAGATTTTACTGCCATCTCTTGCTAAAGTCACAGTGCAATTTAAAAAGCATTTACTAATTAAAAAACCCTCCCCATAGACCGTCCCAGGAGGGTCGCCACTCATCTCAGCAGGCACACCTGGGTCAGGGTGGCATCAAACAGCTTGGAGGCCTCGTTGCTCGGGGTAGAGAGTGGGAGCCCAGCATCCTTCCACGCCTGCAACACAAGAAGGCAATACAGGGTCTGATCCAAACCCAAACACGTGAGCCCAGCCCGCCAGCACACTCCCAGATTGCTCCACATCTGGCAACAATTTATTTAAACACAGGCTTCTATAGGATGTGGCCTTGGGGGGCTCTCTCCAACTTCACAGTGAAGGGCAGAGAGAAAGCTGAGCTCAGATCCCTATCCAAATCCCAGGAGCCTCCAAACAGCTGTGCACCCCCCCCCAGGCAAGATCCCCCCCATCCTTGGCTGTCCCTCTGCAAAACAGGCCCTGAAGGACTTAATGAGATGACTGTGTAAATGGCAGTCCCTGAGCAGATGAGGGAGCTCCAGCAGGCAAGACAGAAGAGGAGGCCGTCTTTCCATTTGGCGGGCAAGATGCACACTCCCTGCCAACCACCAGAACAGTTGGACCTCCAAGTACTGCCATGTCAGATTTGTTCACTGTGATTGCTGCCCTTGGTCTCCTGCCACAGGACTCCTGTGGGCAGAGGAAATGTCCTTCATTCCTAGCCAGCTCAGTGGGCCATCTTCTGAGGTTTGGTATTGGGTAGCTGTGCACAAGCCGCCTGGCCCCTCTGACCTTCATCTTCCTCATCTGCAGAATGGGCTCAGACTCTCTGCCTTGGGTGGGTTCGAAGGGGACCTTCACTTTAACCCAGCAGACCATGCCAACTCGAGTGGGCTAAGTTTTTAGGAGGTCCCGGAGGCTCCCTGGAACCTAAACGGGCACCGCTTGTTTCCTTTTGGTGGGGACCCCACAACAGGGTCCTCCGGTCCCTTCTATATGCTGCCCGGAAGTGCCTGTGCGCCCAGGGCTGTCACCCGCACCTCGCGCTCCAGCCAGGTCCACCGCAGTCCGCCGCGGCGCTGCCTGCCGGCGTTCCCCTGTGGTTGCCCGCAGGCCCCCCAGGCCTGGGGCGCCCTCGGCTTACCTGGCAGTCGCGCAGCTGTGCGGGGGCGGCCATGCTGGGCGGGGTCGAAGTCCAGAGGGCCTGGACTCCCAGCGCGGCCACCGCTTTCCGGGGTGGAGCACAAAGGGGCGGGGCAGGGTGGCGGCGCTGTCCCTCTAGCTCACTGGTGGGTTTCTGACAGACCTGCGGCGGCTTGGGGACCTGGGCCGGCCCCCGAGGTCCCACTGAGCCGCTCCGCAGGCGCCGCAGAGCATCCGCCCAGTGCGGGTGCTACGAGGGGTGTCCACTGGCTCCCCTGGGTCGGGCTGCGGGGACCTGGCCTGGGCTCGAAGGGGGCACTGTGGTGCGAGTCTGCGTGTTCGCGCCTGCCTCCCCATCACAGCGGGAGCCTGCGGCGGGAAGGCCATGCTGCTGGCCTCGGGATGCGCGTTTGGTGGTCCAGCCCGGTCCTGCCTCCCTCCCCGCTGTGCCCGCTAAGGCCTCCTCCCTGTCGAGGACCCAACTCAGGAGGCGCCTGCAGAGTCCCTTTGAGGGCAGGAAAGCCCTGGGACTGCGGTTATTTTCAAGTTCTATGTTGTCCGCGCGTGCAAACCACACATTGGAATGTCATATTGGGCCACCACTGTCCTGGGCCTCATTTCCCTCCCTTCTTGACGCAGTGCAGATACAGCTCTCCTGTCTTGCAGCCTCAGAACGCACCAAACTCGCCCACCAGCCAGGAACCTGCTCCACCCAGTGGGCTCTCACCTAGTTTAATCTACCCGTGCCACAGTGCATGAGCCACCTGACCAGTGCAAGTGCAGGCGCGGATTTTATTTAAAATGGTAATATTTTGTGCATCACGGGCTTCTGGCATTAATTTTTATTTTCAAAAGTATTGTATTAACACATTACTTGTTTTATATGAGAGCTGAAACTCTTACAAGAAAACGTGGGGTGGGGGGCTGGGCGCCTGTAGCTCAAGCAACTAAGGTAGCAGCCACATACACCAGAGTTGATGGGTTGGAACCCAGTCTGGGCCGCCAAACAACAATGACAACTACAACCAAAAAATAGCCATATATTTTTGTAGTTGTGGTGGGCACATGTAGTCCCAGCTAGTTGGGAGGCTGAGGCAAGAGAATTGCTTAAGCCCAGGAGGAGGCTTGCTGTCAGCTGTGATGCCACAGCACTCTACCGAGGGTGAAATAGTGAGACTCTGTCTCAATAAAAATAAATAAATAAATAAAAATGAGCAAAATATTTGAATTGACATTTCTCTAAAGAAGACATATGCTTAGCATGATGCTGTGAAGGTTCATTTGTACTGTTGCTAAGTGAAAAAAGCCAGACATTAATGGGAGAGAAACAAGAAAAAGCAGACAGGTGAGGGCTGGGGGAGATGGGAAGGCAGTGAGCGCCGATGGTACCGGGCTTCCTTTCAGGTTAATGAAAATTTGTGGAACTAGCTGGAGGCACAGTGGCTCACCCCTGTAATCCTTGCACTCCGGGAGGCCCAGGCAGATGGACTGCTTGAGCTCAGGAGTTCCAGACCCGCCTGAACAAGAGCAAGAACCCATCTCTAAAAATTGTTGGGCATTATGGTGGGTGCCTATAGTCCCAGCTACTCGGAAGGCTGAGACAAGAGGATTGCTCAAGCCCAAGAGTTTCAGGTTGCTGTCAGCTATGATGCCATAGGACTCAACCCTAGGGCTATTTTAATGAGAGACTCTGTCTCAAAAAAAAAAAAAAAAGAAAAGAAAGAAAGAAAGAAAGAAAAAAAGTGTGATGTTTGCAAAATATCATGAACACACTGAATTCTACTGATTTGTACACTTTTAAATGGTTACTTTTGGGGCCTGGTGCAGTGTTTCACACCTGTAATCCCAGCACTTGGGAGGCCAAGGCAGGTGGATTGCCTGAGCGCAGGGGTTTGAGACCAGTCTCAGCTAAAGCAGGACCCTATCTTTAGAAATAGCTGGGCATTGTGGTGGGAGCCTATAGTCCCAGCTACTAGGGAGACTAAGGCAGGAGAATCACTTAAGCCCAGGAGTTTCAGGTTGCTGTGAGTTATGACACTACAGCAACTCTATGGAGGGTGACATAGTGAAACTATCTCAAAAAAAAAAAGGTTACTTTTATGTTAATTTTATCCCAATCAAGAAATTTGTCTTAATAAGTTTTTGGTGCCCCTCACCATTTTTTTTTTTTTGGCAGTTTTTGGCCAGGGCTGGGTTTGAACCTGCCAACCCACCACCTCCAGCATATGGGGCCGGCGCCCTACTCCTTTGAGCCACGGGCACCACCCGCCCCTCACCTTTAAACTTCGCACCTGAGGTAAATGCCTGCCTGCCCCTCTACCCAGTGTAAACTGGGGCCTCGGTAGAAGAATTTGGCAACATCCATCTGGGAAAAGTGAAGATGCCCAGACCCCAAGTTTCCAACATTCCACTCCTGCATGACCAGAAGGCCCCAGAAGGTCAAGAACAAAACTGTGTGTGGCCAAGAAGCCTCCCACTGAACCCAGGGTGGGGCCCGGTCATTCTTCCTGCACCTTCTCCAGGGTGCAAGAAGATGGCAGGGTGAAGGCTGGAGGGAAGACGCCTTTGGAGACCATCGTAGGTGGCATTTTCCCTCCCTTTCCCTCACCCCTGCTTAGTGGCAAGGCCTCCATAGGCCCCCTGACCTATGTCCCTGGGGGCCTGGGGCCAGAAGCTGGTGTCAGTTGGCGGCAGTGGCTCTGAGAGATAAGCAGAGGCTGTGTGGGGGTGGGCAGTTGGGGGGCATACTGTGGCTGGTCAGGTTGCCTTTCCTCTGGGTGAGGTGTGGCCTTACTGGAGGGGAAGAGAGAACCAGGGAGGCAGGGAGCAGGCTTTCCCCCAAACCCGAGTGGAGTGGACGGAAACCCTACAAACCTAGGCTGAAGGTTGTCCTCAGAGTCCCTGCCTAAGTGGGGGGCCAGAGATGACAGCCCTCCAGTGAAAACGTCAGAGGGGGCCTCCAGGACAGTCAGCCTCAGACAAGTGCAGCCAGACGCTATCCAGCAGAGACACTGCCCTCATTCGGCAATCCCTACTGCCGGGCCCTGGGGACGAGGAGTGGGGACGCCTCCCTGAAGCCTCACTAGCCCCCACCGCCCCTGTCCCAGCTGCTTCCTGGACCTCACTGTCGCTGAGACTCTCTGCCCCGTGACCCTCGATGCCCCATGCCCTGCTGTCCCCGTGAGCCCCGGTATCCCGGCTCGAGACCCCGCGGCAGTTGGGCCAGCCCAGGGCCCTCCCAGCTCCTCCAGGCAGGAGCCATGCGGCCTGGGTCCGCGCTCCTCCTCCTCCTGGGCCTGAGCCTGGGCCTCCTCCCGCCACCCGTGGCTCCTCGCTGGGCCCCGGCCGCCGTCGCCGGACCGTCGGCCTCGCCGTCCGGCGGCCTCTTCAGGAGCGCTCCGGGCTCCGGGGACCGCGGCGACAGCACCGGCCTCATCCTGCGGCCCCGCGTGGCTCGGGACGGCGGCGTCCTATGGAGCGGCAGCCGCTACCTCTGCTTCCCCCGCGACGGGGCCGACCGAGCGGGCGGCGGGCGGCGCGTGTCCCCGCGGCCCCCGGGCCGGTACTGCCTGGGCGTGCGCGTCCTGCTCCGCGGCCAGCCGGGTCCCGCCGCGCCCACGCGTGTGGACCTGCGCGTCTGGGCGCCCCGCGGCCGCCTCTCGCTGGTGTGGTCGGCCCGCCTGCCACAGCCGCTCGGGGCCTTGGCCTGGGTCTTCCAGCTCTGGCTGTTTGGGCCTGGGGCAGCCAGGCCGACCCGCGACGCGTCCTCCACCGCGCGCCTCTCTCCGCGCTCCGCCCTGCTCGCCGACCCGCGCCCCAACACCGGCTTCGTGGCCCAGACCAAGTGTCCCACAGACGGACCCACGCCCATCGTTCTGGAAGCCGTCGACTCGCCCAACTACACAGCCGTGGAGTCTTCGGTGTCCTGTCAGCTGAAAAGGTGTAGTATCCAGAGTGTGAAGATCAATACGAACAACGACGGGTCGCCTGTGATCCTGGGGTGGAAGGAATCGGCCACCATCAACGCCTCTGTTGTCCATGACTGCTTTTTCTACCTGTCCATGCGACACCTCTGGCAGTACTATTCCGTGCCCTCCGTGAATGATAAGCCCGACTGGACTCAACCTTTGTATCTGCCACACATCCAGCTAATGAGGAATCCACTGTTTATACACATCCCCAAATCTTCTTTACCTGTGGGTGTGTATGTGATTAATTTCACGTTGACCATCACCACAAGGACTCAAAATCAGTCTGTCCTACAAGACTCAGATGCCATCTACCTCTGGGTTGTCAAACGTCCCCTGAGGGCCATTATTCTTGGAAATGAGGTCGAAACCGTGAGCTTCACAGATCAGCTGGTTCTGGATGGATCAACATCCTTTGACCCAGATGCAGATGACCCACAGGAGGGACTCCGGTTTTCTTGGTACTGTACCACAAATTCACAAAACTACCACAAAGACCAAATAGCAGTAATGAACAAGGAAGTCTGTCTCCCAGAGCAGGCTAGTCTCAAGTGGCCAGGGACCCCTGGCTCTGTGCTAACACTTTTGCCAGAAACACTTAAAGGTGGCCACATGTATTTTTTCAGAATGGTGATACAGAAAGGTCACAAAACAGCATCTTCTGACAAAACAGTACAAGTGCTCCAAGGACCTAAAATTGTCGCGCAAATTTCATGCATTGAGAATTGTGACAGAAATTTAATTTCATCAGATAGATTTTGTGTGTTTTTAAATTGCACGAATTGTGCAAGTCGAGATTCCTACAAATGGTCCCTTTTGTCTTCTTCAGGAAGTGAAATGCTATTTGATTGGACGGCGCAAACAATGACAGGAAGGAATAGCGCTTATCTGTCTCTAAAAGCTTTCGCTCTTCATCATTTTCCAGAAGCTGAGTTTTCGGTTTCTCTCCATGTAGCAAGTTGGAGTGGAGATAGCTCAGTCTTCAGGTATGTCTTCATTATTAACCATGGCCCGCAAACTGGAAAATGCAAGATTAATCCAACAAAAGGAGTTGCACTAGTTACTAAATTTGTTGTCCAGTGTAGTAATTTTAAGGATAATCACATCCCTCTTACATATAAAATAATTGTTTCTTATCTCCACGGGCTTGGTGAAATCAGTTCAGTAAGAGAGAACACCTTGGGGACGATCCTGTATTTGGGTCCTGAGTCCACAGCACCCCCTTCCTTTCTTCCTGTTGGTGTGTTGGCTAATCATTATGCCACAAAAATATACGTTCAGGTTTATGACTCTCTGGGGGCTTTTTCTCAGGTGATTTTGTATGCCACTGTGCAGGCACCTACTGACAAGATGTCATCAAAGACTGTGCTGCATCAGTTATTCAATCTCACCAGCGGGCCAGATTCAGTGCTATCTACTTTGCTTCAAAAGCAGGACTTCTTACCTGCAGGTTACTTAATGTATATAGTAGCTTCCATTTTGAATAACATGAAAGCTGAATCGCCCCTGGAACATGACAAACTCAGTCTCCGAGAACACCTTGTCAATCAGTCTTACCTTCTTCCCCTGAACACTTTGGTGCAAATCAGCCAGGCAGTGACGACTATAACCAAATTAATCCAGAAACCCTCTGAATTTACTGGAGCTGCTCAGAGATATGGCACAGTGAGGCTGTGGCAAGCAGATCAAGGCCTGCAAGAGTATCAACGAAACGATAAACACTTTAGATCTGAACAAATAGAAATTATAACCACTGGAACATTAACAAGTGTGTCTAACATCCTTAAACTAACTGGTCGTCAGAAAATGGTTAAAGATATTTTCTATGTAATAGAATCTATGGCAGACACAATATTGGCTGGTAAAGTACCAGGGAATAGTACTTTCATGAGAACCCCCAACGTTAACATGTATATCAAGAAAGCTGAAAAACGAGATGTTACCAAGGTCTTCAGAAACCAGAAACACTGCCAAAACTGTTTCTATCCAACACTCAATGTAAGCAGCGTTCCTGATCTGCCTGCAAATGCTCTAGTGTCTACGATGTTTTGTGAGTTTGCAGAGGACCCCTTTCCTTGGTTAAATGACCAAGAAAATGCTTCAGTGAAGGTGGTTGGCTTCAGAATGACAGGAGAACATAACGGTACCATGATAGAGATCACACCCGATGTGGTGGAAGTGTCCCTTTTCATAAAAAACTTGACCTTTGCAATTTTTAATCTCACACTGGGACCCAACAAGGAGGTTGATGGGGCCTTGAAGAAGACGATTGGGGCCTTTAGCTTTGAAGTGGACAGCAATGTACTGAGGGAGGTGATGGTCCACATTATGACTGAAGTGACTGTGTTTTTCAAGGTGTTGGTGTACGCAGGCAGTCAGATCACCTCCACAGCTCTGGTTGCCAGCTTCCTTGTGCCTCATGACATCCCTCCAATTGCCAGCCAGAGTGTCCCATTCGACCCGGCCTGCCCAGTGAAGCAAGCCCGCGTGGTGTGCCTCTCACTGTCTCTGCTGCAGCTCATAGCTCAGCGTAGCCGCTCCTCCCAGTGTGCTGTGTCTGTGGTCTTGCAGGCACCTCGTTTCCTCTTAGAGCCCACTGACAAACTAGTAAGGATTTCTCTTTTCAGCATTCAATGCTTGGACATGTATGGGATCCAGGGTGAGTGGAGGGAAGACTACTGCATTCCTGGTGAGAAGAGCACCTTGGCCAATGTGTACTGTATTTGCAGGTGGCCAACGAGGGCCAAGCGGCAGGCAGGCACATTCTGGCTATCCGACCTTCCCCTGCATACCCGCTATGTGATGGCCAAGATGATTGTGTATCCTAACTATGTGGATCTGCGGCTAGTGGTCATCAAGAACGTTTACCAAAACCCCGTGACCCTCATCACTGTGCTTTTTATTATATTTTCGTACATGGTCCTAGCTTTCTGGGCCTTGCACAGGGATGAAATGGACCAGTTTCTTCGGGGACGTGCGATAGTTCTACCTGATAATGATCCTTATGATGACGTGTGCTACTTGGTCACTGTTTTTACAGGAAGTCGTTGCGGGGCTGGGACCAAGGCTGATGTCTTTCTGCAGCTTCAGGGTACAGAAAGTACCAGTGATGTGCACTGTTTAAGCCACCCTCAATTTACAACTCTCTATCGGGGAAGCATCAGTACTTTCCTCCTAACGACAAAAAGTGATTTGGGAGACATCCATTCCATCCGTGTATGGCATAACAATGAGGGTAAAGCACCTAGTTGGTATGTAAGTCGAATCAAAGTGGAGAATCTGTTTAGCAGACACATTTGGCTGTTCATGTGCCGGAAATGGCTTTCCATTGACACCACTTTGGACAGAACGTTTCATGCTATCAGCTCAGATCAGCCTCTGAGAAGAAGAGACTTTTTCCTTATAGACCTGAGTAAAAATCTAGGGAAAAGCCACCTGTGGTTCTCTATTTTTGCTGCCATCATTCCAAAATCATTCAATAGGCTCCAAAGATTGTCTTGTTGTTTAGCGATGTTGCTAAGCTCTCTTCTTTGTAATATTATGTTCTTTAATCTAAATAAAGAAGAAAATGAGTCAAGACAGTGGCGCTACGTCAGATCCATGATGATAGGAATTGAAAGCGTCTTACTTACAATCCCTGTGCAATTATTAATAACTTTTCTGTTCACCTATTCCCAGAAGAAACCTCTAGTGAGTTTAGACCAGGTGTCTCCTCAGAAGAACCCCGTGACATCAGAAGACAGTGGACATTGGGAAGACCGTTTGGGAAACTGGCATGCTCATGAAACTGCTGCAACAGAAACCAGGGAGGCGACAGAGACCAGGGAGGCTGCAAAGCCTGTCTCCAAGAGAAAATCTCAGCTTCCCAAGCATTCCATTAGATCAACCTTTAAATCAAAGAGGCAGCAGGAGAAAGCAAAAACCAAGTCCCGAAAGAGCCAAAGACAAAATGCAAATTCCAATAACAGCAACAACAATGCCAATGAAGATGTTAATTCTGAAGAGCATGCTTCCCAAGAGAATCTTCCCCATCCTATAAAAGAGCCCCAGGTTGTCCAGCCTTGGTGGTGTATTTATATAGCATGGTTCTTGGTTTTTGCCACATCCAGCATATCTTCCTTCTTTATTGTATTTTATGGGCTGACTTATGGCTATGAAAAGTCAATGGAATGGCTCTTCACATCCTTGTGTTCCTTCCTTGAGTCAGTCCTTCTGGTGCAGCCAGCTAAAATTATACTCTTGTCAGGCATCAGGGCAAATATTCCCAAGTACAGTAAAAACCTCTCGTGGTCAAACCTGTATCGTTACACAGACATCACGCTGCCAGGGGTGAATATGCATCCTGACGAAATGGAGAGGATACATGACCAGGTCAGACAACTCCAAGGCTCTAGGATGTACCAGCCTCTCACAGAAGATGAAATAAGAATATTCAAGAGAAAGAAGAAGATCAAGCTAAGAGCCCTCCTGTTCCTGAGTTACATTGTGACTCACCTGATCTTTCTGGCCCTGCTGTTGGTCCTTATTGTCCTGCTGCGCCACACTGACAGCTTCTACTACAACCAGTTTCTTCATGATCAGTTCTCTGTGGGTCTTGCTGCTGTGACCAAACTGGAAGACATCTACAGGTGGCTGAAGAATGTGCTGGTGCCTCTGTTACACAACGACTTAAACCCGACATTCCTTCTTGACAGCTCATCCAAGATCCTTGGCCTTCCACTGATGAGGCAAGTCAGAGCAAAATCTAGTGAAAAAGGGTGTCTACCTGCTGAAAACTTTGTGCAGAACAGCATCAAAAGGGAAATTCGTTGCCATCCCGAATATGGTGTTGACCCAGAAGATACAAAAGACTATTCTAGCTCTTGGAATGAAATTAATAAATGGGATACAGACAGGAATACCAGTGGATTTACTTATAAGCCTCAAGAAAAGCAATGGGTGTATTATTCCTATGGGTTGTTACATACCTATGGGTCTGGAGGATATGCATTCTACTTTTTTCCAGGAGAGCAGCAGTTTAATTCCACACTGAGGCTTAAAGAACTTCAAGAAAGCAATTGGCTTGATGAGAAGACATGGGCTGTGATTTTGGAATTAACGACTTTTAATCCAGACGTGACTCTGTTTTGCAGCATTTCTGTCATATTTGAGGTCTCTCAGTTAGGAGTTGTCAATACAAGCATATCCCTACACTCTTTCTCACTTGCTACATTTGACAGAAAAACTTCAGCAGAAATCTACTTGTATGCAGCCATTCTCATTTTCTTCTTAGCCTACATTGTTGATGAGGGCTATATCATTATGCACGAAGGAGCCTCTTATGTGAGAAGTGTGTATAATTTGCTCAACTTTGCTCTAAAATGCATATTTACCGTGTTGATTGTGCTCTTTCTCAGGAAGCATTTCTTGGCCACTGATATGATTCAGCTTTATAAGTCACAACCGGAAAACTTCATTCCCTTTCATGTAGTTTCTCAAGTAGATCACACCATGAGGATAATTTTGGGTTTCCTATTATTTCTGACAATTTTGAAGACCCTCAGGTATTCCAGATTCTTCTATGATGTGCGCTTGGCTCAGAGGGCCATCCAGGCAGCCCTCCCTGGCATCTGCCACATGGCATTTGTGGTGTCTGTATACTTCTTTGTATACATGGCTTTCGGTTACCTGGTATTCGGTCAGCACGAATGGAACTACAGTAACATGATTCATGCCACGCAGACAGTGTTTTCCTACTGTGTCTCAGCTTTTCAGAACACTGAATTCTCTGAAAACAGGATTCTGGGGGTCCTGTTCCTCTCGTCCTTCCTGCTGGTGATGATCTGCATCTTGATCAACTTGTTTCAGGCAGTGATTCTGTCTGCCTATGAGGACATGAAACAGCCTGTCTATGAAGAACCATCAGATGAAGTGGAAGCGATGACCTATCTGTGTTACAGGCTTAGAACTATGTTTAGCTTTCAGACCTCACAGGACAGGGCCAAAGAGGAGCCCAAGTTCTTTGTCAATATGCTGTATGGGCAGCCAGAGAAGAAAAACCGCCGGTTTCTGGGACTAAAGACCAGAAACATCAATGGGAAGAAAATGGTTTACCTCGTTGTTTGATGAGTAATGCTTTTAAGAGCCATAAGCAAGTGTCTCCCCAAGTTCTGAGTTTGTGGAGTTAAGAGGTGTTAGTGGTTCAGCTGTGCCTTCCACCCATATCCTTCACAGTGCACACTCCATTTGGAAGTATCCCTACTCTTGGGAACGTGGAAGTCAAGAGTGTAGGGTAGCATCTGGGGAGAGAATAACTTCTGGATCACAGTACAGGGTTGCTGAACCAATTTCCTTTTAGAGGGGAAACCCCAGTTTCTGGTACAGAGGCAACCCCTACAGCAGTCTGGAGGGATGGAGAACCAAGTTTGAGGGAGGCAGCTGAAGGGGCCCCACCCTAGACCGGTAGGTGGGGCATGCTGCAGGGCTCCTCTGCCTGACGAGGCATCTTCTGTGCAGACCCTCCCCTCCTCCAGTCCTGCTGGGCCAGGGTCCTGCGGGGAGTTCTAGGACTTGTGCATGGGCTTGGTAATGCAGGGGCCAGAAGCCAGAAGCTTCCCATTATGCCTGCTGCAAGTTAAAGTAAAATGTAGTAACATTTTCTGACCTAGAGACATGGCTTTTGTTAAACATTAAAAAGGTGCATATGGGTTAACATTATAATGCAGTAAGTGTTCCACACACCAACTATAGCAAAATATATACATCCAGGATTGGGGCATTAGGTTATTTGTAGTATGGTAGGTATTTAGGAATAAGGAAAATGTGGTTTATTACTTAAGAGAAACAAGGCCAACAGCTGTAATATTTCACTCAGAAGCATGTTCATTTATGTAGATGTCGCTTTAAATTTTGCCAGAATTAAATTTCAGATTTCTTCTGTGAGACTTGAAGTGATTTCTGGGTGAGGGGTGTATACGCACACACAAGGTTCACACTGTCCTCAAAGTGGACAGCCAGAAACAGGGACCACCCACTCAGGAGGGTGGCTGCTCTGTACCCACTTTGGTCTCTGTCATCCTGAGTTGCACTGAAATGGCCATAGCACACCACACCCTGCAGGGCCATCATTTCCTCCAGAGGGGACATCTGAGAAACCCACAAGCCATAGTCTGCTCTGCCAGGTAAGAGCATGAGAGGGTCTAGACCCAGGCCACTCGTACAGGTATCAAAGGTCAGAAGGTCAGGCTTGGATTTTCTAATTTTCCTGCTGGGGAGGTCACAGGACTGGCCCACTGGTTCTGACTGGGGCACATGCTGTTAGACAGCACCTCTCTGAACCACCTGACTTCTCGATAGAATGGGAAAGAGTCAGAAAGAGGACCAATGTTTGCTGACAGAGGCCGGATGCAGCCTGCTCAAATGCACTGGCAATTGGGCTGCAGAAAGAGGGAGCTCAAGCCCCAGTTGCAGGCCATGCTGGGCAGCTTTGAGGCAGCAGAGACTGCTGACAGGTTTGGAGTTGGCCGGAGGGACAGCAGTCACTGGGGGCCCACGAATATGCACTCAAAGTGGTCTGCGTGAGGACCATGGACAGCAGTGGGTTCTGCTGAATGAGACAAGATTTCCTCAACTTGGTGAAAATGAGAGATCTTGCAGTCGTGGTATTTTCTGCACATGATGGGAAAGCGGTGAGTACTGGGGGTTTTCTTTTAAACTGACAGCACAATGACAAGAATTTTTACAGTTCAGAGACACAGAGATGCCGATTGCAACATTATCAGGAAGACAAAGTATCAAGTAAGACAAATCAAAATTCAGTTTCTTTTGTAGGCCACTTTCACAGGACATGGCAACAATTTCTCAGTAAGTCTTTTAAGATTTCTTTATTCTCATTATACTTCCAGGGATGGGGTAGGTATATTCCACAACGATTGGTAACAGTCGAACACCCTTTCCAACTCTCTCTGTTGCACAGGAAGACGAGGTGGGTGTTCTCGGTTTCACTGTCAGTGCAGCCCCTCACTAAGTCAGTCGCTGAACAAGCAGTTGACATGAGACAGAGCTCCCCCTTGCAGCTCCCAGAGAGAAGGGACATGCTCTTCATTTACATCAAATTCTTCTCTTAATTATGAAGATCTGCATTTTTAAGGCCTGCTTCTGACATTTCATTAATTAGCACTCAAAGCAAAATGTAAGCCTTTAGACTGGGAATGTTACTGGCAGAAATGGAGAACAGGATGGACAGGATGGTTTTCATCCCTAGTGAAATGAGGTGCAATGGAGTCACTCTTCCACAGAATCCCTTTTGCTATTAGCAACGCTTAGCTTGAGATTTTAATCTAAATTCAATTCCTTCCGGTTTTCGTATTTCTATTCTGAGTCTTCACCTGAACACATGCTGTCTAGTATTTGTTCAATACTGTAGTAATCTTTTAAGACCACATTTACACATTTTATAGGTATTGCCACAACCTCTAGGCAATTGTTTTTCCTGAAAGCCCATCCTAACACTGGTGGGCCCATGGCAGGACTATAAATGTTCTGTATATCTAGCTATCCAAAGCTTACAAACTGTTACATAAAATACATTTACCTTGATAAATACACTTTCATAAGGACAAAATAAAAAATAATGCATAAAGCGGATGGCACCTGTGGCTCAGTAAGGCGCCGGCCCCATATACCAAGGGTGGCGGGTTCAAACCCGACCCTAGCCAAACTGCAACAAAAAAATAGCCAGGCATTGTGGCAGGTGCCTGTAGTCCCAGCTACTTGGGAGGCTGAGGCAAGAGAATCACCTAAGCCCAGGAGTTGGAAGTTGCTGTGAGCTGTGACATTACAGCACTCTACCGAGGGTAATAAAGTGAGACTGTCTCTTAAAAAAAAAATGCATACAGCTATGGTATTTGTATAGCTGAAAATTAGCAAAGATAATTAGCAAGATAACAGAATTTAATTTTTTTGTCCACTTCTGGGTGCTCTGTGCTGGACCATGATGCTTTGATGAGTAATAAACACATACATAATCTATAAATTATTTTATAAATTTTATTTTTCTTGCTTTCATTTCAGAAAAAATCGGGATATAATATTTTCACACAATTGTGTTCTATTCAAAATAGTGTCAAATTAGACAACCTTTCCTACTTTGCAGTTTTTTATTATTTGAATAGGGAGAAACTTCACTTTGCTGAGAGTGGCAAGTGGACTTAAGGAATGAGATTCTTAAGGCCTTATATTCAGAACTGAACCATGAATACTGGTATCATGTTTAAACACCGTAAGAAGGGTGCATAGGAAAAATTATGACTGCAGAAAATATTATAAAATACTTTCATTATATAAAATATTATTTCATTATTATTACTGTTTCTTTTATTTTTTTTTTAGAGATAGAGTCTCACTTTGTTGCCCTCAATAGAGTGCTGTGCTGTCACAGCTCACAGCAACCTCCAGTTCTTGGGCTTAGGTGATTCTCTTGCCTCAGCCTCCTGAGTAGCTGGGACTACAGGCACCAACCACAACGCCAGGCTAATTTTCTTGTTGCAGTTTGGCGGGGGCTGGGTTTTAACCCGCCACCCTTGGTATATGGGACCGGCGCCCTACTCACTGAGCCACAGGCACCGCCCATATTATTACTGTTTCTTACAACAGTATCTGGATTCATATAGGATTTTTAAAGTTTTTCTTCTTTTACATATTTCAGTGCTGAGAAGTTATAAAGAAAACTGAAAATTGTAGTAGGTTGCTCACCTTATTCAAATCTCTAATAGAGACTTCACTTTTATCTACAGTGGCCAGAAAATGGTCTCTACAGAAATTGCAGGATTATTTGTACATATCTTTTTCTTCAGACTGCAGCAAATGTTTCTTAGTTCTAATTTGCTTTATGTTGTTTTTGAATATCATTTTAGTACTTACTTTATATGCAATTTCTTTTGGAAAACCTTTTTTTTTTGCCTAACACTTTATGCAATATTTTTAATCATTTTGGATTTTTAAAAGCTTTTTCTAGTAACTGTGGACAGCTCAAATTCATAATTAACTTTGTTCTGCCAAAGACTACAATTTGTTCTTTAAATCTTATCTATTATTTCATTTAATTCTTCTAATGCATGTCATCCCTGACTTGTCCAAAATAACTGCTCCAACAGCACTTATGGCATTACCGTCATGTTTCTCAGAGTAGTTACAGGATAAATTTGAAATGCTTCATGAAAATGTTCCATCTTTGGGCAGATCTAGGAAAAAAAAAAACACCCAGGATATAAGCTGTGAATTGATTCTAAGAATGCTGCTGCTGTAGCACAGTTGAAGTTGTCTGTTAGATACATAATAAAACTGCTTGCTAATTCCTGGGGCCCCTCTAGCTCGTCTAAGGGTGGTTCTGCTTCCATGCTACTAAGATGATGTGTATAATTAATCCTTCTCAATTCCCCAGAAAAGTTAAGTCTGCGAATAAGGGGTAAGTCTTGCAGCAACTTGACATTCCTTTAAATGTGGCTTGACAATCGTGAATATATTCTGGTCAAGAAGAGTATACCTTGGCAATGAGTGCACACACCTCATCTAGCCTGGGGGACAGTCACAGAGGACTCCACTGATACGGCAGTATATGGAAGGCTGGGACATGACAGAGACAGAAGACTGCACTGCAGGCTGGTGGTACAGGCAGGCGGAGAACCGTGGCTGCAGCCCTACTCTTCTGCGGAAAATCCTTACATCATTGAGGGAAGGAGGGCAGCAAAATCTGTGGTCCCCAACGAACAGGTGAAGACCCACTGCGTCTGGGGTGGGTTTCCAACTGGTTAAGAGTGGAGGCCACAGGCAAAGCCAGGCCCGCTGGCTTCGGAACCCGTGCTCCAGCCCCACGGAAGGTGCCTCTCATGGAATCCCAGACCCGGGTCAGGAGTGGGGCGGGCGTTTCGGGCCACGGTGAGGCTTAGAGGAGCCCAGTAGCACATCCGGAGATCACACGATTTTGTAAAGGTCGCAGGAACTACAGGGCTCGCTTTGAGCCCGTCTTGTCCCCTGCTGCATATGGGGGCTGACGTCCCACCGGCGGCACAGGCAGCGGGCTCAGCGAGGCTCGGGCACTTCAGCCCCCGGAGGGGCGGGAGCGGAAGGAGTGTGCGTCCATCTCCAAGGGATCACCCATCGTGGAATTCGACCTGCTCAAACCCAGAAAGAAGCTGCGCTCCTCGCCAAGGCTGCGTACTGCGCTAGCTCCTGGCCTGGCCCGCCGCCACCCGGCAGCGTCGCATCAGATTCCACGCGGCGCCTGCAATGACCGGAAAGACTCAGGGGAAGCGGAAGACCACCGCCAAGCCCCGCCCTCGCCCCGCGCCTGCGCTTGTGCCCGGACCTCTGGGTCTCCGGGGCGGGGCCGCGCACGCGCTGCAGGACGCGGGGACGAGCTGCAGGGCTGGCGGTGAGTGCGCTCTGCTCGGCGGCCTGCGGTGGCGAGCGCACCGTGGGTCGGGCCCGTGCTCTAGGTCTCTCGGGGTCCGGTTTTGGCGCTGACTTGGAGACCTGTGCAGTCCCGAGCGTCTGGGGTCGCCGCGGCCGCTCGCGGGGTTGGGGACCGAACAGAGGACGCAGGAAAGGGTGCGAGTGGCGGTGGCCCGAGCCTCCAGCGTGTCGGCCTCGCGGTGCGGAGCCGCCTGATCTCGTACGCTGCCAGGTCCCCTGTGCGAGCGGTGCGGGGAAGTAGTGCTAGCAGGTGTTGGGAGGGCATGTGTGAAGGTTCGCAGATGCTGGGCCGCCGTGGCTGGGCTCCCAGTGGCCGCGGCAGGGGCCTTGGTAGTTCCATTGTGCAGTCGCGAAACGGGATTGGGATCACACACGCCTGAACTACGTTTTAATTCTTTTGTAATCGTTTGTGACCCGTGCTTCCAAGATTTACATCTGGGGTTGTCCAACTCAGAAGTCATTTCTTGACATACATACACTACACTGTCAGGTTTAGAAGAGAGGTCAGAACTGGGAGCGAGGTGCCAGTTGTTTTTGATAAGAACATGGAAAGATAAGTAGTAATTCTGCAGGCAAAGAGCTGGGTAATCTACCAAATCGTAACTTTTTTTGAAACACATTAAATAGCTGAAGTCACAGGGCAAGCAATTAGTCAGAAATCTCAGGAAAGACAGGAGCCTCTGAAAACCAAAGGTGAGCATGAGCCGGACCTCCATACCGGCAGGTTAAGAGTTCTGCTGAAAGTTGTAATGACATGTTGACCAAGTGGGAACTGGTATGAGGGTATAGAGCCCCTGGTAGAACAGAGAAAAGGGACCCCTGCCAGAAGAGAGACAGGAAATTCCTACAATTGTATGCAATGGTCCTCAACCTTCCTAAGGCCGCCGCCCTTTAATACATTTCCTGTGGGTCACAACCTACAGGTTGAGAACCACTGATAGAGATTCCTATACCTGGGAAGGGGCAGGATTCCTCAGAGCATGAGACTACAGCTGGATCAGGACAACAGAACTAGCAGCTGCAACTTGCGACCTAAAGTTTAGGGTGGAGATGACAGAGAAAACCTCTCTCTAGGCAAATGAATTTTCACCTTAAGTATGGGCAGAGAAATGTGAAGCCAGTGAACTGAGATCATCTCAAATGTGATTGATTCAATACCTCATACAAAGGCCCAGTCGAAACAGATGGGTCTTGTTTTACTAGTTACCTCCACTATCTTACCAAATGCCCACCTTTCAACCAAACTTGCAACATACAGAAATAAAAGCAAATAAAAAAAAACTTCCTGCTGTCAAGGATCAAAACAATCCACAGAATCATACAACCTGGATGTTAAAACTATCAGGGAATTGAAAATAAGTATGATTACAGCTTGTAATCCCAACACCCTGGGAGGCCGAGACCTGTGGATTGCTTGAGCTCAGGAGTTTGAGACCAGCCTGAGTGAGAGCAAGACCCTGTCTCTAAAAATAGCTGGGTGTTATGGTGGGTGCCTGTAGTCCCAGCTACTTGGGAGACTGAGACAAGAGGATCACTTGAACCCAAGAGTTTGAGGTTGCTGTGAGCTATGATGCCACGCACTCCACAAAGGGTGGGAAAGTGAGACTGCCTAAAACAAACAAAAAAAAGTATGATTAATATGTTAAGGCATAAAGAAGACATACAAAATGCATAAACAAATGGGGAATTTCAGAAGAGGAGACTGGAGTCAAGGGCAATACTAGTATTAAAAACAGTGCTGGGGAACAACGCCTTCAGAAGGAACATTAACTGATTTGATGTAGCTGACAGAAAAGAAGTCAGTGAACTCCAAGATAGGTCAGGAGAAATTATCCAAACTGCAGCACAAAGAGAAAAGAGTTTTGTAAATACAAACCCACCACAGAGCTTCCAAGAAGTTTGGCCAATATCAAGTGATATAACATTTACAGTTAGAATCTCAGCAGAAAAAATATTTAAATTTTCCCTCAAATAAAAGGTATCAAACTACAGATCAAAGAATTTGCTTAAAGAAGCACCATAAGGGTAAATAACTTTAAAAGAAAAATACTTAGATATTTACATAACCTGCTGAAAGTCAAAGATAAAATCTTCAGGACAGCCAGAGGGAATCCTTAGGTAGATCTGTGGGGGAAGACTTTAGATGGAAGAAATAGCTGGAGCAAAAGGCAAGGAGGTGAGAACGTCCAGGAATATCTGGAGGATTGAGCCAGCTGAATGGTAACTTGGCTTATGAAGGGAGATATAGTGGGGAGCAGGGAAGGTGGCTCCCAAATTAAAGAGTCTCTGAATGCCAAGGAAGGGAATTGAGGAGCCACTTAGTTTTAAAGTGGGAGCTGGGCTCTTCCAGCACCACTGACAGCCTTGAATTTTGTTGTGCTTTTTCTATGTCTATTGAAATGAACATATAATTTTCTTTCTTTCTCCTTTTATTATTGAGGATTGCATTCACTGGTTTTTTGAATGTTAAACCAACCTTGCACACCTGGGATAAAGTCACGTAGTCATGCTGCATTAGGCTTCTTACATACTGAGTTCAGTTGTGTTTCCGTCATGAAGGATATTACCCTGTAGTTTCCCTGTAATAGCTTTGCCTGATGAATGATATCAGGGTCATACTGGCGGTTTTATTGTCCATATGATACTGTACTGACTTCATAAAGTTACTGCAGAAGTGTTCCTTTTTCCTCTGTTTTCTGAGTTTCTTCCTTAAGTGCTTGACAGAATTTGTCAGAAAAGTCTTCTAGGCATGAAGTTTTTTTATATGTTCTTTTGTTTTATTTTCTTTCCAGGAAAAGGTTTGATTATGAATTTGATTTTCTTAGTAGATACAGGGTTTCCTATTTTTTTCTTGAGTACTTTTCATAATTGGTGTTTTTCACGAAATCTGTCCATTTTATCTAAATTGTCAGATTTATTGGTACTAAGTTGTTCATAACTTCCCTTAGTAACCCTTAACTGTCTCTAGTCTTGTGGTGTTCCCACTTTCTTTCCTGTTAGTGGTAATTTGTATCTTCTTTTTTCCTTTGAGTCATCTAATTAGAGGCTATCAATTCTATTGGATTTTTTTAAAAACTAAAAATAAACAGCTTTGGTTTTATTGAGTTTTTTCTGTTGATTTTGTATTTCTTTAATTTTTTTTTTATTGTATCTACTTACTTTGGATATGATTTGGTTTTCTACAGTTTCTTAAATTAGAAACTTAGAAAAATTTTTTTCTAATATATAAATTTAAAGCTATGAATTTCCTTCTAAGCACTGCTTAAGCTGCATTCTGTATCTTTTGGTATGTTGTATTTTAGTTTTTACTCAGTTTTCATTAGAAAAATATTTTCAGATTTCCCTTTGATTTCTTCTATGAACTATGGTTTCTTTAGGAAAATGTTTAATTTCCAGATATTTGAGGATTTTCTGGGTATTTTTCTGTTACTGATTTCTTACTTAATTATTTTGGGATTGGAGAACATACTCTGATTTTATTCTTTTAAAGTTTGAGCCTATCTTGGTGAATTTCTCATGTGCAGTTGAAAGTAACATGTGACCTGTTCAAGGTCTCTTGCTCTGGACCTGAGGTTCCCTAGAAGGTGAGTGGGGTTGGGTTTTGTTGGTAAAAAGTATGCAGCAGGTGGGGAGGCTTGAGGATGTGGGTGGTTCTTGGTTCTCAAGGTGATGCACCCCATTCTCTTGATCTTGCAGATGGTATCTGAGGCAGAGCGCCATCCCCTGGGTGTGTTTGAGTGTGAGCTCTGTGCTTTGACAGCTCCATACAGCTACGTGGGACAGAAGCCCCCTGACACCCAGTCGGTGGTGTGAGTACATACTTTTCTGGGCCAGTGCTAGGGAAGCCCATGCTCAGAGCTAGTTGGCAGGTGCCACGCCTGAGTCTAACATGTGGCTTGGGTGTTGTGCTTTAGGCCCATGTCTGCCCAGGCTCAGTATGCTTCAGGTGTGACCTAGGAGGCCCAGGGCAAGGCTTGAGTACCATCTGACTCCTCCAGAACTTCCTAACCCCTTCCTCCACTCCCAGCCCAGAGTTCAAGACTAGTTCCTCAGAGGTTCTGTGGCCCAGGCTGATGTAGTTCAGCAGGTGGAAACACAAGGGACCCTGGTGGCCTCCACCTTCAGGCTGTGCTCTTGTTGCCATTCCTGCTGTGACACTTTCTTAGTGGGAAGCCCATCCTCTTTGCAGCTCTTGCACTAATGGGAGTGAGTCATGAGGACCAGCTTCCCACAGACCTGCCCAGAGCAGGCCTGAGACTGATTTCTTGACCTCCAGCTTCTTCTGGCTACAGTTTTCTGCTGACCAGGAACCTGGGTGTCATCCTTGTTTCCTGTGATCTATTCTGATGTCAGAATGAGGCCAGCCTGCCTCCGGGGGCTGTAAGGCTGGAAGAAGTGCCAGGTTCTCCCTGTATGGAAGCAAGCAGTTCGGGACATAAGGGAGGGCTTGGGGCACTTAGATAGAGCCCTATGCCCCTAGGCTGTGAATCAGTTTGGGGTCTGGAGCTCATTTTGTATCAGCCCTTCTGGTGTGAGGGGGCATTTCGCTCCACCATGGCAGTTACAGAGCTGGGAGCAGGTCTGATTTCAGTTCCAGTGCTGCCCCCAACTGCTGGGCCTTTTCATCACTACCTTGCAGCACCGGTGAGTCAGTCCCCTGCCCCAGTGAGCCATGCAGGCATGCAGAGGTGTGGAGGCCCACACTGCTGCAGGGCATTGCTCATACCACCTGACAGCTGGTGTTACTCTTCTGCAGCCTCCTGGAGGAAAGCTATGTCATGAAGGACCCCTTCACCTCTGACAAGGCTGGATTCCTGATCCTTGGCTCTTGCTGCAGCTTGTGCGGTAGACTGGTGTGTGTGGGCCCGGTGGGTAACAGTGCGCACCTGGGGCACCTGTCCTTGCTGTGTTGATCCTGAGAGCCTCCAAGAGACCCCAAAACAGTCTCTAAGTAGGGAGGTTGTGAGGGTCCTTAGAGCCCAGCTGTCTATCCTACAGTTGACAGAGGGGACAGGTGAGGGGGCAAGTGAAGGTCAGTTAGAAGTTCTCAGCCTGAGGAATAGAAGTAGATTCTTGGAGGCGCTGTCCTATCCCCAGTGCCCTGCCAGGTCCTCACCCTCTCACTGATGGTGCAGACAGCCATGCCCCTCTCTCCACGGATGGTGACCTTTCTGTGTGCACTTGGAGGGACCTCTGAGAAGAAGGGACTGTCCTTTTTTGATCAATTGTTGTGTGCCAGGCCCTGTGCTTGGGACCTGTTTTACACATGAGGCTTTTTTCAGTCCTGCACCCAATTTAGTCAGGTAAAGTAGTATTACACCCATTTTATAGATGAGGAAATGAGGTTCAGAGAGGCTGAGTGGGCCAGGTGTCCCTGGACAGCTGAAAACCCAAGGATGGACAGAGGTGTAGCTGTGTGGCTTTCAGAGCGTGGCTGTATGGCCAGAGTGGTCCTGGCCTGAGAAGTTCCCAGGCATCTGCCATAGACCGAGGTGCACACAGGGGGCTGTGTCCCAGACCACACTAACAACGGCCAGGTGGATGCGATAGGCAGAGGCCTGGAGGGAAGATGTGTAGGGAGCGTTTTAGGTGCATAGAGTAGCTAACAGTTGAGAGGAAGCTGTGAGTGAAGACTGGAAAGGTGGGGTGAGCCAGGGGTGAGGAGCCCTGATGCCACACCTTGAATTTGGCTATACTTGGTGAGCAAGGGGAGGGACCCCACAAGGGATCAGAAGTCTCCAGCTTCCTTTGATTGGGTGGTAGGTTGTTACCGAGTGACTCAAGAACTGCAGGAAGGCCAGGCGAGGTGGCTCACGCCTGTAATCCCAGCACTTGGGAGGCTGAAGTGGGTGGATTGCCTGAGCTCATGAGTTTGAGACCAACCTGAGCAAGAGCGAGACCCTGTCTCTAAAAAATACCTGGGCACTGTGGCAGGCGCCTGTAGTCCCAGCTATCTGGGAGGCTGAGGCAAGAGGATCACTTGAACCCAAGAGTTTGAGGTTGCTGTGAGCTAAGATGCCATGGCACTCTACCAAGGGTGACCAAGTGAGACTCTTGTCTCAAAAAAAAGCTGCAGGAAGGACAGCCTTCCTTACGTGAGGCATGCTCTCTAAGCTGCCAGAATGAGGAAACCCCTCAAATAGAGGGCCCAAATAAAACAAAAGTTACTTACTTTTTTCTGTATGCGAGTCCAGAGCAGGTGGTCCCTGTTGGCAAGGTGTCCTCCACACACAGCATCCATTTCCATCCTCTGTGGCTGTGGCCCATGCTACTTCCTGTCATTGTCATTTCACTGTGAAGGAGCAGCGTGGACCCCGGAGTCTTTCTATCCCATGCCAGCTGTTCCCACTGTGGCCCAGGTCTTCATTGCCTCTCCTGGACACCCTACCAGGCCCTCAGGCCCCTCCCTCCCTCTTGCTGGCCTGGCTCTGGCCATGTCCCCTGGCTCTGGGCCTCCTAGGGGGCCCTGCCCAGGTCCCTGCATGTGGTGAAGGGCTGGCCTCTGAGTGGAGCTGCATCTTCCCCAGGGTGCCAGCCCTGACTTTCCCCTACTTTCAGGAGTGCAGTCTATTCTACTCCAAGAGATTTTGCCTCCCTTGTGTCCAGAAGAACATCAGTGCTTTTCCTCAGGAAATTCGGCAAGACTTGGAGAAAAGAAAAGTCCTGTCAAAAAGGCCTTCCAGCCAGCCCAGTTCTCAGCCGTGAGCAAGGCCATTGCCCAGGCAGCGGGCAGCACCATGCACAGAGCTCCAGGCCCATCAGGATCAGGGATGCCACAGAGCTGGGAGCCGCCATGCCCAGCCTGTTTCTAGGCCGTCAGGAGCAGCTTCTGTGGCCCAAGGGAGCTGGGCCCAGCTTGCAGCAGCAACAGAGCCATGGGAGCCATGCTAAGAGGGTAGCCCCAAAGGCAGGCACCAGATTTCCCTCAGGGCTGCTCAGAGGTGACTGTGAGGGGAGACCTCCCTCAGGAGGGACTGCCTGCAGGTGTGCATAGGAGAAGGTGCCGTGCAGGGTGGCAGTGAAAACCACTGATGGTGGCTGCCTCCAAGAGCTAGTAGGTAGGTCTAGACTTTACTTCACATCCTTGCGTGAGGCTTAAGAAATGTTATTTTTAAATATTGATTATTTTGTTTATAATGGAAACCCCAAAGAACCAGCTGCTGTTTTTGAAAAGTAATCCTTCCACTGAAACATTTGGAGACAACCCAACTCTCCCATGTTCTCTGGGCCAGCAGGGGTGGGGTCTCCTGGAAGCTGAGTGCTGGCTCTGGGCCTTTCCAGTTCCCTCAGCTGTAGCTCAGGACCAATTATGTTCCCTGTCCCTTGCCTGGGTCAGGAGTGCCACGGGCATCCTGCATTCCCACCGCACCTGGAGATGGCGCAGCCTGGCCACAGCACCTGGAACTTGGCCCTCAGGGCCGTGAAGCCCAGTCTCCTAGCCTGCGGGTGTTCTTGCAGCACTGCCTCCCACGACGAACCCTTGTCCCCTGTAGCTTCCCTGGGAGCAATTTGTGTGAACTCTGTCTTACTCCTGCAAGGCCAGCTGTCCTGTGATAGAACAGTAGTAAAACGCTCTTACTGACTGTGTGTGTTCTCGTTTATTTAAGTGCCCAGGCTTTTAAAAGCTTCCTTTTTCATGTTACTTCAAATGAAAGGGTGTCATACTGTGGGGCCACATGTCCCTGATCCATTCTGTACATACACTGAAGGACAAAGGGGCCTGTATAGGTGAAGACAGCCTCAGTCAGGTGAGGGGTGCCGGGCACTGTCGCAGACCCTACAGCTGGGGATTTGGTTTGTTCAAACTAAACCATTTCACAGCATCACCCAAAACTCACCAAAACATTTTTTAAAATAGTTTATTTTTTTAAAACATTAAGGCAAAACTGTACCCTGAAATTAATTCTTTACATTCATCAGTCTTACAGTAGGACATTCCAAACATGTAAGTTCCCATAAATTCAGGATATAAATCAATGCATATGGTCAGTTCAATCTCCTAATAGGAAAATGAAGAAGACACAAGATTTTACAAAAATGAGGTTATTTTATAGTCATTTTCTAATTGCCTGGAAACAATCAGTTAATGTGGCTAGAAAAATTCTATTTGCCTTACTCTGTGCACCTGTAATTCCTGAGGCCCCTGATAAACACCACCCTCCCCCGACCCTGGAAAGAATGAAGCTGGAGAGGATGCCAGAGCTTGCTCAAAAGTTCTGACTGCAACTGCTCCCATCTGGTGTAAAGAACAAAGGCTTTGAAGCCCCTAAACATCCTGGGAGCATGAGGCAACCAAGGGCAGGACCAATGAACACCTGCCGAGGAACCAAGCACCATCCTCACTTTGGGATTTGGCCCTTCTTGCATGCCCTCCCTCCAGGGTGTTAGTGTAATGGCATCATGGACCGCAGAGAGAAGATACTGAGGTGGTCTGAGGAACTCATGGAGCTGTGGGTTCCACTTTATGCTTCAGGCTAGACCATCTGGAGGATGGCAAGACTCAACATGTACAAACAGTTTTAATCAGAATATTTCAAATTGCCAGAGTTCTTTGGTAATAACCTATGGGTAACAATTCCCTGAAAAGCAGACAGCTATTTACTAAACAAGAGTAGTAATGGGTCTTTAGCAAAACACTGTCAATATGAACTCAGTGGCTCTAACTGGATAGGTAAGTGCAGAGGGAGAGTCACCTGCACTTCCTGCATAAGAAGGGTGGTGAAGGGGACAGATTTACACATGGAAAGTAAATTCTGCCTGGCTCAGAAGTGAAAAGCTGTGTGTGTACACGTGTGCACAGTTGTATCCGTTTTATGTCAACTTTCTTTGTGTTTCCAGTAGGTTTAAGAGCCAGACTTTTAAGAATATATATCAATTAACACTGATTTCAGAAGAATTAAAATGTCTCTTATTCGATGAATGATTGTAAGTTAGTAAAATATTTGTAGTAGGATATTTGTAAAAAAAAATCACAATATGTAAAATACAGCTATTAATATAGTTCTTTTTGCCACACAGTGTAGAAAAAATAGTGACACTCAACACGAACACTGAAGTCTCACCACAAAGGGACCAAGCGGCCTTTCTTTTATGAGGTACATTTCTTTTTAGGCCTGAAAAAGGAACTGACTGTGCCTTTAAGAAAAGTGACGTTTCCAAAAGTGAGTGATACTGTGAAAAGATCAGCCACTCACTTGTCCTCAGGGCTTGAAGCCTAAATGCCTCTGGGAGGCAGAGCTGAGACCCTGGGCCTGGAAAGGTGCCCAGGCATCCCCTCCGGGTGGCCACACACTCCCTGCCCTGGGCTCACCACTGTCCCTAGAAAGCCATGCATTTGACCCAAACTAGCAACTTTTTAAATTTAAAAAAAAACAAAACTTTAATTTTCTATGATACAAGCATCAATATCTCTTACCTTAAAACAATTCTTTGCAAATAATGGGTCTAATAACCATGGGCCACTAAAGTACTTGATGCTGCTTGGGTTAAGATCCAACACTGCATGTGGACAGTCTGGTCTGGTCTTGGCAGAGGACTCGAGCATGTGGCTATGTGTGTTCAGCAGCCCCGCCCCGCCCTGCCCACAAAGGGGTTGGGGAGAATTTATCAGGGAAGTAACTGATTTTATTACTCGTGTCTGAAACTGAAATTCTGAGAAGCAAATGGTCAGTTGGCTGCCCTGTTCCAGATAGGCGATCATGTCCTCAGGCATCTGGGCACCACCCCTCTTGCTCTCTGCCCTAATGAGGGGCTGTACACGTGGCTTTTGTGATAAGCCTGCAGCCCACGGCACTGAAATAACTTTAAGAAGCTTCTGCATTCCACAAAAATAGCATGGGAGGCATTATGTCATTACTTAGAACTAAAGCATGAAGCATCTCATCTATTTTTTTTTTTAAGCAAAACTTCCAATTTCACATTTTAGTGTGTATTGTTGTTTCCAGAGAAGGATAATGGATCTCCCATATTAAGTCAGACCAAACTTTGTGCCTTGTTCTTACCCTAACTAACCTATGGGGTTGATGACATTTTCCTGAATTCTGGATGGCCCCTAAAAAACATAAATCCCAGCAAAAACCTAGAGCTCAACATTTGGAGCCTATTTTTAGATCTAAGTAGAAAGACCCTCACAGTAGGAGGAACACTGGGTTTAAAAGCATCAGCGAGGCCCATGGTGAGGTGTCCTTTAGTTGAGGACACCTGGACAGCTGAGGCAGGTCCAGCAGCATTTGTCACAACCCTCCATTTGCTCCTCCCGGAAGAATAGCAGGGGCTCGTGTTTCACTTCTAGACTGTGACATCTGAAAACAGGCAGGAAAGACGGCTCCACCATCACAGTCAGAACAGCCCCACAGTCCCCGATGGCCCCATGCAAAGATCTGGTTGGAAAGGAATTCCCACCTAGCTGAACAATCAGTTTGGATCACATTAAGAAAAGCTGGACCACTTTAAACTGATAAGTACAAATACTTCACTGGAGCCACTCTGTGGACCTCGTTAGTAATTAGTGAATGCTCGGTGGGGGTGTCCATCCTGGTCTGTGACTTCTAGGAACAGTGCAGTTCCCTTGACTTGCCTGAACCTACACGCCTGTTCTGAACTCACAGTCTTATGGCTCAGGGCACCGCATCAGGCAGGCAGTGCTTACTGCAGAGGACCAGCTGGCCATCCTCAGAACGGGGTGGGGGGGAGGTGGATGGCTGCAGCCTCTCAGTCCGGCCATCTGGCCTCTCCCTTGTCAGCTGTCAATGCCATGGAAGAGCAGGGGCCACAGGACATGGAGAAAGTGCACAGTGCCTAGGGCCCAAGGACATGGCTGTACATCCGGAGGCTGGTGTTTTCATTTTAAAATGAGGCCCAAAGTGCACAGGAGACTACAGGAACTTGCTTTGCAAGCTGTCAGGAACCACAGCACAGGTGGCTGGCTGTAAGCACCTGACCCGTTTTCCTGGTGGGATCTGCATTTTGAGAGGCCTCCTGAGTTGAGGTGGTGCTGGGGAGGTGGCCTCAGTCTCAACGGGGAGTGCTGGGCCTGCTGGGTTTAAACTGGAGTTCAGTGAGACATTCCGAAGACAGCCGTGACTACTGGGTCAGGATACAAATCTCCCTCTGTCATGCATCTGGCTGGTAAGTATCAAATGTGCCGAGTGCCACAATGGTCGGACACACAGTGGTTTTGTCACAGTAGGAGCTGGAGGCAGGAAATGCCTGGGATCAAACACCAGGCTGCAGGTGCACGCCAAGAGCCAGACCTGGGAAAGTCATGGGGTATTAAGGCTTGCTTTGAGGCTCCTGTTGTCATCTCCCGGGCAGGATCACTCCTAGAAAGGGACTTCTCCACTGGCTAGCAGGCACAGGTAAGAGGGGAGCTCCTGCAGGGACACGGGCTACTGCAGACTGGGCCATTCTAAACCCGGGTCACGCCCAGTCTCAGTGCACCAAGTTGTGGCAACAACTTATGCATGTACATACTTTTAAGGCTCCCTTTAAAAACCAAAGTACCATAAGCTTTCCTTTCTTTGTGCTCAGGCAGCCACAGGTGTGCGCATGCTTAAGGAGCCCTGGTTACAAATGGCCTGACTACAGAGACACCAAGGGCCCAGCACGGGTGCACCCTGATGTTAAGGGTGCCTGCTGCAGCTCCTATTGAGGTAGCTAGTACACAGCACTTAGTGGAGGTGGCGGCTAAATTAATAGTTTACTTAGCATTGTGCACCAACTTCTGCTCAGCTCTGGGGTGCTGTGCTGTCCCTGTAACCTGCAGACAATGTTCAAGGCAGTTTGTGTCCCTTAGAGTCTTAAATAGCCAGTGCAAGAAATGTGTCAGAACAAGTGCAAAGGTACCTCTATGCTCCCCCTCAAAAAAAATCCTAGGGAAAGCTCCTGCAAGCTTCTGAGTGCCCCAAGGGCTGGGTTTCTTTCTACCCCTCTGCACATTCATTCCATGTATCCTGGCAGAAATTCTGTGTCCATCAGAGATGGAGGAAAGTTAAGGGTAAACTGGTGAGCAGGGTAGGGAGGAGGAATGGTCACTAGCTGGTGTTCTCAGTATCCACGCCACCTCTAGGGCTGCTCTTGCTGCTGTAGCTGGAAGTGTCCTGTTTTGAAAATTCTGCACGTCATCCAAGCAGCCTCATGCCTGAGTGGTTTTCTTGCCTCCAAAGGGTGGTCAGGGCAGAATCCAGCACGAGGGGCACATGGATGGAAATGCCCAGAATGCAGAAGGGGAGGGGCTTGGTGCTCGGCTCCCAGTGGATTTGGGAGCAGCCTGCGCCTGGCCCCTAGTCCTGCATCTGGCCAGCACGTGGAGGCCCGTCTCAGATGAGCCCCGGGTGTTCCTTCATTCTGGTCAGCATGTGAAACCAGACTATTTGGTAATTCCGTGGTCTCTGAGGAGTTTGGCACTTTTTGCTTTTAAAAGTTGAGAAAATGAAGAACCAGGTTTAAACAATGAAGGGTGGGTTAAGTTGATCTCCTCTGTTCTCTGGTAGAGGAAGTGGACCCCACATGGGTCTGAAACTCCTTGAATCCCTTAAGACATATCTTTCGTACCCTTTCTGAGGTCTAGTGAAACCTAGAAATCAGTGTAATGAATGCACTCTCTAACAGCTCCTATTGCAAATGCTGCAGCATTTTGAACTGGTGCATAATCAGCCTGCATTTGACTGTTGATACCCTGAGAAATCTTTGGGTGATCCAAAATATTCTGGCATTGAGTAGCAATTAGTGACTTAAAGAAATGGGAGCATGTGTAGTTCCTCCCCGCTAATACCAGTGAACACCATTGGGTGACTTTCAAGCTGAGATCACTTGTAGGCTCCCTTCTGGCTTCACGGGGACACCACCTTCACCCTCACTAATACTGCCCAGCATCCCAGAGCTCCCACAGAGCACCAGCCTGACTGTTACAGCTGAAGGCTTCAAATAGGGAATATTTGAATAGGTTTTATAAAAATTTAAGTAGAATTAATGGCTTCTCATAAAACTTTGAAGCCTCCTCTCCTAGGTCAGGCCTGTAGGAACAGCACCTGTCCAGAGCACACCAGAGCAAGAGCTGCATGGTATGGAGGCAACGTGCACATGACCTTGGACAACAGCCTGTGAGCCCGAAATGAGTCTCGCTGAACAAGGGAGTTCTCACTCTAGGCAAGAACAGTGAATGGCTGTGCATGTGGCTAGGGGCTAGCTTCCTCAGAGTGAGGCTCACCTCTGACTGGCGTGGTGACACTTGGATTTGCTTCTGACTCCTAGGACCCTGGGGCAGACTGGCTGTTGCTGCTGGCCAGCAGACCCTCTGATTAAATCTTAAACAAAACAAAACCAAAACACCACTAAGTGTGTGATCTTTAAGAAAGGCTATCCTAATCATGACTTCCACTTTTTTTCTAGTTAAAGTCTCACAGTTTCATTGTCCTTTTTGCTGTCATATTTTCATAACGTGGAGCTGGGAACTTGATCCCTGTCAGTCCTGCACATTCTTTACATAACAGCCTCAGAAGCACCAGATTTTCTAGAGATAGGGGAGGGGCCTCGAGGACACAGAAGGTGTGCGGTGGCACCCATGGAGGTCACAGCCGGCACTGGCAGTTCCAGCCCAGTTCTGGCAGGAGGCACAGTTAATCCTCTAGGTAGACAGGAGGAGAAAGTAATTCCAAGTCCTTGTGTTCTAGACAAATTGCCATATCGACTTTGCCTTCCCAGCTGAACTGAGGTTGAGAAGCTTTAAGGCTATAACTATTTTAGATGTTTGAAAAATGACCTTACACACAGAGTGGGGTGGGGGAAGAGACTTAACGATCTAAATGTTTGTTAAAAAAAAAAAAAAAAAGTAACTGCTGTGCAATCTGAGACTGAGTGAGACTGCCATTTGAAGGATACTGTGCCCCTCTCTCCCTGTCAGGGGCAGCCCCTCCCAGCCCAGGCGGTAAAGTCACACAAGCCTCCTCGTCAGTCCAGGAAGCATGTGCCACCACCAAGAGTTAAAAAATAAAGCATCACATTGTAAAAAGCAACATAGGAAAAGACATAGGAGCTGCCAAATGGGGCCCAGAAGAACATTTACAAATAATTTGTCCCTAAAAAGATAATCATGCCCACAGACGGTATGAGTGAGCTGGTTCCGATTTCACAGGAACAGAGGGCAAGGAGGGGGCCAGCACCCTCGCAGCCGGCCTTCCTCCTGCTCACCGCAGACGCTAGCTTAAAACGGTCCAGGGGCTGGAGACGTCATTTTCTGGGCTCTTCTGCACAAACCTGGAAGTAGGCTTTTCCACATATTAGTTACGACCATGGAAACAGTGAACTGAAAACAAAACCACAGCTGCATCTTGATAGCTTATCAAATAGTTCTTTAAAATCTCAATCCTGTGATTCCAAAGCAGAGCACTGTCCTCCTTCAGTTTCAGGAAACAGAAGTGAAGTCTTCCAAATAAATATTTTGCTGCTTTTAAAATACCTAACCTTTGGATGCATCTAGATTTACAGAATTGTAATTGTTGTTAAAAAAAAAAAAAAGTGCTGATTAGTTTTCAAAATTATAAAGTAGCACAGAGTCAAAAGAGTAGTAGGAAGGGAAGCCAGGCGCTTATTTCAAGGTTACCAGTTAATTAAATGGTCAGTTACTAATGCGATGTAAAGAAATGTGCACTGATTAACACTGGGTGAGCTAAAATTATCAGATCACTGAACATCATGCCCCCTTAATTTTCCAAGTCCTGATATTAGCCAGTTGTCACCAGCATTTGAGTGCTATGCAGGCTCTCAGAAGGCCTGGTTAAAACAAAGACAGACGAGGAATAGCGTTCCCGTTACCTAGGGCTCAGGCTTTCCAGCCTCTAAGGCTACTGTGGTGGATATTTGTGCAAAATCACACTGCTCCCATTTCGCCTCTGTAGTGCTGTCAACGTGAAAGGTCCTTGAGAAGCAGCGCCGCCGCTGCTGCTGAGTTCCAAGTATCAGTACATGTCCCTGTAGATCTCCTGCAGCAGGGGGTGCAGCGCGGCGTCGGACTCCGTCTTCTTGATGATCTGCACCAGCTGCGCGTGCTCCGTGACCAGCTGCCGGAGATCTGCCATTTTTTGAAGGAGTTTTGGGAAGAGAAAGATATCGTCCGGATGGTTGTTCTGCAAGTGAAGTTTGAGCACATGCACAATACCCTCCTGCATTTTTTCAATGTGTCCTACGTTTAGGAGGCCGGGGCGATCTATTCTCAAAAGAAGAGAGAGACGTTTGAGTGTGACAATCACCGACAACTGATCATCAGCGCGAGGAACCAAACATTCCTATTTCACACAGAAAAGCCGAGCTGCTTTTAGACTAGAAGATGGAAACAGATTTTTCCAAAGTCCCTAAGCAAAATAAGGACAGGAAGGACCGACAATCATTCCTAAATATTCACACTATCAGGCCACAGCAGCACCCGGTCTCCACCTGACCGTGTGGGTTTACCTGGTTACAGCCTGTCAGGGACGAAACCCAAGACATGAGGAGTAATGGTACATCCTGATAGTGATGGCAACAATTTTGCATAATATGGGAAGTGAATTTCTTATCTCTGAGTCAAAACTACACATCCGGCTTCAGTTTTTCCACCAGGTTTAAGTAGTGTGATCATGGTAGACTCACGGCATGTGGCCTGCAGCTCTGTCACAGGCACCTTCCAACTGAGTCAGGTAAAGAGAGCCAGGTAAGAAGTGCCTGGAGAGCTGAGGCAGGGAGCTGAATGGCTGGAAAGGATGCAGAGGACCCCTGAGACAGGGATGGATGGGGCAGGTGACTCCCCTGGGGCAGCTGGTACCAGACTATCTGGGACAGTCTCAGGCTATGACCCTGACTCTGGGTCCAGAGCACACTGCCCCAGACTGTACTGCACAGGGGGTGCTCCCTTTAAAGCCCCATCCATTACTGGGGCCTTTCAAGTGTTGCTAATGGTGGGGTGTTTATCTTCATTGTTGTAAAATAAATATAATTATTAAGTTTTTTAGCTGGCCCGGGCCGGGTTCAAACCCGCCACCCTTGGTGCATGTGGCTGGTGCTGCAACCACTGTGCTACGGGAGCCAAGCCATAATTATTAAGTTTTTAAACAGAGAAATTTTTTAAAAGATAATTTTAACTCCACCATAACAAATATAACATACAGCTCCCCAGCCATAACAAATATAACATATAGCTCCCCAGGCATTTTTTAAATAGGATCGATACAGGATTATAATTTCTTTTAAAAAACTGTGATTATGCTTTTGTCCAGAGTAAAGTCGTATGTGACTACTTTGCCCTTTGATACTTTATTCCAGAGTGTAAGGACTCTGTCCCTCTGACTAGTGCCCAGCCCGGCAGTAATAGGGACCTGCCAGGTAGGCCCGAGGCCAGACAGATGCAGCCAGCCTCAATTCCACAGTGGGCAAATCATGGGGGACAGTATGCCTTTGGGCAGCTGGCGGGGGCGGGGGGGAGGTAGTGACTCCCCTCAGTCTTTACCACGGCTGGGTAAAGTCAGCCGAGTTTACAGTCAGAGGATGACCTTCCTAGACCCAAGACAGGGCTATTTAAAGGCACGTGCACTGAGCCAAAAATCTGAGCTGCAGAGCCGGCCTGCACAGAGGGGCCCAGCCTTCCTCACCGGGTTCTGTCTCCCCAGCAAACTGCACCCTGCAGTGGCTGCCACTTAGCTACCCGTAGGTTTAATTAGGAAACAGCACCAGCTATTGCCAATAGTGACACCAAGTACACTAACATCGTACGGCACTTTAGAGATTATAGTCTATAATATGGATATAATACAATTATGTAATAATACTGTAAGAATATCATAACATATAGGCCATATATATTACAGGAGAGCCTCCATTATTGACCACTTCCCTGCACTGACCACCTCCTCAAGTCGGCCTAATTTTCAAAAATTAGGACATGCACCACATGTAACATATCAGTACAGCAGGCCTAGTTCCTTATGTGACCCCCTCCGTATGTACAGTCCCTTGGGTGGTCACCTTACAGAGGTTCTGCTGTATTATATTATATAATTGTAATTGTGTCTAATATGCTTATATTCTATCCAACATATTCAATATAAACATACTTGTTTATAATATTAGATATAATTATAATAGAAATGGAGTATATTTGTATGTCATAACTGAAGTATAATTATACAATATAGAAATATTTATTTATATATAATAACACTATACACTGTAATGTCATACAATATCGACATAATTACCACTCACGTCTACTCAGACGTCCCCCCACCCTGCAGTGTCCACTCTGCCTGAACAGCTCAGGCTGGTGTCGAATTTACCACTGCCAAACTCTTCAAGACAGGAGCCTGTACGCGACCCGGCTCCGGAGGATTAAATCAACCACTCACCTCCACAGCAAATTATAGCAGCCACAAAAAGAGAAATGTCACTGTCATCCAGTTCCAGCGCATTGAACTTCATGGCGAAGTCAAACTTAGGCTCCATGATGTCACAGAATGGCTTTCTTAGGCTTTTTAAGAACTCCCGAGTTATAAAACCATTTCCATATGCTACTAGCATCCCGTCTTTGTTCATCACAGAAGACAGCATCGCAAATATAGCCTCATAAACTCCGTATTTCAGCAACGTCACTTGGTCGTTCAGGTCCAAGTTCGCGAAGCCTGGGATGGCCTTGGCAAACTCTGTGAGCTCCGTGACAGTCTCCACTGACGTGCACTGGCAGCAGTGGAAGATACGCACCTCTGCCTCCTTGTTCTGGATGCCATTGGCCACCAGCTTGGCCACCAGCGTCTTCTCGGCCATACAAAGCGTCTCCATATCATGTATAACAAAAGGCTGCAAAGAAGATCGCTGAACTAAGTCAAGTGGTCTGTGACAAGCTCTGCTTTCAATCCCCAATGAACGAACAAGTCCCTGCTGTATCCAAACCATCACCCTGGTGCTATGGAGAATTCAAAATGTGCACGAGGCACAGGCCGCCTCCTCAGACAACTTTAAAACCACAATGGTCGGGGAAAGTGAGACATTCATGGAAAACAAACAACATAGACCAGTGAGGTAACATCACCTGACACTGGGTGGTGATTTCATTGCTAAGAAAGTGATGTATTGATTTTGGCAAGAAAGCTAACAAGAAGAGTATTAGCAAAGTACCTTTGATCTTTATAATAGTCACTGAACTCCTAAATACTATTTTGAGAGCCTCAGTTGCAATAATTCTTAATTTTACCAATTTATAAACTTTAGTGGTAAGCTTCATTACTGAACGCCGTGGAACATGTAAACATATACAACTCAGAAAGTTGTAGGTAAAATACATTGTAGACATGAGCAAACGAGCACTGTTAAACCTTCAGGGATCAAGTGGAGAAGGCGTGGAGTGCCCGGTTTTCTCTGTGTGTGGGACTCCACCATCCTCACCCAGCACTCTGGCTTCCAGAACAAGTGCCAAGGCCCCAAGGCAGCTCCCCACAGGCTGTGGGGCCATTCACGTCTGAACCTGAGGGTCCTGCCATTTTCTTTTCTTTTTTTTTTTTAGACAGTGCCTCAAGCTTTCCCCCTGGATAGAGTGCCGTGGCATAGCTCACAGCAACCTCCAACTCCTGGGCTCAAGCGAGTCTCTTGCCTCCGCCTCCCAAGTTGCTGGGACCACAGGCACCCGCCACAACGCCTGGCTATTTTTTTTTTCGGTTGCAGCCATCATTGTTGTTTGGCGGCCAGGGCTGGATTTGAATCCACCACCTTAGGTGTACGTGGCTGGCCCCTTAGCCACTTGAGTCACAGGCGCCAAGCCTGTCCTGCCATTTTCTAAAGGGCTTGTTATGGAAGAAGAGATGACTGGCCACATTATTTGAAGCCAACAGGCTTAGAAGGGATTATACGTCTGGTGGGGCTGAGGAGAACGGGGACAAATCCCAGTTGGCTGAAATGGCATCTGTGTGCAGAGCAGAAAATGACAGCCTCTGGGGTGTCTCTAGTTTATAGCGTGGTCTACAGTGAACACAGGGCAACAGAGCAGTGGTGAAGCCACTATTTCCAAGCCTCCGGAACACCGACGCAGAGCGCAGGTGCACCTGCCAGTGGGCAGAACCCACCACTACTGATGGTCCTGCACCCACGGCACCAAGTGTCTCCTGCATTCTGGGCATACAAGCATCTCCAGGATCACAGTGTAGAACCCTCTTCCGGGCACCTGTGGCCTGGCCAGGTAGAGAGAATTAGCAATCAGACAGGCTGTCTTTGAAATATGTTCACAGAATTAGAATTTGCAACATAGTGTTGGATTATAAATCCGCAACAGAGAAAAGGGGATTTTATTTTTTAGAGACAAAGTCTTGCTCTGTCACCCAGGCTGAAGTGCAGTGGCATGATCATAGCTCAGTGCAGCCTCAAACTCCTGGGCTCAAGCCATCCTGAGTTCCTCCACTCCTGAGTACCTGGGACAATAGGTGCCTACCACCACAGCTCGCTAATTTAAAATTTTTTTTTGTAGAGACTGGATCTTGCTATGTTGCCCAGGCTGGTCTTGAACTATTAGCTTCAAACAATCTTCCCACCATGGCCTCCCAAAATTCTGAGAGTATAGGCATGAGCCACCAAATCTAGCCCAAGATATTTTAAAAATTACTCATGAGTAACTAAAAGCACTCTCAGTATGAAATTCAAAGCCTATTTTCAAAATATCTTGTCTGATTAAGAAAGGCTAAAAGAGTCTCTCTCCAAAGATCTTAAAAACAGACAAGAATACCACGGTTATGGAAAAGTTTGGGGTAGTTCTTGACAGAAACTTTAAATTCAGATTTAAAGAATTAACTTTTATCAGATGTACTCAATAAATATTTTTAAAGGGTAGATGGCAGTATTCCCCCTACTCCAGAAAATATACTATCATGCCATCTTTACTTTATTCAAATCACTGGGTTTTTCTAAAGTACATTCAGCAGAAATAAATGTGCTAAATAATTTTTTTTCCTTTTTTTGAGACAGAGTGTCACTATGTCACCTTCAGTAGAGTGCAGTGGCGTCACAGCTCACAGCAACCTCAAACTCTTGGGCTTAAGTGATTCTCTTGCCTCAGCCTCCCAAGTAGTTGGGACTACATGCACCCGTCACTATGCCTGGCTACTTTTTTGTTGCAGTTGTCATTGTTGTTTAGCTGGCCTGGGCCAGTTTTGAACCTGCCAGCCTCAGTACATGTGGCTGGTGCTGGAACCCCTGTGCTACAGGTGCTGACCCAATAAATTTTTCTTTTTAATAAAAAGAGTTCTTGGGTAGTGCCTATGGCTCAAGGAGTAGGGCACTGGCCCCATATGCCAGAGGTGGTGGGTTCAAAAACCCCATCCCAGCCAAAAACTGGAAAAAAAAAATTGGGGAAATACTGAGTTAAGTGAAGCTGGGACCTCCTAGAGGCTTTAACATAAATGTGTTCTGGGAGGCCCGACTGGGTGGTGGTTCCCACAGTGTTCCAACCACTGAGTGCTTGGTATCACTTATTATCTAGTGGAGCACTGCTCAGGACTAGTGTAGGTCTGGCTATATAATCTGCAGAGCCAGAGAAAATTGAAAATGTGGGTCCCTTGTTAAAAGATCAAAATTATTAAGGCCAGGCACAGTGGCTCACACCTGTAATCCTAGCATTCTGGGAGGCTAAGGCAAGAGGATTACCTGAACTCAGGAGTTTGAGACCAGCTCAAGCAAGAGTGAGACCCCGTCCCTACTAAAAATATAAAAACTAGCCAGGTGTCAGTGTGGTGGGATTGCGGACTGTAGTCCAGCTACTCAAGAGGCTGAGGCAGGAGGATCACTTGAGTCCAAGAATTTGAGGTTGCTGTGAGCTAAGCTGACATCACGGCACTCTACACCAGGGTGACAGAGTGAGACTCTGTCTCCCAAAAAAAGAAAAAGATAATTATTAAGAGTTTCAAGATGGCAACAGCAGCACATTAACCCCAAGTGTAGGGCCTTCTAAACACGAAGGCTGTAAGATAGCTCACACGTCCATGAAGCCGGCCCCGGACTAGCTGATGGGGAATGTACTCTCATAAATGAGGACTTACATGGTAACAAATATTTCATTTCATTTTTATGAAATTGTTACTTGGCTCTTATAAAGCTGACCCCATTTAATAGGCAAAATTTAAAACCATTTTAATACAAAGCAAGTGTTAACATTAAGAAACGGATGTTTATTAAAGGTAACGAGAATCTGTGTTATAAAACACCCTTGAAAATTTGCCAAACTTGATTGATAAGCATTCTTGGTGAGACTATTTCAGAAATTCTGTGCAGCTTATATTTAACTTTGGAATGTGCCTTTTATACTCAAGTTTGAATATGAATATATCTGATAATATAACTTGTGTTCATCTCAAATACATTAAGTCAAGGATGCTATAAAGATGTTAAACACCACAAGGCAGAAAGCTGCCTAGTTGTCCCCAAATCACTCCAGCCAAGACCCAAACGTTCCCCTCGCTACACACTGCTGTCCTTGACACAGCTTGCTGTGTTCTGCGGTGTTAAATGATACTAATTCCTCTAAGTTAGCAGCCATCATCTTTTAGGAAAAGTTAAATAAGAATCATTGATAGAACTTCTCTGGATAAAATTATTTAATAAGCACTTGGTTGAGTTTTACTACTTATTTCTAGAAACAGCATAAAATATAAGGCACATGTTTCAATGTAAAGACACTTAAGCACTAATAGTAGATATAATATTTAACCACACGCAGTAAGCAAAACCCCAAGACAAAGCACAAGATAACACCCACCAACAGGGGCAATTCTACCCCAGCATGGTGCCCGGAAGCACACCCTTATTTCAAAGATTCTGAAATGTTGAGGTGATGCTGGATTTCTTTTGGAACTGATCTCAAAACACTGTGCTCAGCTGCGTGTCAGAGATTACTGTCCTTGCTTCATGTCTTCTTTCTAACAGGACATTTTACTCTGTTTAATCTCAACTTGCATAGCAGGGTGGTTACAATGGATTCATGATTTTGTCTAAAATTCCATTGTTTTCTCAGAAGGTAAAGATTTTCCATAACCAGAGATAGTCCAAGACTCTAAAGAATTTTTAGAAGGCAGAGGTAACTTGTAAAGCCAAACACAGCTGAGCCTGTGTGACAGCGAGCACGTGTGTGAGGACATGTGTGCACACGTATGTGCACAGAGTATGCGTGTGGGCTGGGAGCCAAGCCCTCGGGTACAGGGAAACAAATGTCCCAGAAAGGCTCTGCCTTCACCAGAGCTCCTCAGCCCGTTTCCACGTTGCTTCTTCAAAATCTTCTCATGATATTCTCAAGCCCTGATAGATCGTATTAACTTCTGAAGATGCTGGTGAAAAGCACCCCTTTTGGAAGCTCTGCTCAGAGGGGACTGCTGTCCCCACTGCCTCTCAGCTCTGATTCTGTCCCTGTGAAATCCAGAGGCAGCGGACTCCCCAAGGGTGCTCTGGCCCCATCACTGAGGGCCCTGACCACTTTCTTGCCCACAGTCCTGAAATTTCAGGGGCTCACACCAGTCCTAGTGTCCAGACAGAAACACTTTTCCACCCACCTTTCCCCAAAGCAAGGTGCCCACGTGGCTCCCTGCAGCACCTCCCCCGTCACCACTGCAGTGTCTGCCCTCCAGGTCCCCCAGTGCCCTGACTGGCTTGAGGTCAGCGGGGGCTTTGCTTCATCTGACTGTAAGGCCATCAGGTGGTCTTCACAGAACAAAGACATGACCACTACAGAGATCAATGGAACCCAACCCCAGCAAACCAGAGGGACTGCTTTAAAATTAAAACCTGTCTAGATTTTTCCACATCAAGGCTTTGAACACCTGAGGGCCCAGTTCTGGTCAGAGCCAAGGGCTGGCACCTGCTGCCACCCTGGCAGCCCCTGCAGGGTGGAGGCGGCCTGTCCCCCAGGCCTGCAGCTCGAGTTCACCACCTTGCACAATTGTGCTGTTCACTGGCAAATTCATCGTCCCTCCTCCCACCCCCAAACAGCAACAAAGGCAGGTGGGGGCCCCGGGGCTGGCCACCTTCCTGAAGCTATGGTAAGGGCTGAGAGCACCCAGGCTGGCCCTGATATAAGGAGACTCGAGAAGAGTGCCTGGGTACAGTCAAGGCAAGCATGTCTGGGCTAATGCCCAGTCTCAACAGCTGTCCCACCAACAGAAGGCACTGCTTTCAAAACTCTGGAAGGAATACACACAGACCATGGTCAGCCAACAACAACGGCAGCCACAAAACCAGAGCTCTGAGGGGAGATTCGGGCAGTGTGGCTGGTGGTGGGTGTCCCTGAGTGGTGGGCTGCCCTGTACTGGAAGCAGCAAGCCCCAGAAGGCCAGCAGTCTGGTGTGGGGAGGAGAGGGAGCCTCTAACATTCTGTGTGCAGGACATGGTGAAGATGTGATCCTGGCTTACAGCATATGGTCTACAGCAGGGGTCCTCAAACTTTTTCAACAGGGGGCCAGGTCACGGTCCCTCAGACCACTGGAGGGCCGGACTGTGAGACCCGGGACGAGTCAGCTGCTAAACAGGACAGGCAGTGGGGGCAAAAGCACCCAGCGGGCCGGATAAACGTCCTAGGCAGGCTGCATGTGGCCCACGGGCCGTAGTTTGAAGACACCTGGTCTACAGTAACCAGTGAAAACTGGTGCCCACAGTGCCCTGGCCGGGAGGTGCATGAGCAGGAGCAGATATCTGACTCTTAGCAGTGCCCCGAATCCTGTCTTCCCACCAAAAACAGAATTATAAACCCCAATCCTAAACTATTAATCTATTATTTATTTTCTTAAGACCAAAATACAAACAGATTCCTGCCCATGAGTAACTGTGTGACAAGTCCTCACCGTCCTGACTTCCTCACTCTGGCCAAGGGAGCCTTGGGGGTCTCTGTGGGGAGACACAGAAGGGCATTCTACAGGAATCAAGTTCACACTGAACAGAGGTCTTTCATTAAGAGCAAAGATGACTTTTAAGTTTGCTTTAAATGCTTAAAATCCAAGGTAGAAATAATAAGATCAGGAACAAAAGTTTTTGTTCCCCTCATTTGGGGCTACACTAATCATTTCCAGGGCAGAAATGCAAAGTGAAAAGGTAAGCCTTTATCATGGGGAAAGGGTCCCCCTGGTACGAACCTCTGGGGGCGCCTGGCATGGGTGCCTGCTGGAACCTTCTAAAATATCTCTGCCTCTTTAACTGGAGAATTCACGGAAGAATTAAAAGACTCAGTAAGAGTGGTTTGGTTTGTTCATGAAAGTAAGCAGCTTGTGAAATACTTTATTTTCCTATGACTAAAAATTCCAGCTAGTAATTCCCAATAAGAATTGCTCCAAGCTATTCATTACTACAGATTAAACCTGTTTTGCCACACTCACAGGGAAAAGGCAAAATATCTTTATTCCCCAACCTAGGGCTGTCCCCTCTTGGAAGGTAACTCTGAGATTTATTCTGTAACAGAGCGAAAGACTACGGGGGTGTGGACAAGTGCCCACACGGGGCAAACTCTGTTGCCTCTGAAGAGGTCCAGAACTTGCCAAAAGACAATGAAGTTTCTGTAAACAGGTGACCCTTTCAAAGCTCCAATGTGTCACTGCCTTCTCTCTGAAGAACAAGGCAGGTGTGTGGGTGAGCAGACCGGAAGGTCCATGTGCAGGGCCCAGTCTGCGGAGCCAGAGCACATCCTGAAGGGGTGTGAATGGTTTTGTTTTCTGGCCTTAAAATAGGGATTTAATAAGAACATAACACTTAAGAAACGACCCTAGTACTTGGTAAGGTATTAACTAGGGGCTTTTTTCCCCTTTTGGTGTATTAAGTATGTAGCCATCATAATAATTCTCTTGCTAAGAGCGTTGAGGTAGATCCAAGCAAGAAGATAGGAATTGCTGTTCAGCCACATTTTAGTCTCAGAATGAACTGTCTACTGTCTCTTGCTGGACCTTGGGATCAATATTATTTTCTCTGCATTAGACATGTTTCCTCAATTATTCTCGATTCTAGTTGGCACATTGCCAAGAGAACACTTCAGACAAGACTAAATGGCAGGAGGGACACCTACTGGGTTGTTGTTGGCCTTCCCCGCGAGGATGACTCGGGCTTTGACCTTGTTCATGTTGAAGTTCTTCAAGTAGGCCTCGTAAATCCTCTTGGCAAGAGACTTGAGGTCTGCGGTTTCAGAGTCGTCTATGTCATGCTCATAGGTAAGAATTTCTGCTTTCAGCTTTGCTTTTTCAGATCTTGGCATCCGTCCAAAACGAATTGCTAGGATTTGCGGGGAGACAGAGAAGAAGGGGAAATAAACAGAAATGAGCAGAAAGGCTGTAACGTGGGGCTGTTGTAACGTGGAGCTATGAGGGACTCGCAAGAGCCGGCTGGACAGGTCCCACCCGGAATTAAACCAGGAGAGAAAATGCACAGGCAAGTCATAATCCCTTTCCTATTATTCTAATATGAAGAGATGAAAATAAAACTAAAAAAAAAAAAGAAAACTCAAACCCCATAACTTCCAGATTTTTTAAATAGGCTATAATAAAGGTGGCTCACATGTGTAATCCCAGCACTCTTGGAGGCCGAGGCAGAAAGATTGCTTGAGCTCAGGAATTCGAGAGCAACCTGAGCAAGAGCCAGACCCCCATCGATAAAAATAGCCAGGTGTGTGTTAGGCACTTGTAGTCCCAGCTACTCAGGAGGCTGAGGCAAGGGGATTGCTTGAGCCCAAGAGTTTAAGGTTACTGTGAGCTGTGACACCATGGCACTCTACCGAGGGTGACAAAGTAAGACTCTGTCTAAAAAAAGACTACAATAAAAGGTGACACCACTACTCATCTCACCAGAAGGAAAGCTTACTATCAACCTCCTAGAGCAGGGCTATGACAGTGAGCTTTAGAATCACTTTATATGTAATACCGTGTCCTTTATCCAGAAGGCAGAGGTGCAACCCTTATGAACTACTTATTTTAAATACACCTTCATGTCATAATTAGCATGTTCTAAAATTAGAGTTTGGTTGAATAAAAAGAAATTCACATTAAGATGTTTGAAATGGGACATGCTTCCTACGGATGAGATGAACACTCTGTCATCCTGGTGATTTCGCGCTGGATTTTACATCTTATAGCAAAGTCCTCCCGTTGGAAGTTTCTAGCTGTAAGTCCAGGTGCTCTGCTGAATCTTGGCTATTTGAAAGTTTTACTCTCTTGGGCTATTCTGATCACAAAGTGGTCTGGACAGTCAATGTTGGAGCACGTTCATGCCACATGCAGCCCTCTCCGAGGAAGGAGAACTGAGGAATCATCGGGGATAAGTGCTGCACCACCTTACCTACCATTGTGTGACATCCCGACAGAAAGGCACTTGTGGAAGCGACAATACTGGCACTTATTTCGATTCTTTTTCTGAATCTTGCAGCTACGGTCACATTTGTCATATACCAGCTTCAGTCGAACCGTTCGCCGAAAGAAACCCTGTGAGATTAACACGCCGTTGATTAGAGAACGTGGCCCCGAGTAAATCAGTGCGGTTGCTCCATCTGCCTTCCTTGCTGTTCATTTATCGTCTCTTTTTAAAGAAACTAAATTTAGAGAAACAATTCTTCTGAAAAATCTGATATAATTAGGACAGAGAATTTTTCATTTTCTTTAAAAAAAAATTTCAGAATATTATGGGGGTACAAACATTTTGGTTACATGAATTGTTTTGTGCAGTCTGAGTCAAAGTTGAAAGTGTGCCCTTCACCCAGATAGAATGCCTTATCCCCATGAGGCGAAAATTTTACATTTCATTACATTTAAAATGAAAATAATAAAATGAGGCAAAATTCAAAGTAATTTTAAAATGTCCTTATCTGTTACATTCCAGGAAAGCCCACGGCACTTTCCACAAGCGAGAACATGCTTCAGGTGTGTGTGAGCAATGAGAGGGGATTTCTGATTCCAATCAAACATTAGATGATTAGATCTCCCTATGTCATGTACATTAAGTCCAGGCTCGAGCATGGGAATAAAACCCTTAGAGGAGGTAGGGGATCCTTCTCATCACCCTCCCAGCTACGCAGAAGGGCTGATGGTCCTGAGGGCAGCATGCCAGACAATGGGCTTGTCTTCACGCACTCCCAGCCCAGCACCATATTCATATAGGGACCTGGCTGAGCTGGCATGAGGATGAGGACACGTCCTCAGGGTACACATGGCTTGGGGAGAGGCTCCCACCCGGCAGGAAGGAACTGCCTGGAGCCAGCACCAGTTCCAGCCCACCATTGGGTACTGGGGTACTGTGAGCAAGACATTCTGTCTCTGAGGGCCAGTTCCCTCCCTGCTACATGACAACACCTGCTCTACCTGGCCTTTGGTGAGGGCCAAGAGCTACAAGGGTAAACCCTGTCTACCTTGTATTCAAATGAAAGGCTCACTCTTTTTTTTTTAATGCAAGAAAATATATTTGATTTGGGGCAATGACAAAGCATTGGGCATTCTTAACAGGTCTTCCCTTTCACAGGAAAAGTAAGTTTGGTTTCAGACACAGTGATTTTGTGTGATCTTTACATCTCCAAATAAAACTGATTAACAGCCATAAACAAGTAGTGACCTAGACATGCAGACTGAATCTTCAAAAATAAATGAGGAGTCTTAAGACATCCCCACGCAATGCTAAATAAAATTAAGAATAATTTTAAACATTCACAGATATTCAAAGGTTGTTCTTCCCTTGAGCCTGATTTGTAGACCCACTGGTTTAATCACATTACACATTAAGGTATGTAATATATAAATGTAATTCCAGCAAAATATCAAAGCTCTTTTTATTAAACTCCTTCCAAATAATTGCCAGAATGAAAAAATATCCTATACACTTCAACTTAAAACTCTAAATCTAGGAATTGTGTTCAGATTAAATTAGCTATAGGATATCAATACTGATCAGAATATTGAATGCTTTGTAATTGAATTAATGTTAAATTAATTTTTACACATGACATTTTCCCCTAAAGTCAATTTTACATAAATATGTGTATGCAATGAAAAGGTACATTTAATATTTTTTCCATCAAAAGGCTCACTCTTAATGTGGCTTATTTTCTTTTAAAGATTGCATTTCTCTAAGTTATTTACAAAGTTCAGCAGAACAGTCTCTCCTAGACTCTCTGAAGAGAGGAACTGATTGGACACTCAATTTAGTTTCTTATCTGGGTCTTCTGCAGCTCTCTCTTAGTAATGACAGACATTTGCATGTAAGATAAATGTGGCCACACATAGTCGCTGGTGGGGCCACCTTGCCCTGCCCCAGGTCCCCTACCTTGCAGCCTTCACACGCGTGAACACCATAATGGTAGCCCGAGGCTTTGTCCCCACAGATTCTACATTCAATGTTCAATGCTCCGCTGGGAGACTCGTCTGTGCTACCAGGAACCACAGGGTAGGTAACCGAGGAAGGACTGGAAGCTGGTGAAAGGGTATCTAGGGAAAAAAGAGGGAAGACTGATGGATATTCAAGGTGTCGCTATCCTGTGTCTAAATCAGGTCTACGAGGGTGCAGCTGAGCATGTGAGGAACAGCTGGTGTGCAGGGCACGCGTCCTGAGCCGACCCTGTCTCTGGGCCACACCTGTGCTCTGGTGACCATCAACCACCATCACGCTGGCTTCCCCAGAGCTTGCACACTCTGACTAGCTCCCGCTGAGCTGACCCTGGGCCCCCAGTACACACCTAGGCTGTCTCTCAATCTCCCACACTCAGTCTGTGCTACAAAGAACTCAAAAGATCTGAAAAGACACTTCAGGAAAGATGATACGTAGATGTCAAGTAAGCATATGAAGCGATGCTTGACACCACTCACTAGGGCGTGGCGGGTTATAGCAACAACCAGATGCTATCGCACAGCTACCAAAATGACTAAAATTAAAAAAACACACCACGTTTGATGAGGACGTGGATTCCTGGTGGGACGTGTGGCAGTTTCTGACAAAGTCAAACAGTTTCACTAGTCGATAAGATTGCACTCCCAGGTATGTATCTAACTGATTTGAAAACTTATGTCCACACAAAAACCCACACACAGATGTCCACAGCAGCTTCACTCTTAATTGCCTCACCTTGGAAGTGACCAAGACGTCCTTCAATAGGTGAGTGGATAAACTGCGGTGCGTGCGGACAAGGGAGCGTCACTCGGGGTGAAATGAAATAGGTAGCAAGTCACAGGAAGATATGTGGCAACTCTTAAATGTCTATCGTTAAGTAAAAGATGACAGGCTGAAAGTCTTCACGCTGTACAATTTCAGACACGCGGCATTCCCACGACAGTGTGAGGGTGGGTACATGGCACTGTGACCCTGGCAAAGCCCACAGAACTGTACAGCTCAGGGCAAAAATAAAATAATTGTAGATTTGTCCACTACTCCTTTCAGCACGACCAATTTTTATTTCATATATATGTGTGTGTATATACAAATATATATGTATATATATACACACACACACATTATATATATATATATATATATATATGTATGTATTTTCTTTTTTTTAATTGAGACAGAATATCAGTTTTTCATCCTCGGTGGAGTGGTCCATCCTCAGTGGACCAAAGCTCACAGCAACCTCAAACTCTTGGGCTCACGAGATCCCCTTGCCTCAGGCTTCCAAGGAGCTGGAAATGCAGGCGCCCCTCACGACACTGGGCTATTTTTTGAGACAGGATGAGCTCAGGCAATCCACCTGCCTCAGCCCCCCAGAGTGTTAGGATCACAGGCATGAGCCACCATGTCCGGGGCCTCTTTATTTCATATATTTTGAAACTCCATTATTACATGTGTAAAATTTAGGAATGTATGTCCTCTTAATGAGTTGACCCTCTTCTTATTTTGAAATGACCTTTTCTATCCCCTCTGTTTAGCCATCTGTACCTGTATTAAGCTGAACGTGAGCCATTCCGTGAGACATCACATGACGTCTCCAGTGCTCGTCTATGACAGTAAGGACCCTTAACTAACCTCCTTCCCTCGTTTGCCTGTAAACTCCCATTCCAACAGTTGTGAACTGGGCTCCACCAGCCACTAGGCACTCAGTCAGCTGCTCATCTCCAGCACACCAGTGTGACAGTGTCAGACTTGTCAACCCACGCCCCTGCGGGAAGCGACTTTACCAACTAGAGCACAGTTCAGATCTTACACACTCGCTCATTTCCAGAGTTGCTTAGGACGGCACCTCTTCCCCCACTTCCTCAGGGCTGTGGTGTCATGTATTTGTAACACAGGTAGATGACTTTTTCACTTTCTGCACTCCATCCCCCAGCCTCCTAAATTACTTTTATGGTGTTCGCACAACAAAGGAATCACCTAAAGACACATTTCCCAGAACTTGTCCCTGTTAATAAGGGACACATGACTATAATACCCCATATCCACCACCCATATTTATAACACTTTAAAAATACAACCTAGAGGCTGGGCATGGTGGCTCATGCCTCCAATCCTAGCACATCCGAGGCAGATGGATCACCTGAGCTCAGGAGTTCAAGACCAGCCTGAGCAAAAATGAGACCCTGGCTCTACTAGTAATAGAAAAACTAGCCAGGCATTGTGGCTGGCACCTGTAGTCTCGGCTACTCTGGAGGCTGAGGCAGGAGAATTGCCTGGGCCCAAGAGTTTGAGGTTGCTATGAGCTATGATGCCATGACACTCTACCCAGAGTGATTGAGACTCTCTCTAAAAAAATAAAATAAAATAAAAACACAAATCTAAAAAGAATTAAGAGTCCCCGTGAGGCCTCCTCCCCATCCCCACCTCCCTCTTTCAGGAGACGACTTTGCAGTATGTGTCCATGCCCACCAATGATGTATCGTTCTGTGTTCAATTTTGCATTAATTGGCTGGGGTGTGGTGACTCACACCTGTAATCCTAGCCCTCTTGGAGGTGGAGGAGATGGACTGCCCTGAACTCACAGGTTTGAGACCAGCCTGAGCAAGAGTGAGACTCTGTCTCTAAAAATAGCCGGGCATTGTGCAGGCATCTATAGTCCCAGCTACTCAGGAGGCGGAGGCAAGACAATCACCTAAGCCCAGGACTTGGAGGTTGCTGTGAGCTGTGTGACACCACGGCACTCTACCAAGGGTGATAAAGTGAGACTGTCTCTATCAAAAAAAAAAAAAAAGTTCAAAAATCAAGTTATCTAGGAAACAGTACACTTACCTGTGATAACAGAGCCATCTGATCCTGGACCACTTCCTAAATGCTGGTATTCTGTGAAACTAAAGCTTCCAGAACTGTCCTCACCGATGGATTGAGAGATCTCTTGAATGTTTCCCATTTCCTGTAGGAATTCCTCAGATAATGGGCTTTCCAGATCATCGGCCTCCAGCGGGGAGAGGGGACAGATCGGGCTTTCTGTGTCCACCATCTTGACCAGATGGCACTGGTCATACAGCTGAGCTCCGAGCCGCTGGAAGGAAAGAGAAGCAATGGGTAAAACTGAGAGGTAAGAACATCATTTATCACTGAGGCAGACCTGAACTCATGACCTGAACAGTCACACCGCTGAGCGTCTTTTCCAGGCTTGAGTCTTAATAAGCACGTTGAGCAAATGGAAAGTCTTTAAGTAAAGAAGCGTTTACGGAGCCAAAGCTTGTCATCCCTTAGCCACGATGGCACACACGTGTGAGCTCAACCCATCGTATTTGAGGTGTTGGATGAAAACAGAGCCCCAGCTCTCCTGGGGGGGGGGGTTACACAAACAAACATGTGTCGGATGCTGCTGGTGACAAGGTGGCCCAGGTAAGAGTGGACGGGGAGGCCTTGTTGCTTAGGGGCAGGAGAGGCCTCAGGAAATGAGGAAGCAAGCAGTGTAGACATCTTGGGGGAGAACGTTCCAGCAAAGAGCTGCGTGCAAAGGCTCCAGGACTGAGACATGCCGGAACATTCTAGAACAGCATGGAGGCTGGTGTGGCTCAGGCTGAGGAGCATGGGGAGCAGCTGCCAGCTTTCGGGGAACGGCATCTTGTTTGTTTTCATCTTGTTTGTTTTCCTTGTACCCAAGGAGGCAGCTCATGTAGGCAGCCCTCGAAAATGACAGTATAGTAACACTTTGTGGAGGTAAAAAAAAATCTTAGTCGGGGAGTCCTAGACAATGTCAGGCTATTTCAACTAACAAACAAAAGAGTATATTCCATACAAGTATGAGGACAAAACAGTGGTCCTTCCCATGTTCATCGGTACTGTGACCTTCCACAAACATCTGGAACCATTTCCTGTGACCTCCAAACCTAAGCCCAGTCTCCTCCGCACACCACTTGGGCCCTTCAGAGAGTGTCCCTGCCTGATCATGCACTTGTCACCACCCTGATTCCCCCTGGAAATCATCCACACTGACTCTGGGGCCACCTGATCCACCCTCCCCAGCACTGTCTTCTTGAGGCTGACAGGGTGACCGTTAGCTTCTAGAACTGTCTTCCCACCCGAAGATGGTCACAGCGATGGCCACTGCACTATGGCCCAGGGAAGGCAGCAGGAGGTGTGTCCTGCACCTGTCTCCCATTGTGACCACAGAACACCAGGCTCCCTGGAGGGAGCCAAGAATACTTTCCCAGCCATTTTCTGTCCATTAATGCAGCTGTGTAAAAGTGTTTTCACATTTCAGGTTTGCTTGGTGTAGACAACAGCTTTAAGTGCAAAGAGGAAGGGAAGTCTTGGTTTCCTCTAGAAATGAAACACACGGAAATGTCATACATCTTTGTGAAAAGCTTATCTCATGCTTGGAATTATGATAAATTATGGTAGCTGACAACAACACAGAGAAAAATAAAAAGGAATTATTTTTCAACCTCTCATAGGATTTAAAGACTTCCCTTCTCAAGACTCTATCAGGGTAAGTCAAGCTGTGAATCTGTGTGGCGTTTCTACCATATTTTATTCTGCATTACATCTGAAAGAAGAGTTCTTCAAGTGGCAAGCAAAACGATGGGCTAAGCGTTATTTAAGATATTTTTCACCATGAACAAAAAGTTCAAAAGCTACAGTCACTAACTCCCTTATTAACCATAAGTTCCTCCTAATAAAAGAGTAAACATCTGGGCAGAGGCTCAGCCCAGGGGCACCTATGGCCACTTCTTCGTTCCCACAGTCACATGCTCTGCACTGCAGTGGAAAATGCATGGGGACAGTGGTCTTGGATTCCTGCAAATGTTCTTTCTCCCAGCCAGGTGCGTGCTCCCAGCATGCTCTAACACCTCCCCTGTCACTTTGGCCTCTGCTCAGGAGCAGAAGTATCATTGGGGACGTCCCCAAAGCTTTGCCTAATACCCACACAACAGTGCAGCTGCCTGGTTCACTGAAACAAGCAAACAGGGCCAGCCAGTTCCCGTGTCCTCTGCCCCAAATGCTCCTGAGGGATTAAGAGGGATAACACACGATCCCTTTGCTCAGTGACTCCTAATTTGGTCCAAGACAATCCAAATAGTGCTTAGTTAGGTTTCAGTTCACAGCACAGGTAGAGTCTGACCTAAGTTGAGAGATGAGGTAAGACAAATAGGGGGTGCTGAGAATAAATAGCTCCTCTGTCCCCAGGCCCAGCAATGACACAAGGTTCTGTGGGACCCCCTCATCCCTTCCTTACCCCTTAAGTTCCTAAACCCATTTTTTCTTTCCTGTCCAATTTCAATGTCAGAGCTAAACCAAGTATGCCACAAGCCCAAACTACTGAAATTCTATTTTGGATCTTAGTAATTGAACATTTATCAATCACACTATTCCTTCGAGAACTACAAATCACAGAATACAAGAAGTGTAGGACATTAAAACAAAGAAAGAAGAAGACGTTGCATTCAGTTACACTGTTCTGTTACAGACACACAGGGCTGGTGGAGACACTTGGCTAATTCCAGTGTCGCCTGATAACCTTGAGCACTAAGGCGCTTTCAGTATCACAGTCTCAGGGAAGTGAGACTATTTGGGAGTTGTTAGTGGTGTAACAAGCTCTTACTCTAAGAAGCCCGTTCTCTGGATTCCCTGGGCCCGATTCTATGTGGTGTTGTAACTTCTTGCATGTCTGACTTTCCCATTAGACGACGTTTGTGAGGCCAGGGAATGCCCTGCCCTGATCTGTGCATCCATCCTTCTAGCACAATCCCTGAGACACGGCAGGTGTTCCGTATCTGTCACTCAGCACAGACGGCACGTGTAGGGTGCCGGTCTGTGAGAACTCGCCTGGGCTCTGTACCAGCCGCCGTGGCTTGCTGTCACCCAGATGGCAAGGTGGCACACAAAGTCAGCGTGTCCAAAGACAACAAAGAGGCAATGGGTATCTAGAACAGAAGTCAGAGGGATTCTGTGCTCGAAGAGCAGGGAGAAATGTGCAGGGTAAACTGTGATCCTCACAGGGCTGAGGAGACAAAGCCTGCAAGGGGGAGACAGACGGGGCAGACGGGGTGAAGGAGTCATCAGCCTGACTCTCTCCCTACAGGGATTTCCCAGGACTTGAGAAGTGTCGCTCTGCAGTGAGAATAAAGAAGGCTCACTGTTGGGTGGAATAAAAGAAAGTGGGGGGGGGTGGGTGGAAACGCTCTGGAGGCCTCCAGGCAGCTGCCCTGCCTGCCCCCTTCTGCTCTCTAGACCAGGCGTCCTCAAACTACGGCCTGCGGGCCACATGCACCTGCCTAGGACATTTATTCCACCCGCCGGGTGTTTCTGCCACCGCTGCCTGTCCTGCTTAGCAGCCGACTCGTCCCAGGGCCCGCAGTCCAGCCCTCCAACGGTCTGAGGGACAGTGAACTGGCCCCCTGTTTAAAAAGTCTGAGGACCCCTGCAACTCTACCCAGCTTCTTGGACCTAGAAGGCCCTTCATAAATACTTTCTGAAATTCCATATTAAACAGCAAGTAGCCAAAACTCTCCCAAGTATTCAACATCTTTACATGCTATGTGATCAGATACCCGAGAAAAAGAACAAATGGAACTGGGCTTGAGCTTTCACACTCAGAACTTACATTTGACACAGATGCATCCAGACAGTGGTAAACACTGATCTTTACTTTCCGGCTGCTATCCTGCACTGTAAACCCTCCTCAGATTATCTCTTAATATGCTGAATAAGGCCACCCTGGAGAGGTCTATTCACAACTCCTTTGTTAAATTAAGTCTGGTAAGATGTATGACTGGTTTAAAAGGAAGATGGGAGGAGTCTTCTCCCAGGGCAGCGCTGCAGTGCCTCAGCCAGGGAGTCTTCTCTTTTCCACCAATTCTAATTCACTACCTTGTCAGGTTCTTTGTATTTTTTAGATATTGCATGTCATATTTAAAGTCTTTTAGCTCAATGTGTTGGGCTCAGACTTAAAATAACATTTCAGAATAAACCAACAAAAGAAAGCTAAAAAGCCCTCTGTACCTTCACCTCAAATCAGTTCACCAAAACAGATTAATCATTACCACCTGCGTAATGATTAACGCACTAACAAAGTAACTAAAAAAGTGCTTACGAAACACATTTCAGACAGAGGAAAAGAGGAGCAAAACATAACAGTGGTAAAGAAACTCAGACTAGGTGTGTTGATAGATTAAATCAAAAGAATTGGCTGGGTGCAGTGGCCTGTAATCTGAGCACTCCGGGAGACTGAGGTGGAAGGATCCCTTGAGTTCAGGAGTCTGAGACCAGCCTAAGCAAGAGTGAGCCCCTATCTCTAAAAACAGCCGGGTGTGGTGAGCACCTGCAGTCCCACCTACTCAGGAGGCTGAGGTAGGAGGATCACCTGAGCCCAAGAGTTGGAGGTTGCTGTGGGCTGTGATGATGCCACAGCCCTCTAGCCTGTGGGACAGAGTAAGACCCTTTCTCAGAAAAAATAAATAAATAAAACCAAAGGCATCATAAAGAATTTGCAGGTCATATAGGTTTATCTAGAGACATCTGGATCTTTCTCAACAATGTCCAAGGCATTAAACTCAAAATTTTGTAACCAAAAGAATCTGGTATGTAAGAGAGAGTGACAGACCCAAAGCGCATTAAGAGTCGCCGTGAGCTCCTACGCCTTTACCTTTAAAGGTGCAAAAAGAATGTTCCAGACCATTTCCAAGAAAAACTCCCTCTGGGCATTATGCAAAGTTCACATTCGATGCCAGTACTTATTACTTCCATTTCAAACCTAGCACTTCCTCTCAGTTTTCTGAAAGTCTGTAGTTACTGTTTTTAAATACACGTACAACCTCACCTTTATGGGTGGCAATACGACTGTCCAAATAATAGAAGAAAAGCTGGATGTTTAGACACATTTTGTGTCCACTGCTGAGAAGCCTGTCACCAGAATCAAAAGTCAACTGAAGTGGAGTTTGAATTTACCCCACAGAAGCTGTGATCCATCTGCTTAGGGCGGAAGGCTGGGCCGTGGGGACAAGGTAGATGTGTCCTCCAGCCAGACGCTGGAGGCAGCAGAGGACCAGTGGCCTTGCCAGTTACGAA